TATTTTAAGGGGCCAGCATTACCCAATACCAAACCAAACAAGCACTAAAAGAAAACTACACACCAGTATGTCTTATGAATGTGGACACAAAAATCCTCAACAAAAGACTTAACAATCCAAAATTTAGTAACATATAAAAAGAATTATATATGGAGTTTATCCCAGAAATGCAAGGTTAATTTAAAATCTGAAAATCAGTTCATGTATAAAAGAAAAGTTACATGATTATTTTAATAGATGCAACAAAAAGCATTTGACAAAATCCAATACCCTTTCTGATAATAACACTCAGTATTTCCTCAACCTGATAAAGGACGTCTATGACAAACCCACAGCTCACATTGATGAAAGACTGGATGCTTTTCCCCTAAAATCAAGAGAAGCACAAGGAAGCGGCTCTTGCCACTTCTTTATTCAATATTGTACTGAAGGTTCCAGCAAGGGCACCTGGGCAGGAAAAAGAAATAAAAGACATCCAGATTAGAAGAAAGAAAATCTATTTCTATTTTCAGAAGACATGATGTATATAGAAAATCCTAAGTAATCCAATAGAAAGCTATTAGAGCTAATAAGTGAGTTGTGCAAAGTTGCAGTATATAAGATCAAAGTAAAAGTAGGTTTTATTTCCCCCTAGTTGGTTTTGCCCAGTGGTTAGAGCATCAGCCTCTGGAGTGAAGAGTCTCAGGTTCGATCCCGATCCAGGGCATGAACCGCATCCGCAGGCTTGATACCTGGCTCTGGTCTGGAAGTGTGCAGGAGGCAAGCACTCCATATGTCTCTACGTAGATGTTTCTCTCCCCTTCCCTTCCACTCTCTAAAAATCAATGATAAAAAATATTCTCAGGTGAGGATTAACAAAAATAAATAAATTATATTTCTATATACTAGCGATGAGCAGTACAGAAATGAAATTAAGCCTTGCTGGTGTGGCTTAGAGGTTGAGTGGTGACCAGTGAACCAAGAGGTCACTGGTTCCATTCCAGTCAGGGCACATGCCCAGGTTTGATTCCTAGTAGGGAGCGTGCAGGAGCCAGCTGATGTTTCACTATTGTATCCATAGTTCTCTCTAAAAAAATATACATATATATGTGTGTTTAAAAATGAAATACAAGTACATTTAACAAAAGACTGAAAACTATAAAACATTGTTGAGAGAAATTAACAATCTAAATAAATGGAGACAAATAAATACATAGCCTATGTTTGTGGATCAGAAGACTTAACATTATTTTTAAGATAGCAATAGCCCCCAAATCAATCTCCAGAGTCAATACAATCCCTATCAGAATCCCTCTAGCTTTTTACAGAAATTGACAGCTGATTCTAAAATTTATATATAATTGCAAGGGACTAGGAATAGTCAAAATAATCTTATAAAAGAAGGACAGCCGAAACTGGTTTGGCTCAGTGGTAGAGCATCGGTCTGCGGACTGAGAGGTCCCAGGTTCGATTCCGGTCAGGGGCATGTGCGTTGGTTGCAGGCACATCCCCGGTGCGGGGGGTGCAAGAGGCAGCTGGTCGGTGTTTCTCTCTCATCGACGTTTCTAGCTCTCTATCTCTCTCCCTTCCTCTCTGTGGAAAATCAATAAAATATATATATATTTTTTAATAAAATAAAATAAAAATAAAAGGACAAAGTTGGACTTACAGTTCCTGAGTGAGAAAACTACAATAACCAAAATTGTGTGGTACTGGTATAAGGTTCAACATAGCTCAATGAAATAGAATTGAGAGCCTAGAAATAAACCCTTACATTTATGGTCAATTGATTTTCATCAGGAGTGCTAAGACTGCCGGGACCGGTTTGGCTCAGTGGATAGAGCATCGGCCTGCGGACTGAAAGGTCCTGGGTTCGATTCCGGGGAGGGGCATGTACCTTGGTTGCGGGCACGTCCCCAGTGGGGGGTGTGCAAGAGGCAGCTGATCGATGATTCTCTCTCATCGATGTTTCTAACTCTCTATCCTTCTCTATTCCTCTCTGTGAAAAATCAATAAAATATATTTTAAAAAAAAAAAAGAGTCCTAAGACTGTAAAATGTAGAAAAAATAATATTTTCAATAAACAGGCCTAGGACAACTGGATAGCCACTGAAGTCAACCCCTCTGTCACACAATGCACAAAAATTCAAAGTGGATCATAGACGGAAATGTAAGAGCTAAAAGACTTAGAAGAAAGAGAGAGGTAAATCTTTATAACCTTGGGCTCGGCATTTTTTTAGATACATCAAAAGCAGAGCTATAAAAGAAAAACGTTCATTGGACTTCATCATAATTTAAAACTTGTGCTGTAATGATAACAAGGAAGGGCAAAGAAAGCCTAAAGAGTGAGATAAATTATTTTTAAATCATAATGGTCTGGTATCCAGGATATATAAAGAACTCTTTACAACTCAATAATTCAAAAGAAAACCCATTTATTTTTATTTTACTTTATACATATATATTAGATATATATGTAAATATATTTTATTGATTTTTTTTTTACAGAGAAGAAGGGAGAGGGATAGAGAGTCAGAAACATCGATGAGAGAGAAACACCAATCAGCTGCCTCCTGCACCCCTCCTACCGGGGATGTGCCTGCAACCAAAGCACACGCCCTTGACCGGAATCAAACCCTGGACCCTTCAGTTCACAAGCCAATGCTTTATCCACTGAACCAAACCAGCCAGGGCTTTATTTTATATTTTTATTGATGCTAGAGAGGAAGGGAGAGGGATAGAGAGATAGAAATATCAATGATGAGAATCATTGATCAGTTGCCTCTTGCATGGCCCCCACTGGGGATCGAGCTTACAACCCAGGCATATGCCCCTGGCCAGAATCAAACCTGGGATCCTTCAGACCGCAGGCCGACGACGCTCTATCCACTGACCCAAACCGGCTAGGATAAAAACACTTCTTTTTTTTTTAAATGGACAAAGTATTTAAATAGACATTTCTCCAAGGAAGATATACAGTGGCCAATAAGCACATGAAAAGATGCTCAAAATCATTAATCATGAGAGAAATGCAAATCCAAACCTCAAAGGAGATACCACTTCACACTCAGTAGGATGTCTGAGGTAAAAAAGACAGTAAGTATTGGCAAGGATGTGAAGAAATTGAAATCCTTATACATTGCTGGTGGGAATGCAAAATGGTTGAGCTACTTTGGAAAACAGTTTTAGGGGATCCTCAACATATTAAATAGAGTTACCACATATCCCAGCAATATGACTTGTAAGTGTATACCCAAGAGAAGTTAAATACATGTTCATACAAAAGCTTCTACGCGAATGTTCATAGCAGCATTAGTTATAGTATAAAAGTGGGAACAACCAAATGTCCATCCTTTGATAAATGGATAATAAAACATCTATAAAATGGGAATTTTTTGGCAATTAAAAGGATGAAGTCGGATACATGTTACATCATGGATAATCCTTGGAAACATGTTAAATGAAAAGTGTTAGCCAGATAAGAACATATATCCTATGATTCCATTTATATGAAACTAGGTGCCTGGTGCACAAAATTTGTGCACAGGTAGGGTCCCTAGGCCTGGCCAGCAATCAGGACTGATCGGGCCTTACAGCTGCTGGACAGGGTTTTCCTTTGTTTCGCACCACCCCCTGGTGGTCAGTGCATGTCATAGCAAGTGATCGAACTTCCGAGGGGACATTATGTGTGTGTGTGTGTGTATAGACTAGAGGCCAGATGCACTAAGATTTGTGCAAGAATGGGTCTTCCTTCACCTGGGTGCCAGCACCGCCTTCACTCCGCCTGGAGCTGTCTTCCTGCCTTCATTCTGCCCAGAGTCACCTTTTCACTCTGGCCTGGAGCCGCCTTTCCACCTTCCTACACTGCCCAGAGGCCTGGAGCAGCGAGGGCAGTCCTCTGGCTGCTGGGTGCCTGCACATGCAAATTAACCTGCCACCTTTGTAGGGTTAATTTGTATACTCACTCCTGATTGGCTAGTGGGCATCATGAAGATATGGTCAATTTGCATCTTTCTCTTTTATTAGTGTAGATGCCCAGAGTAGGCAAATTTATAGAGATGGTAGATTATTGGTTGTCTAGGGTTGAGGATGAAAGGAAATCAAGAGTGATGGTTAATGTTTTTGTTTTCATTAAGTTTTGTTTTCAGGGTGACAAAAATGTTCTAAAATTATATTACAGTACTGGTTGCTGAATATGCTAAAAAAAAAAAAGATTGAATTTTATACTTTTTTAAATTAAAACTTCATTGGTTTTTTACAAATACTTTATTGATTTTTTTACAGAGAGGAAAGAAGAGGGATAGAGAGCTAGAAACATAGATGAGAGGGAAACATTGATCAGCTGCCTCCTGCACACTGGGGATGTGCCTGCAGCTGAGCTGGGAACCTTTCAGTTCGCAGGCCAATGCTTTATCCACTGAGCCAAACCAGCCAGGGCTAAAATTTTATTGTTGAAAGTATTACATATGTTCCCTTTCCTCCCCCTGAACTTTATATTTTAAAAGAGTGGGCTGTATGGTATGTGACTAAAGAAATGCCCTCGTAGGGCCTTACCCAGGTGGCTCAGTTGGTTTGAGCATTGTCCAATACACCAAAGGTTGCAGGTTCGATTATGGGTCAGGGTACATACCTAGGTTGTAGGTTCCATCCCCAGTTGGGACGTGTACAGGAGACAACCGAACAATGTTTCTCACACATCAATATTTTTCTCCCTCCTCGCTCTAAAATCAATAAAAACATCCTCTATGGAGGATTAAAAAAAAAAAAAAGACCTGGAGGGAGGGTAGGGAACCATTGCTGCAAATTTCTCTAGATAGTGAAGCAAGGACCCTTGATTGTAACAGTCATGTGGATGAGGAAACAGTGGGTCTGGTGAGGCAGCTCTGCAGTCTGGAAAGTGGCCTCTGCCACGAAAGGGGTCTCATCTCCATTAGCAGGCGGGTGCCAGGTTGACGCTGTCTCTTCTCCCTTGTCCAGGTGGTTGTCTAGGAAGCAGAGGCCTGAGCTGGGCCCAAGCCATCATGCTAGCTCGGGGCCTCTCTCGGGGCTGGAGAGGCATCTGTGCTGCTGCCCTCACAGGAGCCCCCTTCTCTCAGGTAACTGCCAACCAAGCAATCGTCAGGGTGGAGGGAGGGAGGGACGGGGCAGGCAGGTCTAGAGTTTGCTCCCAAGCCTTTCAGAATCCACTCAATGAAGCCAGCTCTGGTGGGCGTGTGTGTGTGTGTGTGTGTGTGTGTGTGTGTGTGTGTGTGAGAGAGAGAGAGAGAGAGAGAGGTTGGGGCTGGCCGCTAGCCTGTCTGTTCTGAGGACCAATTTAATGCTTCTTATTTATTTTCAAAAGTGCTGGTGCCCACAGGTATGAGGGGGAATTTGAAAATAAGGATGTATGAGCCAACCAGATTTGAGTGGTGACTCTGGGTACTTCCTACATCTACTTACAAGGATGTGGGCAGAAAATTAAACTTCCATCCCTTATCCAAAGTGATGACCCAAAGTGATCATGGCCATAGATTGAAAAAAGCTCTCCTATTGAGCCCTTTCTCTGTGCCAGGCCTTTTGCTATGCATTTAATGAGATTATCTCCTTTGTGCAGTTACACTTCTTTTGGGCATTCTAGAGCTTCCTTTTCGATTTCTTCCTTATGCACATACCACTAGTAGTATCATTTGCTTACACTTTCACTTTAAATGAATGTTTATTTGTTTTACATCACCTTATGTAAGCAAGACTTCAGGATGGCTGATGGGGCAGCAGAGAAGAGACTCCAATCCCAGCTCTGCTGCTCGGCAGCTATGTTACACCAGGCATCCCACTTCACCCCAATGGGCCTCAGTTTCTTCATCTGTAAAAGGGTACAGTAAATACTCAACAATGCCCGGAACATAAGAATACTCAGTAAACATTCAGTTCAAATTAAAATAAGAAATTTATTGTTTATCATCTAAAGTAGGGGTCAGCACAGTTTTTTGTAAAGGGCCAGAGAGTAAATATTTTTGGCTTTGCAGGACACACGAGCTTCATCACAACTATTCAACTCTGTTACAAGCCAGTCATAATGAGCATGGCTGTGTTCCAATAAAACTTGACTGACAAATGTAGGCAGCTGTCTACTCTAATGCTGAATCCCTGTAAATTATTGTTTATTTCAGTATGCTTAATTTCTGACTGGTCCTTCTCCATGTCTTTGACATTCTCACTAAGATTCTTGAAAGTCTGGCTAAGTCCCTTGAAGATCTCACGAAAATCCTTGCGTAACCTTGTAACTATGGTTTTGAATTCTGTATGCAGTAGTTTGCGTTCTATTTCTTTCATCTGTGGCACGTTTCTTTGTCTCTGCCTTCTGGGGAGCTGCTGTGTCGGCTGGAGTTGGTGGAGTGGCCTTGTGTAGTAGGTGTCCTGTAGGACCCAGTGGCTTAGCCTCCGCAGTGACTTGACCTGGGCACTCGAGGTGTGCCCCTGTGTGGGCTGTGTGTATAGCTTTGTTGTAGTTGAGCCCTGACTGCTGTTTGTGTCAGTGGGAGGAATTGACCCCAGGCCAGTTGGCTGTGAGGATGAGCTGCTGTGCGGGAGGCAGCCTGTGGAGCGGGGCTTGCTTCAGTGGGGCTTTGGTGCTCACCGAGTCTTCTCCGTGAGCGTGTTGCTTCTGGATGTACAGAGTTGTGATCTGATGTGGTCTGAGCTGTCCCCTGGGTGCACTGGCTTTGGGGCCTCCCAGGAGGTGCAGTCAGCCACTGCCTGGGTCACCTGGTGGAAGCTACAGAGATCTGCAGCTTCCTTGTGTTTGTATCGGGTTTGGAAGTGCCCAGCTGAGCCCCCGCTGTGAAGCAAGGCAAGCTGGTGCCGGTGCTGGGTCTTGGGACTTTTTTCTTTTTTTCTTTTTTTTAATATATTTTATTAATTTTATACAGAGAGGAAGGGAGAGAGATAGAGAGTTAGAAACATCGATGAGAGAGAGTTTTAGATCAGCTGCCTCTTGCACACCCCCCACTGGGGATATGCCCGCAACCAAGGTACATGCCCTTGACCGGAATCGAACCCAGGACCTTTCAGTCCCCAAGCCGACGCTCTATCCATTGAGCCAAACCGGTCCCGGCTGTCTTGGGACTTTTTAAAAAATGATATTTTATTTTTTACAGAGAGGAAGGGGGAAAGAGTCAGAAACATGGACGAGAGAGAAACATCAATCAGCTGCCTCCTGCACACCAAGGTACATGCCCTTGACCGGAATTGAACCTGGGCAGTCCGCAGGCCAACTCTGAGCCAAATCGGTTAGGGCAGTCTTGGATAGACCTTTTATTGATAGGTCTGGGGCACTCTGATACCAGCTTTGGCTTGTTTGAGATATTTCAGCAGAGTCTGAAGCCTGAGCCAGGACAGGCCATTCATAAAGAAAAGCTGCTGCCAACAGCTAGGGTAGGTCTGCACATTGGATGGGGCCAGGTTTCAGGGAATCACCGGGGTGGAGCAAACAGTGTTGGGGACTCAGGTATGGTTGCCAGTCAGCCCTGGGACAGGAGAGGTCTTGGCATACGAACAGTGACCTCTGTGAGCACCTCCATCTGATAGAAGATGCCAGACAATCCAGTTCCTCCCATATGTGCCTGGGTCCCCCAATGCCTCCTGGTACAGGAGCTGAGAGATATTGAGACCAAGTAAGTTCATGCCCGGCTCTTTAAGAGGGACACCTGGGTCTCTGGCAGCCTCCATGTCCCTCGGCCATAATCCCTGCTGGTTTTTACAGCCTGAAGTTACCGGGAGTTCTCTTCTGAGCTCTGGGACCCAAGGTGGGGGACCTGGTGTGGAGCTGGGACCCTTTGCTCCTCACAGCGGCCTCTGCAGGGATGATCTCCCTCTGATTAAAAAAACGCCATATGTGAGTGTTGGACCAGCCCATTCCATGCCTCCACCCCTCCTACCAGTCTCACCATGCTTTCTTCTTTACTCTCTAGTTGTAGGACTTCCTTTCAGACAGCTTTCAGGAAGTTCTGAATGATAGTTGTTCTGTATTTTAGTTATAATTTTGATATGGTTATGGGAAGCAGTGAGTACCAGCATTTACCTTGGCCGCCATCTTGGTTCCTCCCAAAATTCTAAAAGTTCTGAGGCTGCGTCATGACAAGGGTCTGTCCTCCTGTCTGGCCAACACTTAGCTCTAGAGGAAAGAGATGTTACCTGTTTATTGTATTTCCTCCCAGACATATTTCATAGATGCAAAGTATGTATATCATATAGTCAATTCTCATTCCTCACAGTATTTATGGTCTGTAAAATTGCTGCATACATTGAATTAGCAATTGAACCCTTGCTTCCAGGTGAAGTATGAGGTAGGGTTCCTGTGAGCCTCTTGTCATATTTTCCTCAACCAATCATTATGTAACCTTATTGTATGCACATTTCTGTTTAAAGGGACCTTATTTAATATGGATTGTTGATTATTTAACATTGAACTTACAGTCAACAGCACTATAACTTATGCCTAAATGAAATTTATCTACCACATTTTTTTCTCTGTAAGCAACAGCAGAGCCTTCTTGTAGGTAGGAGCGCTAAAAAGCACTTCTGTACCACGTTTGGGGACTATTTTCAGTAGCAAAATCACCAACAAAAAGATGTGAGAAACATGCACTAAGTAAGCCCTGAGAGGACATTGACAGTATGAGAGCCAAACAAGAAGGCGGTGTCCACGAAAGGCCAGGAAAGTGCCGTGAGGGAGTTCTGACGTGGGGATTACACATCAATTTTAGCGAGTAGGCAAATTCAGAAATATGGAATCCACAACAATGATGACCTACTATATGTAAGTTTGGGGATTTTTTTTTAACACATACTCTAAACAGCTTCACACCCTCCTTTTTTTAACTTAATGAAACACCTTGAAGATCACCCAAAGTAACACAAGACCTCCTCAGTGTGTCTTAGACAGCAGGTGTGCTCCCTGTTCAAATCCACAGCCATTTGCTTTATCATTTCCTTGCTGATGCACTTTGGGGCCATTTCCACCGCATAGCGGACGCACAGTCATTTGGTGCAGGTATGTCTAGCGCTGTCAGATTTAATTATCAGGCGCAGGATTGCTGCTACAGAAGGGGTGTGTTTGTCCTCGCGAAAATTGTCGAGTTGTCTCTGAAGAGATTTTGCCATTGTGTCCTCATAGTCTGTAATGGTGGTTGATCTTGGATTTGGAACCGCAGCTTACCTCCTCAGAAGCCTTTAGGGATACCCTCTGGCATCTTTCCCAGGAAGGAGCAGGCCTGGCATTCCCCAAGGGGCACAGGAGGGAGATTTCAGCAGTGATTCTCTGTCCTCAGGTACCCTCCCAGGTCCCTCGAGGCCTCCACTGCAGCGTAGCCACCCACAGCTCTGGCTCATCTCTGGTCCCGAGGCCACCTGAGCCCCCGCGGCAGCCGGCCAAGCCCCCGGCCCCCCACGAAGAGCTGTTTAGGCTGGCGCCAGATGGGGCCCGGGACAAAGCCAGCTTTGTGCAGGCTGTGCAGAACTTTGGGCAGCACAACGTGCACAAGCGGGGCCACGTCGACTTCATCTACCTGGCCCTGCGCAAGATGCGGGACTACGGCGTGGAGAGGGACCTGGCCGTCTACAACCTGCTGCTCGACATCTTCCCCAAGGAGGTCTTCCAGCCTCGCAACATCTTCCAGAAGATCTTCATCCACTACCCGCGGCAGCAGGAGTGCGGGCTTGCCGTCCTGGAGCAGATGGAGAGCCACGGTGAGGCCAGCAGGCTCAGGGCGGGGGAGTGGCTGCCGCCCACTGCTGGGCCTGGGCCCCTACATCCCTCTATGGCTCTCATGTGTGTCCTCTCTGTCCGCCTGCTCCCCTTCCTCTTTTCAAATCTCTTTTTGGCTCTCATCCCTGTCCTCTTTCCCTCTGACTTTTCCTTTACATTCTCTCGGATTCTGTCTTGTGGCATCAATTCCCTGACTTCTGTTCTCCCTGTTTCTTGCTCTTTCCATCTGATCCTTGACATAATTTCCCCTTGGTCCTGGGCTCCTCTATGGCCTCTGTCTGCCATGTCTCCCCTCTCTGCCCCCTCTCTGATGCTCTGTTGCCATCCACCTGGCACAGGGGTGATGCCCAACAAGGAGACCGAGTTCCTGCTGCTTCAGATATTTGGGCGCAAAAGCTACCCCATGCTCAAGTTTGTACGCATGAAGCTGTGGTTCACCCGCTTCAAGAACGTCAACCCCTTCCCTGTGCCCCGGGACCTGCCCACGGACCCTGTGGACCTGGCCACACTAGGCCTGCGTCGCATAGAGCCCGACCTCAGCGCCAAGGTCACCATCTACCAGGTATTCAGCCCTGTCTTTACTACCTGGGCCAGGCTCCCCTTTACTCAGCTGGACCCTCTGCTACATTTCTGTCCCTCACTCCTACTGCAGCTTCACCTTTGACCTCTGCTCCTCCCTCCCTCCCTCCATGCACTGTAATCCAGGCATCTGCCTTCCTTTCTGTTCCTTGAGCAATCTGCCAGTTCCCTCCTTGGGTCTTTACACTTTCCACTCACTGTTTCCTGGGTCAGGAACACTCTTCCCTGGGGGCTTCACATTCTGCCAGTCTCAACAGCACTGTCCCTTCCTCAGGGTCCCCTTCCTGACCACCATTTCCCTGCACTGAGGTTGGTTGCTCAATCACTGTGACTCAGTTTCCCCCGTGTCTCCCAAGGCCCAGCACAGGTCTGTCACAAAGCTCAACAGTTATTTGTTGAATGACTGAGTGAAATACTCTATACCCCCACCCATGTCCTGAGGGCCCCACTCATGCTAGGTCACACAGGGGATCCAAAGAGAGCCCCTCACAGCATTGGTCTTGTCATGGAGGCCAACCCTGGATAACAGTTCCCTCAGAGCCACTGGTTCTAAGACAGAGAAGCTGGTTTGGCTCAGTGGATAGAGCATTGGCCTGCGGACTGAAGGGTCCTGGGTTCGATTCCGGTCAGGGGCACGTGCCCGGGTTGCAGGCTCAGTCTCCAATGTGGGGTGTCCAGGAGGCAGCCAATTAGTGATTCTCATCATGGATGTTTCTATCTCTCCCTCTCCCTTTCTCTCTGAAATCAATAAAAATATATTTTAAATATATATATATATACAGAAAGGTGGAAAGCATGATAAAATCACTGACACTGCCCAGATTTAGAATGAAAACAATCCAAATATCCATTAAGAGCAAATTGTCTTGCAGACTGTGGCTCCTCAGTCAAAGACTTGGGGAAAAGGCAAAGTGAAAGGATGAAGTACACACAGTGGAATAGGCAGCTATCTTCAGTGAGGAGGGGATATAAAAGTGCATATACCTATTTGCCTATTTTCACAAAAATAAATAATGCAAAGATGAGTCAGAAATGGATAGAAATTATAACCTCTTGGCAGGCAAGGAGATGGGGTAGAGAACTGGAATGGAAGAGAGACATGGGTTTATGGATTGGCAAACAAAATAAAAATGGGGGGGAGTAAACTACCAAAATTGGAAACAAAAATGGATATAGCTAGATATCTAATTGATAACATAACAGAAGAGAAAAAAATCTCTGTCACTGTCATCTGACTGTCCATCTTTAGTGGCATGTATTCTAAGAAACAAGATCAGCAGAGAAGTCCTGAACTTGATGCCATAGCATTATAGTAGTAATAATATCAAAACTATTTATGTAAAAACCCCCACGATGTATATTGATGGACAAGTCAAATAAGTGCATGTATTCCTGCTGATAGGAACCAAGATTTTTAGCATGAGAGAAAATGATATGTAATTAAATGTTCTTTTTTAAAAAAAAACTCCATGGTAAAATTTTTTAAAATTTTTATTTATTGATTTTAGAGAGAGGAAGAGAGCAAGGGAAAAGAGAAACATCTATTTGCTGTTCCACTTGTTTATGCATTCATTGGTTGAGTCTTATATATGCCCTGACCGGGGATCAAACCCACAACCATGGCATATTGAGACAGCTCTAACTAACTGAGCAACCTGGCCAGGCATGATGTTAAATTTGAAATTAAAAATCAGTATAAATACAGTCAAACCTTGTTTCTAGTATGTCTCCAATCGAGTTGTTCTTAGAAAAAAAATGTCTCGTTTGTTGAATGAAACTTTGACTCAAACTTTGGTTTTTGACCTGACAGTCCTTTCATGCTAATACCTCATCATGACAAAGAGCATCTCTCAGGCAACAAACAAAGGAGAGAATGCAACAATTTTAAAACATAAAGAAGTCATCAAGAGTGCTAATGCTGCTAAGGGTGGGAAAGAAACAAGGATCACAACAACTGAAGAGATAGGAAAACTTGTTGATTTGGATAACCAAAAAGCAGTTAGCCAGTCGTGGCATTTCAGAGGCCCTGATATATAAAAGAGCCTGCTGACTTAAAAGACACCCTGGAATAAGTGCTGAAAGTGATTCCTTTAAACCTCGTAAGGAGTGGTTCGATAAATTTAGGAAAAGTAGTGTTTATTTATAGATTAAACAGTACATTAGACATGTACTGTATATAAGAAAGGTTAAAACGGAATCATTTGGGGATTAATTCAATTTACATGATTTCTAATGGGAAAAATGATTCAGTTTTCCAACAACTGCCTTCCAGTCTTCTGGAATGAATTGAGTTCTAGAACTAAGGTCCCATTGTATCTTGTCCAATAAAAGGGCCCAAGAGTAAAACATTTACTTCTTTCCACCCCCCAAAAAACACTTTTAAAAGCATTTCTCCTGCTGAAACCGGTTTGGCTCAGTGGATAGAGCGTCGGACTGCGGACAGAGGGGTCCCAGGTTCGATTCCAGTCAAGGGCATGTACATTGGGGGCGGGCACATCTCCGGTGTGAGGTGTGCAGGAGGCAGCTGGTTGATGTTTCTCTCTCATGGATGTTTCTAGCTCTCTATCCCTCTCCCTCCTTGCTGTAAAAAAATCAATAAATTAAAAAAAAAAAAAAAAAAAAGCATTTCTCCTGCCCAGGAATATAGCTCCGTTGGTTGAGCATCGACCCATGCACTAAGAGGTTGCACTTATCTGGTTTGCAGGCTCAATTCCCAGGCAGCCAATGTTTCTTTCTCACATCAATGTTTCTCTCTCTCCCCCGCCTCCCTCTAAAACTCAAAAAATAAATAAATAAAAATAAACTTAAAAAAAAATTTTCTCCTAAAGGTGGTCAAATATATGGTGATGAAAGACTGGACTTTGGATAGTAAACAGATGATGTATCATAGAATTGTACACTAGAAACCTATATAATTTTATCAATGTCACCCAATAAATATAATTAAAAAAATAGTTTCTCCAGTGGCAGAGCATTACATACTTTCTGCATCTTGCCTTTTGCTGGTTTCACTTTATAATGCTTGATGGTTCTTCTGTTTGTGACCACGGATCCAATGAATTTTTAACCTGAAAGGATGATGTGTGCCAAAAAATTGTCTACTCTTAGATACTTTAGTCAAAACATATGTGCACTTTTTTTTGTTTATCCTCACCTAAGGACATTTTTCTGTAGATAAGTTTAGAAAGTGGAAGAGAGAGGGAAGGACAGAGAGAAACGTCCATCTGAGAGACACACATGGATTGGTTGCCTCCTGTACACTCCTGACTAGAGCCTGGGCTGGGGAGGAGCCTGCAACGTACCCTTGACCAGAATTGAGCCAGGACCTTCAGACAGCAGGCTAATGCTCAATCCACGGAGCCAAAGCAGTTAGGGCTGCTCTTGGCATTTTAGAACCATCTGAAGTAAGTGCTGTTATTACCCTTATTCTAATTGGAGAAACTAAGGCACAGGTACAGCAACTTGGCCATGGGCACACAACCCATGGCAGAGCCCAGATTTTAATGCAGGTGGGTGGCCTCCAGGGTTCCAGCTCTGTGAGCATCTGAAACGTTAGTGGTTATTATGCTGAACTGGATAGAAGTGAGGAAGGGTTGGGCTTGAGTGACATGTAGACAGTCCAGTAGACAAGCCCAGAATTCGCTGGGGACCCCCTTCCCCATTTCTCCCCAGTTCCTCTGTAGGAGGCCAAAAGCTTCCACCCCTGTTCTTTTTTGCAGATGGCTTCATCCAGAGACTCCACAGGTACAGCAGATCCCCCTGAGCAGCATATTGTAGGTAAGGCCCTGCGTATCGAGCAGCTGGGTTCTCCCTGGGCCTGCTGGGTGGGCTCCCTGGGCCTTTGGACTCAGCCAAGGCCCCTTGGGTATGCATGCTGCCACACCAGGTATCCAGAGTCCTGATCAACAGGCCGCCCTGGCCCGCCACAACCCAGCCCGGCCTATCTTCGTTGAGGGCCCCTTCTCCCTGTGGCTTCGTGACAAATGTGTCTACTACCACATCCTGAGGGCAGACTTGGAGCCCCCTGAGGAGAGGGTAAGGGCCCAAATCGTGAGGGGTGGACTGGCACTGCCCTGAGGGCTCACAGATCGGGGTGGGGTGAGTTTCTGGTGATGGGAGGGAGGAAGCGGCAAGATCCTCAGCCTCTGACTCTGTCTGTACCCCTCCCCCCTTCCTGGGTAGGAAGTGGAGGAGATTCAAGAGGAATGGAACCTCTACTACCCCATGCAGCTGGACTTGAAGTATGGTAGAAGCGCCTGGGATGACTATGAGTTTGACATTGATGAAGGTAAAACTGGGATGAGCAGGCTCCAGAGAGAGCATGGGATGAGGTGTGGCCTGTGGGGTTGAGGCAGACCTAGCAGGTGCCCAAATACACACACACCTGAGGGGATCCAGGCCTGTCATTTCTCCATCATGGAGTGCCTCTGTGCTGGTTACCCAGTGTGACCAGTGCAGGGCCAGAGGGGGAACAGGCAAGTTATATTCTGGGGAGGAGCAGATGGGAAGTGGGAGGACTTTCCAGTGGAATCTTGAAGAACCAGTAGGCATCACACAGGTGAAGCATGGAATGGGCAGTCAGGCAGACAGGATATGTGGGAAGACTTGGATACACAAGAAAACCAAAAGGGAGCTTCAAGTCCCTGTGCTTGGCCTGGAAGGGGAGTGGGCTACAGTCCCACTGCACAGACTGAGGGCCTGTCTCTCCCAACAGTGGAAGAAGGCCCTGTCTTCGCCATATGTATGGCAGGTGCCCATGACCAGGCTACACTGGCCAAGTGGATCCAGGGCCTGCAGGAGACCAACCCAGCCCTGGCCCAGATCCCCGTGATCTTCCGCCTGACAGCGTCCACTGGGGAGCTCCAGGCATCCTCCTCAGGACTGGAGGAGCCCTGCCCGCCACCCCCCCAAGAGGAGGAAGAAGAGGAAGACAAAACGCAGCGACAGCAGCAGGGCCAGAGCTGAGGCCTGAGCAGGCACAGGGACCTGGACTGGTGTGGAAGCATGAGATGATCTTTGTACAGCAAATAAAAGTTTCCTGGTTTAGGGCTGTTATCCGGCAGTGTGGCATCCCTGCCCTTTTAATGCCTGGTGGCATGCCTTTTCAAGGGCTCTCCGGCATCCAGGACTGAAAGGTCAGATCCCTGGCCTCCTCTCGGCCTTCACCTGCCAACCCCCACCCTCACCTGGTCATCTCGGGCAAGCACTCAGGATCAAGATGCAGAAGTGGTCCTATGTTTTCCCCCTCCCCCCAGCCAGTCTACAGGTTCATCTGCCTTTCTTACGGGGCTGCCCTCAAACCTTCAGCTCCTCCCTCCGCCTCTATGAAGTGAGAAGTTTAACAGAAAAAGTAAGAGTGGGTTGTCGCGCAAGCCTGTAGGACGCATGCGCAATTTCCTCTGTCTCTTTTTGGCGCTGCGGGGCAGCGAGTCCAGGAGAAATTTCCCGGCGGCGCGGAAGATGCGCGCCACTTCCGGCCGGGCTCCTAACAACGGGGGAGGCTGGTAACCAGGGAGGGGGGGGATGGCGGAGCGGGCGCCCGAGGCAGAGGCGGAGGCTGAGGCGGGCGCAGGCGGGGAGGCAGCGGCCGAGGAGGGCGCGGCGGGCCGCAAGGCGCGGGGCCGGCCGCGACTCACGGAGTCGGACCGGGCCCGGCGGCGGCTCGAGTCCCGGAAGAAGTACGACGTGAGGCGCGTGTACCTGGGCGAGGCGCACGGGCCCTGGGTGGACCTGCGGCGCCGCAGCGGCTGGAGCGACGCCAAGCTCGCCGCCTACCTCATCTCGCTGGAGCGCGGCCAGCGGAGCGGCCGGCACGGGTGAGGGGCCTCAGCCCGAGGGAGACAGGAAGGGAGGGAGGGAGACGCCCCCATCCCCCGCTGCGCCTGGTCCCGCCCCCTCCGCCCAGGCCCTGCCCCCGGCACTTCTGAGCTCCGCCCAGCGGCCCGGCCTGGGCCTCCGACTACCGGTCCTGGGACGTGCCTCGCTCGCGGCCCCGCCTCCCGCCGCTCTGACCGCCCAATCCTAGGATGCGTCCAGCCTCAACCCGCCTCCTGGGTGTGTGGCCCCGCCCTCTAAGCGCTGGCTGACCAATCCTGGTACGGGCTCCACCTCCCAGCGTTCTAACTGCGGTCCCTAGAGGAGCGGCCCCGCCTCCTGAGGCCTCAGCGGCGAGCGGTCCCTGCGGTCCCTGGAGTTTCATCAGGCCTGGTCCCCTACAATGTAGCCTGAGGCTTGACAGCATGACTGCACACCCTGGGCCGCCCAGCCCTGCCGCTCATGAGGTTCCGATGCCCCAGCTAGAACAGAGTGGTCCCATTCCCACAGTCCTAGATCCCACCTACCTGAGGACCCCTCACAATCCAGATCGCATTCCCCTAAACCTCTTGGCTCCTAAGGAGCACCTCAGCCCAGGGAGACGCAGGTGAAGAGGAAGCCCTGAGTTAGCCACACAGGTGGGAGGCAGAGAGAGGTTTGCAGTCTCAATTTGGAGAATGAGCAGTGTTGGAATTTTTCGCTTCCAGCCTTACAGGTTGAGTGATAATTAAATGAGTTAAACTACAGCAGAGGCCTTAAGACTGTGCCGCCACTTAGCATTCCAGGTATTAACTGTTAGGATGATGTTTGTTCTGTATTACAAGCAGTTATGTGACAAAATCCTTCTTCTGCTTGCATGTTTGGGGGGGGGGGGGGAGAGTGCTTCTGAGGGTCAAGAAGCAACCTGCCTCCTGCTGAAATTGTACCCACCTGCTTCTCAGGGTGGCAGGTTAGTTTATATGCTCAAGGGCAAGGCAGGAAATGCTAGGTGCTTAAAAAATCTCAAGCCAGTGTTCCACTATTGGAATTTCTGATTCATTTAGTCTGATGGAACTGCAGACCTTGTATTTTTTTTTTATGCAAAGCTTCCAAGGAGACTTGATGTGCAGCTGGAGAACCACTGGCCAGAGGGAGCCCCTGGAGCTTCCTAAGCTGAAAGTGGTATTTGCTTGGTTTGGCTGAGCAGGGCTGTGTGTGCAGGACTAGGGCAGGGGCACTGAAACAACCCAGGCAAAAACTTGGCCCAGGGCCCATGGGTAGTTGGGAAAATACATGAACCTGGGTGAGGGATATCCTATAGGGAATAGCCATGACCAGAAGTAGGAGGTCAAATTATTTCGGTTGTTCAATTATTTATAACCTGGAAGGATTTCAGTTCAAGGGCTGTGAGACATGAACACGAAAGCAGAAGTTAAATCAGGGTGAAAAGAGAAAGGAAAATGAGTGGCACCGTGAGGCCATGACGAGTGCTGTTAGATTGAAGCATTGAGTCACAGGGGGCATGACAAGGGCAGTTTTGTGGCATGATAAGGTAAAAGTCTGACCAGAGGGATTCAAGAGGCGTAAAGTGGGCAGAGGCCGGTTTGGCTCAGTGGTAGAGCGTCGGTCTGCGGACTGAAAGGTCCCAGGTTCGATTCCAGTTAAGGGCATGTACATTGGTTGCGGGCACATCCCCGGTAGGGGGTGTGCAAGAGGCAGCTGGTCAATGTTTCTCTCTCATCTCTCTCCCTTCCTCTCTGTAAAAAAATCAATAAAATATATTAAAAAAAAAAAAAAAAAAAAGAGGCGTAAAGTGGGAATGGTGAATGGAATTTGCCTTGGTGCTTTCTAGTGGGAAAAGGGAAACAGTGGTCATAGTGGAATTTCCAGTGCTTCTTCATTTGTTTAAGGAACATTTAATGAGCACCTACTATGTACAGCAATGAACAAAACAAAGGTAGCTGCCTCATGGAGCTGACATAAAGGGCAGAGGGTAGAGGCTTTTCTAGTGTGCAAAGGCTTGTCTACTGCAGGTAAGCAACAGTAAATTATGTAGCATGTGAGAGATTGATGGAAGCTATGGAAAAAAACAAAAAGTAAAATAAGGGAAGAGGAATCAGGAGTGTGAGCTGGAAGTTTAAATAGGGCATCAGGGTGGAGCCACCCTGAGAAAAATAGCATTTAAGTATACAGCTGAAGGAGGCCAGGGAGAGCCGTGCGGATGGATATTCAGGGGAAGAGTGTTGGAGAAAGAAGGAATAGCAAGTGCAAAGGCCTGGAGTCGGGACCCTGCCTGGTGCCCTGATATGGACACGGTACATGACGGGAACGGGTGGCTGCAGTACAAAGTTAGAAGGCCAGGGTGGTTGTATGAGCCGCACCTGACCCCAGATCACTGTGGCTGCAGCCATAACATGGAAGGGCAGAGGAGAGAATTTTTTCTGTTAGTGAAAAATGTCCAGTGGGAGCTCTGGTGGGATTTTTTTTTTTTTTTTTTTTTTTTTAGTTCCCTTTATAAGTGCAGAGAAGCCATGTACCTGGCTGAGGTGTTTAAAGAAGCACTCCCCAGGGTGTGTGTGTAGGAGGAATGGGTGAGGTGTGAGTTAAAAGAAGGCTGGCCAAGAGTTGACAGTTATTAAAGCTGGTGATGGGTTCAAGGAAGGTCACTCTACTCCTCTCCAGCTTGGTATGTGTTTGCGTTTTGCTTTTCACATCTTAAACTCCTAACGAGAAAATCAGAAGAATCATCCTGACTCCTATGTTGAGGCCGTGGGAGGGGAGGGCAGGAGGAAGAAGGTGACTACACTGGTCCAGGCGAGCCAAGGTGGGGCCGGCCCGAGCAGGGTCCCGGGGAAATGGAGAGAAGTGGCTGAACTTGGGGCCGGCAGTGTTCTCTGACGGCTGTGGGTATGAAGGGTGCCCCAGGTTTGAGCACCTGGAAAGTTGCAGTTGCTGTTAACCGAGAAGGGCTGTGTTGGGGGACAAAATGACAGCTTGCGTGTGAGACTCCTACATGGGGTGTCAGGGAGGTGGTGGGGTGCTGTTGTGGTGAGGAGAGAGCCCATCAGGAGATGCAAGTGTGGGATCACCGGGTGGTGATGGTATGGTGGTGGATGCACATGGACCGAGCACCCAGGTCTGAGCCCATTGCCGTTCTCTGTGCTTCCAGAAGTCAGGCAGATGAGAAGGAAGCAGTGGCGTGGAAGGCAGGTGGGGGAACAGGGAGGGTGGAGTCCTGGAGGCTAAGGGTCAGATACTGGGGGGCCGAATGAGGCAGCCATCCTGGTGGCTACAGCTGGGCCGTTGGTGGCATGGTGGAGAAGAACGCTAACCCTAGGGGCTCAAGGGAGATGAAGAAGCAGACATGGAAACCAAGAGTGTAGACAGCTCAGTCGCAGAGTGGTCAGGGAATGGCGCAAAAGTTAGCAGTGAAGGGGCTCAAGGTAATTTTAACCCAAGATGTTGGAAATACCAGCTTGTTTGGATGCTGGAGGGAATATCAAGTGAAATGTGAAATGGAAGGGCAGAGAAGAGCAAGGGACTGTTGTCGCTGGCCACCGTTTGGGGCTGGCCACTGGGAGGAAAGTACAGCCAGGCCCTGCACAAGCCTCCACAGCTGTTGTCCTCAAACGCAGGTGGTGGCAACTGCGGGGAGTCCCAAAGATGCAGGCAGAGGGGGGACGTAGTTTGAGTTGCAGGAGAAAGGGCTGTGTTAAGGTCAGAATGTGGCCTGACTTCCTTTAATCCGCTCCTGTGTGGGAGGCACTGTTGTTATCCCACTTCACAGATTAAGAAACAGTCTCAGCCGGAACCGGTTTGGCTCGGTGGATAGAGGGTCAGCCTGTGGACTGAAAGGTCCCACGTTCGATTCCGGTCAAGGGCACATCCCCAGTAGGGGGTGTGCAGGAGGCAGCTGATCCATGTTTCTCTCTCATCGATATTTCTAACTTTCTATCCCTCTCCCTTCCTCTCTGTGAAAAAAAAAAAATCAATAAAAAAATCAATAAAATCTATTTTTTTTAAAAAAGAAGAAAAAAAAAGAAACAGTCTCAGAAAGGATGACCCTGTTTGAGACTGCACAGCCAGTCAATAACAGAGATGAGACGTGAACTGGGATCTGACCAACGCCAAGCCTGTTCCCACCACAAACACTCGCCTTCTCAGCACTCAGTCATGGCAAGGCCTTGAGTGATTGTAGGCGGCATGGTTGTTTGGACTTGGGTTTGGAGAAGGATCTGGCAGCCTGGCCCCTTACAGGGGGTAGAGGCTCCTGAGACGGGGCAGAGGGGAGCAGATCCCAGGGCAGAGGGCAGAGCCTGGGCAGGAAGGACAAAGGAGCCCTGAAGAGCTGTCCTGGGACCAGACCTGAGGTGTGGCAGCTGAGAATTGTTATCAAGCTGGATAGGGGACTGAGGGGATGGGCAGTGGAGCTGAGGAGAGACCCTGGAGAGGAAGGGAGAGGGATAGAGAGTTAGAAACATCGATGTTTCAGGATGTTTGTGGTAAGAGCATGGCCATGGCCATAGCAGGGAGGTCAGTCTTCCAGGGCCTGGCTCTGTGATGATATTAATAATCATAATGGTCACTGTCACCATTGCCAAACTTCATACAACACATATAATCTCATACCAACCTCATGAGGGGAAACTGAGGCACAGGGCAGCAAGGTCACTCAACCACGGTCACAGCGCTTACTGCTGCAGTTTAGAAGAACAAGGGAACAGCCAGGGTGAAGGGAGCAGACCTGGAGGCCCGGTGGCAGGAAGGCCGAGGGAAGCCACCACCACGTCTGAGAGAGATGGCTCCAAGGTACCTGCCCTCAGTGAGTGTAGAGCCAGTGCTGGGCCGTAGCCACGTGGCCCGAGTGGAGTCAGGAACCGATCCGGCAGACTGACGGCCGTCCCGGTGTGGGGGCCCTGGGAGCCTGGGCTTTGGGCCTGGCCCTGTCAAGGCACTAGGGGTCAGTTCATTAAATTGACCGAATATAGCAGGCTCATCTTTTTTTAAAATATATATTTTATTGATTTTTTACAGAGAAATAGAGAGCTAGAAACATCGATGAGAGGGAAACATCAATCAGCTGCCTCCTGCACACCCTCTACTGGAGATGTGCCCACATACAATGTACATGCCCTTGACCGGAATCGAACCTGGGACCCTTCAGTCCGCAGGCTGACGCTCTATCCACTGAACCAAACCGGTTTTGGCAGCAGGCTCATTTTTATTTATTTTTTTTAAAATATATTTTATTGATTTTTCACAGAGAGAAAGAGAGAGGGATAGAGAGTAAGAAACATCGATGAGAGAGAATCATCGATCAACTGCCTCTTGCACACTCCCCTACTGGGGATTTGCCCGCAACCAAGGTACATGCCCTTGACAGGAATCGAACCCGGGACCTTTTAGTCTGCAGGCCGACGCTCTATCCACTGAGCCAAACAGGCTCATTTTTAAGTTGATACTTTTGTATGGCCCTGGAATGAAGTTATACATATCCAAATGGCCTTTGGCGGATAAAAGGTTCCCCACTCCTGATCTAGAGGTTCAACTAGGGAAAGATGTCTGTCTAGACCCCTCATAGCATTGGCAGAATCCACATGCTGGTGGTTGTGGGGAGGGTCCCTGCGGCCCTGCTGGCTACTCTCACTCCCAGAGGCCGTTGGTACTCAGATCCTTGCTAATCCCTCATAGTCCCCCTTCCGTCCTCAGCCTCTGATTTCTGATATCTGCTGGCTCTTTGGAAGGGCTCTCTGACTAACCCAGGCCCACCTCAGTAAGCTCCCTCTTGATTAGTTCAGTCATCTAGCCACGGGAATGGTAACCATTCCTATTCCCCGGCGTGCCCCACTGGAGGGGAGGGGATTACACAGGGTGTGTGATCCCAGCGGGTGGGGTCATGGGGCGAGGAGAGGTCAGAACGAGGTACTGACTGTAGACCCCTTTCTGACCTCCCCACTCCCTGGCCACGGGACCTGGGCTGTGGTCTCACCTCTCTGGGCCTCAGTTTCCTGCTCTGTGGTGGGTGAGGATACTAGACCCTCCTCGAAGGGCTGTTGTCCATGAGGGAGAGAACCCCCGTGAAGGGCCATGAGAACAGACTCGGGAGGCAGAAGCTAACATCTTGCCCCACGGCAGGATGCAGGACAGCTGTCACTATCTCATCGTCAGCCAGGCTCTGCGTCACCCCCCTGCCTCTCTCTGTTACAGGAAGCCTTGGGAGCAGGTCCCCAAAAAGCCAAAGAGGAAGAAAAGTAAGTGGGGCTACGGCCAGGGGGGAGGGGTGGGTCTTGGGAGTTACTGGCTTTGTCGTTCTCTCCTTCTGGCCTCCCTCGCTCCCTCATTCCCTGAGACCATTTGTGGACAGCCTGCCTGTGCCAGGCACTGTGTGGACCAGGGCAGACCCAGCCCTGCCCTCACAGAGCCCACCGTCTCCTGGAAAAGACAAGGGACAGGCTGAGCAGGGCTGTGACGGAGAGGGGGTAGATTAGGGCACTGGGGCCCAGAGGAGGGCCCCCCCCCCCCCCCGCAGCCCAGGGTGGGACCCACGGAAGCAACCTGTGCTGTGCCCTCTTCATCTCTCATCCTCCCCATCTCCCACATACAGAATCCAGGAGGACCTACTCCCTGCCCCAGGCTGCACAGCTGGAAACTCAGGTCCTCATGTCTCCAAAGTAGTCCCCTTAGCTCCTCTGCCCTCCTGCTGGTGTGTGGGAGTCAGCCAGGGAAGAGCAGAGGGAACAGCTTGTGCCAGGCCCTAAAGGGCATATTGTGTGCCAGGCTCAAGGGGAGCTGGGCGTGGGCAGTCAGAGCAGAGGCCTGGAGCTCATCCCTCCTGCCCCTGAGCACGGGGGCTGCGGGTCTCGAGCTACGTCCAACAGGGTGAGAGCCAGCTGTCCAGGGACAGCCTTCTGGTGGCAGCGAGCCCCTCCCACTGTCATAGTTCTCAGGGACCAGGTGAGCTAAGACTGTGACCCCAAATCCCAACGGGGTGGGGATGAAGATAAGGAGGCAAGTGCTAGCCTAAGGAGGTGGCTTGCTGGTGGTATCTCCATGGTTGTCGCTGTGTTGGAGGCCCTGGGCACCATTCCCTGGGCCCATTCCTTCCCACTTGGTTGAGGGAACAGGATCATCACACATATCGCTGGTACCAATTCTTAGGCACTCACAGCCCGTTCTGTGCCCTATCAGTGTCTTCACTCTCTAACCTCTTCCCTGTCGGCCTTCAGAAAATGGGGACCCTTATTCTCCCCTGACCAGAGGGGTCAACTGAGGTTCTGAGAAGCCAAGTCACTTGCCCGGAGCTACCCAGCTAGGAGTGGTAGAGACAGGATTTGAACCCTGGTGGTTAGGCTCCACTATTCCCACCCCCTCACAATGTGTGTAGGTGCTGAATGTGCAGAAGGAACCACACAGATACCATAGTGGCCCTGTCCTTAGGGAGCTGACATCTAGTGTGGGAGGTGAGCAAGACGCATGAAAACAAATAAGCATAGATAGCATCTAGGTGCTACCTGGAGAGGAAGGAAGCAAGTCAGGTCAGCTAGAGGGACAGGGGAGAGGATGGCTGGCCGAGGGAAGACCTGAGTGAAGGTGGAGGCGGCCGGGCAGTTATCTGGTGACAGAGGACACAGCCAATGCGAGGGCTCTGAGGCTGGACCCGGGAGAAGGCCCTGAGGCTGGAGCGGGTGAGCAGGAGTATTGCTGGGCCTCTGGGAGGACGTGACTTTCCCACCAGGGAGGTGGGCGCTATGGAAACCCTGAGCAGAGGAGGGATGTGACCTGACTCAGTGCTCACAGGCGTCCACTGGTGTCTCCGGAAGGAACAGACCGTAGGAGGAGGGTGGGAGCAGGGGACGGCCTGGGGACTGATCGTCACAATAAGCAGCAGCCGACAATGACTGTGCACCTTCATGGCCGGGCCCCACTGTCTGTATGACTGTTCATCCAGTGAGGACGGTCCCTGTCATCTCCAGGGGGTCTCATCCCTCTGAGCCTCAATTTCTTTACCTACAAACGGGACAGGCCCGGACAGGGTTCCACACGTTGTCTGAATCCCCAGGAGCCAGAAGGCCGGGTGGCTGTAGGGCCACGCTGCCCTGAGCAGCCTAGCCATACTCCTCACGCCTGCCCCGGCCTGTTGCGCAGGGCGCCGGCGCAACGTGAACTGCCTGAAGAATGTGGTGATCTGGTACGAGGACCACAAGCACCGCTGTCCGTATGAGCCGCACCTGGCCGAGCTGGACCCCACCTTCGGCCTCTACACCACAGCCGTGTGGCAGTGTGAAGCCGGCCACCGCTACTTCCAGGACCTGCACTCACCCCTGAAGCCACTCAGCGACTCAGACGCCGACAGTGACAAAGGTGGGTCCACAGAGCGGGGGCATAGAGTCACCCTGGACTGCCCACCCTCCTGGGACTTGCTAGCCTGAGGCCAGTATCATAAACTCTCAGCAGCTAGATGGCCCAGGTGCTAGCTTCAGGGACAGAGCACAGACTCCATGCAGCCTGCAATCTCTGAGCCCTTACAGATCCCTGGACACAGTTCCCGCTTTACAGAGACAGCTGAGGCACAGGGCAGTTTGCCCACCTGTGCCCGCGGCCAGGCTCAGGCAGGGCTGGACTTGGGGTCCAGGAAACCTGGCTTAGTAGCGGGAGGGAGGGTTGGGTGCTGGGCCTCAGACTCCACAGGGTGGCTCTTCTCTCCTGGCCTCTTCCTCTCTCCTCTATTTTCTTAAGCCCTTTCCCGGGCTCAGAATCTGTCTCTACCCGTCTCATTCTCTTTCCCTCTCTCCATCCTCCTCTCCTCCTCACTTCCTGTTCTTGCTCTCTGTCTCTCTCATCCTGTCCCTCGCTCTGTCTTCAGTCTCCTTCCTTTCCCTTCCTCTCCACATTGTCTTTCTGTGTCTCCCCATCTCACACCCTGTCCATCTCTCATTTTCTACCCTCTGTCACCCTGCCCTTCCCATCTCTTTCTCTGCCCCTCTTCTGCCATTCTATGTTGGTCACACCCAGGAGCTGACTGCCAGCTCAGGCTGGGAGGGACTCAGTTACGAAGGTCCAGGAAGATCTGGTGGAGGAGCAAGGGTATGCTCTGGGTAGCGAGGGATTGCCCACCTGCCTCAGAAGCTTGGCGTGAGCTGTGAGAAGAAGTGTGAGGCCCGCAGATAGGTGCCCTGCCAGGGCTGAGGGTGAGGTCAGTCACCAGGGCTGAGTCCGAGCTGGCAGGCATTGGAGCAGATGGCATCCCAGCTGGTGAGGGGAAGCCGTGGGCGAGAGGTGCTCCAGGTGGGCACCCTGGCCAACAGCCATCCCATTGTGTGTCAGTCAGGTTCCCAGCGTGAACCTGCCTCTCGGCCATCCTGTCCTGTACTCCGCTCCAGGCCCACCCCAAAACTCCCCAAGACCTCCCCACAGGCCTGTCATTAGACCCTCTGAGCAGTCGAGGAAACTAGGGTTTTGGGAGTAATATGACTGGCCCAACTGGTGATGGATCCAGTTTGGATGGGGTGACACCCAGAGGCAGTCTCTGACACCCCAAACTCACTTTTACACTAGCAGCTTCTGGGGCTGGGCCCTTAGGAATGAACACTGGGATCAATTCCAGGTCTGCTCTGGCTGCTGGGGGCTGGCGAGAGAGTGCTGTGCCCCAGGCCTGCCCTCTTCCCTCAAGCAGCACTCTTATCTGCTCTGTGCCTGGGGCAGCCTGCCCCCTCTCACTCAGTAACAAGACCCCTCCCTCCCCCGAGGGACTGCGGGAAGCCAGGGGGGCACGGTCATTTCTGTTGGGAGAGTTCTCATCTTGAGCAAGATCCAGTGTCAGCCTTAGCAGCTGGTGCTGCACTCAGGCACCCAGGGACCCAGCTATGCTCCCTACTCATGAGGTGATAGCCCCTTCTCCAGGGTGCAGCCCGGGCTCATCCCACTACAGGGCTGATCCCGTACTGTTCCTGCTGCCATCTCAGGGCCGCCTCATGGATGGGCCAGTTGGGTATTAAAGGTAGTGGAAAACATTGGTAGGGTGCTTTCTCCAGGCCTGGTACTGTCCCAAGTACTTTCCATGTATTTACTCACTAAATACCCAGAGAACTCCCTAGATATCTCTAGGCCCAGATGGGTTCCTTAAGGCCTCTGTGATCACCCAGCTGGAAGAGCAAGCACTGAGACCCCTCCCCCAGTGCAGTCTGGTCCAGTGCCTGCACTCTCCCTGTGACCCTCTGGGTTCCCAGACAGTGTGCCCCACCTGTCACGAGTGTGTGATCTAAGGGACAGTCTCCCTTTGCCTGTCCCCAGCTTCTCCCTGTGTGGGTAAGATGTTATTTCCCTTGGCCTTCATCACAGCCTTGGTCGGAGGGTCATTCATTTTTGCAAAGGTGTTGCTCATTGTGTACCATATAGCCTCTGGGCACTGGGGACTGTGCACAGGGACCCCTGTCCTTGTGGAGTTTACTGTCTACAGGGGAAGCAGACAGTAAACAAGGTAGACAAGTAAAATCCAGAGTACACTGGAATATGGGAAGTATTTGGGGGGGAAGTAAAGGAAAGAAAAGGGTACTATTTGAGACAAGGTGGTCAGAGGCCTCCCTGAAGAAAACACCATTGCTGAAGGGTCTGATGAAGATAAGAAAGGGAGCCCAACTGGTGTCTGAGAGAAAAGGGTTCAGGTAGGAAGTGGCAATGCAAAGGCCCTGAGGCAAAAAGCTGTCTAGTGTCTCAGCGGAGGGAGGCCAGTGGGGCTGGAGAGGAAGTGCAAGCCATGTTACCTGCAGTGAGAGCTTTGGCTGCTATGCCAAGTGAATTGAGAGGGTATATTTATATATATATATATATATATATATATACACACACACACACACACACATACACATACACACACAAACATATATATATACATGTGTGTGTGTGGGTGTGTATTTTTATTTATTTTTTATTTATTTTTTTTTTTTAATTTCAGAAATGAATGGAGAGGGAGGAGATAGGAACATCAATGATGAGAGTCATTGATTGGCTTTCCGTACACGCCCCCTACTGGAGATCAAACCCACAACCTAGGAATGTGCCCTTGCTAACTCTGTTCACTGAGCCAAACTGGCTAGGATTTTTTTTTATTTTTTATAATAAGCATTGTATGATAGTTTGACAGCATTTTTTCATACTTTTTTATAATATATTTTTATTGATTTCAGAGAGGGAGAGAAAGATAGAAACATCAATGATGAGAAAGAGTCATTGATTGGCTGCCTTCTGCATGCCCCCTACTAGGGATTGAGCCCACAACCCCTGGCATGTGTCCTGGACCAGAATTGAACCCAGACCCTTCAGTCCTCAGGTCAATGTTCTATCCACTAAGCCAAACTAGCTAGGACTGGGAAGGGTATTAACTGAAGGAAGGCCGGCTGCTGAAATACACACACCTGCAAATTGCCTTCCATCCCAGGACCAAGGTTCTTTTCATCCTGTAGCTCTAGCCTCCTCTGAGTTCTGATCATCTCAATCATCCTAATCTGACACATATACTCTGTTTCCCCGAAAATAAGACAGTGTCTTATATTAATTTTTGCTCCCAAAGATGCGCTAGGTCTTATTTTCAGGGGATGTCTTATTTTTCCATGAAGAAGAATATGGTACACATTTATTGTTAAATGAAAATAAAGGAAATTTATTACCTGTATACGATATGGTAGTACGGTAGTTGTCAACACAAACCAGACAAACTGTGAATCCTACAGTATCAAGAATTTACTCATTTATTCAGTGACAATCATGTCATCATCTTCTGGAACATCATCATAACAATCCAATTCCTGAATTTCCTGGTGAATTTCTTGTGACTCCATTTCTTTTAGAATCAATGGACCATATCTCTCATGTTTAGCTTAGGGGGGCCTTATATTTCACTCAGAAGGAAACCTGTAAGTAGGTCTTATTTTCGGAGGATGTCTTATTTTTTGGGAAACATGGTAGCATCTAGGAAGACCTAGTCACTGGTTCATGAATTTCCTCAGAGGTGGAAGTTCATGAACCACTCACATTTCTTCGGGACTCAGCTGTATGGCCAGACCTATCTGCAAGGAATGCTAGGAAATGTAGTCCATTTGGGTGCCAGGAGGAAGAGACACTGGTTTGGTGAGCAGCTGGTCTCTCTCTTTCACAGAAAGTGACCAGCAGGTTCTTAAAGAGGGATATGACCTGAGTAGGTGTTCACTAACTCCCTCTGGCCACCGTAGGAAGGACAGAGCGAGGGGGTGGTGGTGGTTGAGGGTGGGAGCTGGGGGACCAGGGAGAAGGGACTGCATGGTTCAGGCAGGGGATGATGGGGCCATGACCAGGCGTGTGCGGGGAGGTTGGGGACGCTGTTGGCCTTTGGATGTATTTCGGATGCAGCACCGATAGGTTTTGCTGACAGATTGGAAGTAGGTGTGAGAAAGGGAGAAGTCAAGGAAAGCCCCAGGACTTGGCCTGAGCAGCTAGAACAGAGCTGCCCTCTCTGGGAGGGACATCCACGAATGCTGCAGGCTTTTCCTGAGAAGGCTCCGAGCCCAGAGCTGCCGAGAGGAGTGTGGAGCCTGTGAGATCCCCTCGGCGGAGGGGGGGGGGGGGGTCAGCAGAGGAGGCGGTGGGATGTAATCGTCTGCAGCTCCACAGGAGTCCGGATGGGAGTGCTCACATGGCAACACAATAGATACTTGATCTTGGTTCTTAATTCCTGGCACAGAGCTCCTAAAACGCTTGGAATTCCCTGAGAGAGAGGAATGCCTTTCGTTATCCGAAGTCCTGTTTTGGAAGGAGCCCCTTTGAAACACACCTGGGCTCTATGCTAACGAGGTGACTCAGGAGGAGGGCTGGTCACCAAAAAGACCAAACACACGATTAGAGGTGCAGTCTCTCTCAGCCCCACACCCAGTCCCCGGGCTGTGGGAGGGCCTGGAGGTTGGAGAGTTTCTGGGTGAACGTGCGGAGGCATGGAGAGGGCACAGCTGGAGAGGGCGTGGCAGCTCCGTGACCTGCCCTGTGCCTTCCCTGTGCATCTCTTCCATCCGGCGGTGGCTGAGTCTTGTCCTTTATAACAAAACTGTCATCGGAAATGAAGCATTTTAGTTTTTAGTTTTTAAAAAAATATATTTTATTGATTTTTTACAGACAGGAAGAGAGAGGGATAGAGAACTAGAAACATAGATGAGAGAGAAACATTGATCAGCCGCCTCCTGCACCCCCCCCCCAACAGGGGATGTGCCTGCAACCAAGGCACATGCCCCCGACCAGAATCGAACCTGGGACCCTTCAGTCCACAAGCCGATGCTCTCTCCACTGAGCCAAACTGGTTTTGGCTTGAAGCATTTTCGTGAGTCCTATGAACCATTCTAGCAAATTATCAAACCTTGTCAAAACCAGTTTGGCTCAGTAGATAGAGTGTTGGCCTGCGGACTGAAAGGTCCCAGGTTCGATTCCTGTCAAGGGCATGTACCCTGGTTGCCGGCACATCCCGAGTAGGAGGTGTGCAAGAGGCAGCTGATCGATGTTTCGCTCTTATCGATGTTTCTAAATCTCTACCCCTCTCTTCCTCCCTGTAAAAAAATCAATAAATATATATATATATATAAAACAAAATAAAAAATTTTTTTGAGTTTTTATTTTTTTTATTTTGAAGGAATATTTAATATTAACATTGTGAGTTATTATCTTTTGCATATCAAAGTTACATATTTCAAACAAATCGTCATTTATATTTACAGTATACAAATGCAAAGCACTAATTTCCCACTAAATCATCACTTTCTTAAAATGGTACATGTGATGTTATGAAATTAGCTACTAAGTATTCGAAATAGTGGAAAAGAGGTCCTTTCTTCAGTCTTTTTTTTTTTAAATATATATATATATTTTTATTTCCCCCCCCCTCCCTCCCACACATCCCCTCCCTCCCCAGAGTTTTATGTCCATTGGTTGTACTTATGTGCATGTATAAAAGTCCTTCGGTTGATCTATTATCTCCCCCAGATCTAAAATAAAATAAAATTTAAAAAAATTTATCAAACCTAAACATGGGTTCGTGGGAACTCCTGGTCAATAGGTAGGAGGGCAAGTGGCCTGGGACTTACAGGTGGCCTGGGGCTTGCAGCTGGCGTCTGAAGTGGGGTCATTCTGGGGTCTGATGTAGTGTGGAAATTGTATTGAACTGCTGGACACAGAATCAGGGTAGGATTTAACACCATCAGCCCAGCTGAAACCCTGGGGTGATCTGATCGGAGCACTCAGAGAGGCCCCAGCTAGAACCTTCAGACCTTTAAGAGCAAAAAAGGCTGCGAAGGAGCCACCACAGAGGAGTTGGGGAACGAATGGGCCAGAGGCAAAGGGAGGAGAGCATCTGTGAGGAGCAGGGATGACTGAGGAGGATGGGGACTGAGAAGTGACCGCTGTTGGTGCCAGTGAGGAGTCGCAGCACCAGCCCCTTTTGAGCCCTCAACAAGCACCAGCTGCCGCCGCCATGATTGTAACCGTCTCTTTCCTCTGTCACCACAGTGGACAACGGCCTGGGGGCCGGCAGCTCCAACTCGTCCAGCTCCTGCTCTGGCTCTGACTCTGAGGAGCCCCCTGAAGGCCAGCCGGCCAAGGCGACAGTTGCAGCAGCTGCTGTTACCCCCACCAGCCCAGCGGGCAGCAGTGGCCTCATCACGCAGGAGGGTGTGCACTTCCCTTTCGACGTCCACCACGTGGAGAGCCTGGCTGAGCAGGGCGCCGCACTGTGCCCCAACCCAGCAGGCAGTGGGCCGGAAGCCCTGGAGACTGTGGTGTGTGTGCCAGTGCCCATGCAAGTGGGCCCGGGCCCTGGCACCCTTTTTGAGAACATGCCCCAGGAGGCACTGGGCGAGGTGGTAGCCAGCTGTCCCATGCCAGGCATGGTGCCTGGCTCTCAGGTGATCATCATCGCAGGCCCAGGCTATGATGCCCTCACGGCTGAGGGCATCCACCTCAATGTGGCAGCAGGCAGCAGTGCACCCAGCGGGGGCCTGGGTGACGAGGTGCCCTGCGCCATGATGGAGGGTGTGGCAGCCTACACCCAGACGGAGCCTGAGGGCAGCCAGCCCGGCGCTGTGGACCCCACCACCATGGCAGGCATGGAGACCAAGAAAGGTCTGGGGGCCCACGCTAGTCTGGGGGTGCTGGGATGGGAGTGCCTGGGAGGGGGAGGGCGAGGAGGGCCCTAGAGGGGACTCCTGGAAAGCCTTCGTCCCCGCGGACACCTGCCCTGTGTCACCCCGTAGAGAAGGAGGACCTGTACATGCTTAAGAAGGAGGAAAAGGATGAGCCGGTGGCTCCAGAGCTGGCAGAGTTGGCAGCGACAGTGCCTGAGAGTGCAGAGCCTGAGGCAGAGGCAGACGGGGAGGAGCTGGACAGCAGTGACATGTCAGCCATCATCTATGAGATCCCCAAGGAGCCTGAGAAGTGGGTGTCAGGCGGGCGGGGCCCGGTGACCCTGGCTGGTGTGGGAGCCCTAACGCCACGGGCCTTCCTCTCCAGGAGGCGGAGGAGCAAGCGGTCACGGGTGATGGACGCCGACGGCCTGCTCGAGATGTTCCACTGCCCCTACGAGGGCTGCAGCCAGGTGTATGTGGCTCTCAGCAGCTTCCAGGTGAGGCTCCCCCCCCAAATGGCTGGGCAGGGTGTGCTTCTGTGTCCAGCAGCCTGTGGCTAGTAGAGAGCCCCCCCAGCCCCCCAGCAGGTGCCACGTGCCCGCCTCCCACATGCCCACTGGCCTCCGGCATACCTGCCCTGCCTCACCAGCCACAGCCTCTGTCTGCACCCCCCGTGGCTGCCTGCTCCTGGCCTGGAGGCCTCCCCGCACTCTTGCTTTTCTACTTGCCCAACTCCTACTACCTCTGCCCACGCCGCCCTCTTGGCTCAGGGTGGTAGGGCCTGCAAGCCTCAGGCCATTGTACCACCAAGTCGTACCTGCAGGTTGCCCACGGGGCCTTGGGCCACCCCAAGGGCAGAGACAGGGCCTTACCATGTCCCCACTCTGGGCAAAGGAGGGGTCACAAGTTGGCCCTTGAATTTGCCAAATCATGTTTTCATTAAGCACATATTGAGCACCACCCAATGCCAAGCCTGGTTGGGCACCGAAGCTACAGGTGTACTAGCGAGCTAAAGAACAAAGGAAGACCCAACCAGCGTGGCTCAGTGGTTGAACCTGTGAACCAGGAGGTCACGGTTCGATTCCCAGTCAGGGCACATACCCGGGTTGCGGGCTCAATCCCCAGTGTGAGGGGTGCAGGGATCAGTGGTTCTCGTCATTGATGTTTCTATCTGTCTCTCTCTGTCCCTTCCTCTCTGAAATCAGTAAAAATATATTTTAAAAAAACAACACCACAAAGGAAAGGGTGACTGAGAGCTTTCTGCTCCAGGCCCCGGGGAGAAGGGGAGGCGGGAGAGGGCTCGCAGTATAGCACCATGGCAAAGAGCCTGCTATAGACTGACAGTCCTAGAATCCAGTCCCAGCCCTGCCACTGCCCAGCTGTGAGACACCAGGCAAACTGCTGAGCCTCTGGAGACTCAGTTTCCACATCCATAAACGGCTAATGGCGGGGCCCTTCTTAGGGTTGTGATAAGATTCAATGATGCCCCAACCCAGAGCCTGGCTGGAGTCCATGCTCAGTAAAACTGATCCCATGGGCCCCAACTTGGAGCTGGCAGTCCATCCGAAGGACAAGGGCACCCCTCTTCCCTCCTCCAGGGAAATGCCCCAGCCTGACCCCCAGCAGCCCTCACCTGTCCCCATAGCACCCACAGCACCACTCCGGCCCCTCTCGTCTCCAGAACCATGTCAACCTTGTGCATCGAAAAGGGAAGACCAAGGTGTGTCCTCACCCTGGCTGTGGCAAGAAGTTCTACTTATCCAACCACCTACGGCGACACATGATCATCCACTCAGGTAAGGCCCTGGGGCCCGGCGGCCTGAGCCTTGGAGCCAGAGCGCGTTCAGGCAGGGGCAAGCTTGCCCAGGACTGCCTTTCTTGGTTTCCTGCCTGTCCCACATGGACTAGCTTGAGGTGGTGGACTAACCTGGAGCCCCCAGGCACCTCCCTGAGGCTGCACTGCTGGAACCGTGTCAAGAGAGCAGCATGAGATTAAAGAGCGAGCTGCATAAGCCACAGTGACGCTGACTGTCACACCTCATGTGGAGCGAGGCCCATTGGCCTCCTGACTCCTCCACGCAGATCTCAGGCTGGAGCGGTTGCAGAGCCGAACAGCCTGAAGGGGCATCAGGCTAGGAACAGGGCCTCTGTTTCTTCTGCTCCAAACACCTCCTTGCCCCAGAGTGGGGGCTGAGACGCAGCAGCCAGGGTTGGTGCCTGTGACCAGAGGGAGAGCATGGATTTGGATTTTTTGAGATCAGAACTTTGGATTTTTATGTGAAATTGTGCCAAAGTCCAAATGTTGGGGTCAAATTCAAACCCATCTGCACGCTGTGCTGCTCCTCAGGAACCGGAGCTCACACTCCATCTCTGCCTGGGGCGCTCCTGGGCAGCGACCATGAGCCCCCCCTTTATCAGCCTCTCTGGTTATTAGACTTGACCTTCAAGCCTGGAGGGGGGGTTTGGTTCCTGTGCACCTGGTCTCCCTAGTGCAGTGGAGACACTCCCAGCCCCCCTCTCCCCCCCAAGAGCGGAGCCCTCAGCCCGTGCTTCCCCCAGGTGTCCGGGAATTCACCTGTGAGACCTGCGGCAAATCCTTCAAAAGGAAGAACCACCTGGAGGTACACCGGCGCACACACACCGGCGAGACACCCTTGCAGTGAGTGACAGGCGCCCCGAGAGGGTACTAGGAGGGAGGAGATCCGGGCCTGGACCAGCACAGAGCAGGTCCCACGGGCACGCTCCGTCCTGGGGTTGCCATGCCAAATCCATCTGCACTCCAGTCCCAGATGGCGCCAGCCCTTTCTGGGCCGGCCCTGCCCCCTCTGACTGTGCCCTGACTCCTGGCAGGTGCGAGATCTGCGGCTACCAGTGCCGGCAGCGGGCTTCGCTCAACTGGCACATGAAGAAGCACACGGCAGAGGTGCAGTACAATTTCACGTGCGAGCGCTGCGGGAAGCGTTTCGAGAAGTTGGACAGCATCAAGTTCCACACTCTCAAAAGCCACCCCGACCACAAACCCGCCTGACCCCCCGCCAGCGACCGTCCCTATTTATTTGTCCACTCCGATGCCACTGCTGGGCCTGCTGGGCCTGGACTGCCATGGGGGCCACCCCGCAGGCGGGAAGGAGATGCCCCTGCCCCACCCGGGGCTGGTCCCCCCCCTCCCCTCTGGAGCTGGCGACGGGGGCTGCACTGCTGGAACTGTGTCTAGAGCAGAGCAAGATTAAAGAGTGAGAAAGTAGATGCCCTCCCCATAGACCTGGATGATTTGGGGCTGAGGGGGTCTCTTCTCCAACCTGGTCCCAGCCTGAGTGAGGCCTCAGGTGCAGCTGGTAGGTAGGGGAAGTCATACTGGCAGACCAGGGACCTGGTCAACCCTGAGCAACCCTGAACATTCGCTTCTCACAGGCCAGGGCTGGGGGTTTGGGCACCCAGGGAAGCCACTTGACATCTCCCTGGACTTTCTCCTGACTCTGCCAATTTCTCATGGGTCACTCATTCCCCACCCTAGAGAGGTCAGGGACCAGTTCAGTAAAACCTTAAGACATCTATGACTGAGACAAGCACCATGCAGACAATAGTGTATTAGTTTTTGGGGGAGCTGTGTAGGTCAGTGGTCAGGTAGTAGTTGAACATTGATCAGAATGACAAAAAGGTTCCATCCCAGAGAAAGCTGAGGGAGGCAAATCCCAGGCTGAAGGAACAGCCGGTGCCAACACCGCGAGGTAGAATGGGCTCGGAGTGTTCCTGGAACAGGAAACCGCGGGGGAAGGGAGTTGGCATCGACAGGGCGGCTGCTCTGGTCCCAGTACCTGGAGGACACTGAGGCCACCTCCTCACCCCGTAGACTGCCAGGGGGAGAGAGGGGCGGGAGTGAAACCAGGCTACACAGCCGCCAGGTGGCGCACAAGCTGCACGGGCCAGTATGGCTGCAGCCACGTGACCCTGGGGACCACAGCCGCGAGCTGGACAAGGGCCCTGGCGAGCCCATGGCGAGCCGCGCAGATTTCCCCCACCAGCTCCTCGCCAGTTGGAGCGAGGCCGCAGCTAGCGCTCATTTTACACTTCTAATCGGGGTCTACAATCAGGGACAAGCGTCGGCGAGGAAGAGCCAGTCCGGCCGCTGGGGCCGCCCTTCCGAGAGCCGCCCCCTCTCCCCCCAGGCTCTGTCTTCTTAGCTGTCTCCGCACGGCGGGAGCCAGCAGTTTCCATGGGAACCGCAGTCGGGTCTGCGGGCCCAGGAGTAGCCCCTTGCAAGCCAAGCACAGCTTCTAATCCCATTGGAGCCGGGAGGATCAGGGGGTGGGGAACAAGCCATCGCTCGGGGCCTCTGGAGTCAGCCGCCACATTGCCCTGCCAAACCTTAGAAGGGCCACCGGGTCCCGCCACGCCACCGCCCGGGCTGCGCGGCCACTACGATTGGCCTCCCCCTCCATCAGCCAGGCCGCGCGCTCCGCTGCTCGGGTTCTCATTGGCTCCACCTCGAGGGCGTCCTGCAATTCGTTCTTGCCAGGGCCGTCCCTGATTGGTCAGAATAGGCTCTTCTCGCAGGGTTTGGCGACACTCCCGGACGGTCTGGAGGCTAAAAGGGCGTGCGGGGCCGAGGATAGGGTGGGGGCTGCCACTCTCTGGTTCAGAGGGTCGTGGCTACCCCCGCCCGCAAGAGGACGGTTTGGGGCCATCGGGCCGCTGTCTGTGGTGCTGAAGGCCGTCCCACGTAAACATGCACCAAAGGTGATGTGCCACCTTCCATCGCCTTAGTAGCGTCCAGGTTCCCCGAGCAGAAAGGGAGATGACTCCGCGGTCGGACCAATCCTGAGCTCGGAAAGCCAGGACATTCTGCCAGCAGGTCAGCCCACCCATAGTGTATGTTGTCCCAGAATGCCCAGGGGTTTCCCAGGGCTTCAGGGCACCAGCAAGGTTTGCCTGGAATCCTAAGACCCAAACCTCGTTCCCCACTTTGCGGCCGTGCCAAGTGCCCCTGCATTGTGGGGTGCCAGTCCACAGCTTTTGAACCCCAGAGACACCTAGCCCACAGGGAACCAGTTCCTTCTGCAGGAAGACTGGGACCCCCAGCCATCCCCACCTTCTTCCCTTAGCATCAGGAGACTACACCTGGTCCCCCCAAATCTGGGGACCCAGGGCTTTGCCTATTGAAATCTTGGATCCTTGTCCCTTTCCAGTCTTCTTGTAGACAGCACCTCAGGGAGGTCGTACAAAGGGTCACAGATACCTCCTGTCCCTCTTTGCTTCTCCAGCTCCAGGTGCTGGACGGAGGAGAGCCTGCCCTGACTTCCGGTTAGAAAGTCCTTCCTAAAAGGGGTGCCCGGGCAGAAAGTAGGGTCCGCTGAGTCTAAAGAGCCGGGATCTGGCCATATTGGTCCCCAGAAAGCGAGTCCGGGCCGGCGCGCTCGCTTCCACCTGCCGCGCCGTCGGGCGCCGCGAGGAGGCGGGGCTTGGGTGCTGCAGCCAATGAGCGTCGCCGGCGCTGGCAGCTGCGGATATAAAGGGCTGGGGGCGGCGGCGGCGCGGCCCAGATCGCGGAGCGCGCAGCGCGGGCCGGAGGGTGGGAGGGAGGGCGGGCGAGGGGACAGCACTGAGCATCAGGAACCCGACCGGCCGGGCGAGAGGCAGGGCGCCGCGATCTCTGTGGGAAAGGCAAACTGCCCGGGCCCCGCGGGGCCGTGCAGGGGACCTTCTCGGCCCCGCGCCCGCCCGCCCGCCCTTTCCATCCTCTGCGGCCCGCAGACCACTCCGGGCTCGGTTATCCGCGCGCGCGCCCGCGGGCTCGGGCCCGTCTCCAGCCTCGAGGGAGCCGCCGCCTCCACCGACACCTCTGCAGCGGCCGCGCCCGAGGCCGCCCGGGTGGAACCCCGGCGTGAGCACCGAGCGCGCGACCCCCGGAGCCGCCCCCAGCACGGACCGCGCCCGCCGGGCACACAAGAATGGTCACTGTAGGTATCCCCTGTCGCCGCGAGGGAGCCTCGCCGGGAAGGGGCGAGGCTCGGGCTCCGCGGAGATGGAGGCTGTGGGGGGGTAGGACCAGGCCCAGCTAGGCCCAGTCGGGGCGGGGGTTGGGGGGAGGACCGAGCCGCGGAGCCTGAGAGCGGGCTGCGCCGCGCCCAGCGTGCCGAGGGCGCTTAGCGTCTGGCCGGGAGGCCTCGGGGCTCCAGGCCGCGATTCGGGGCATCCTCCGGCGGCCCGGGGACGGGATTGTCCCCCTCCCGCATGCCGATGGGGGAGGGGCCGCGGCGACGGAGGATGCCTCCTCCCTCCAGGCCCGGACCCCGCAGGCCGCCCAGGCAGACGCGGGGCCCCGGTGAGGGTGCTGGGCCGGGACACGGCGTCCAGGCAGCCCCGAGGGCCCCGGGCGCCAGCCGGTGGCGTCGGATCGCGCGCCCCAGGCCTCGGCCGCGCCTGGGATCCGGGCATCTCGTCCTCGAGCCCGTCGACCTTGCGGCAAGCGGGGAGGGGAGGGGAGGGGGCGCGCCCGGAGGCCCCGCGGGCCCGCCGCCGCCGCGGCTCTTTGTTTCTCGGCGCTTCTTCGCGGGCCCTGGCATCGCGCGGGCGCTTCGGGCTGCAGGAGGGGGAGGGGATCGCAGGGCCCGCGGGGCGGGGGGCATCCGGGCTGTGCGTCCCGGTGCACCGCGGGGTGGGGCAGGGGCTCAGGCAGGCCCCCCAGACCAGGGCCGGGCGCCGCACCCGCCGGGGCGCAGGGCCGCGGGGTGACCTTGAGCGCCCGCCCGGCGCCCGCCCGGCTCCGGTGTTTTCAGCAGCCGCCGAGCTGGTCAGCTCCCCGGCGCGGCCGCGCCCGGCCACACCCGGCCTGGCCCCGCCCCGCCCCGCCCATGGGCGCCCCGCCCCCGGGCCCGGGGGACCGGCCGCGCCCGAGCCCTCGGGTTTCCTGCGGGCTTCCCGGGCGGGCGTCTCCCGGGGGCGGGGCGGGCCAGCTCTAGCCCAACCCCGGCTCCCCCTCCGCCCCCGTGGAGCCACTCTGCTCCCCGAGCCGCCGCCGCGCGTCCTTTGTCTGGTCCCGGCGCCCTGGCCTTCGTCCGCCCTTCCAGCCTCTGGCTTCTGTGTGTGTGCTGTGTATGGGTGTGAGAGAGTGTGTATGGGTGTGTGTGTGTGTGTGTGTGTGAGTGTGTGTGTGTGTGCTGTGTATGGGTGTGTGCTGTGTGTGTGTATGTGTGTGGGGGGAAGCTCAGCACTCCCCCCTGGGCCTTGGGGCCCGCCCACCTGGCTCTGAGAAATGAGGCTGGATGGAGAGGCCTGCTGTGTGACCTCAAGCCACCTCCTTCCCCTCTCTGGGCCTCACCCTGCTCACCCAAGTCCAGGAAAGTGAACGAGGCTTCCCGAGGACCCTCAGAACCCCTACATCCATCCCTTCTCCTCTGATCTGTCCCCTTTTTTTGAAAAAGGGAAACTGACGCACAAAGAGGAGAGGGTGTGGTCAGAGGTCACGGGAGGGCCGAGGAGGCTTGTTTACTCCAGTAGAGGGCACTCAGGCAGGGACCCACCCTAGGGACAGGCTGGCAGGAAGTGAGGGGATACATTGAGACAGTGAGAGCCCTGCATGGAGGGAGAAAGGCCCAGAAGTGGGAGGCTCCATTAGCACCACGTGGTGGCTCGGCCTCATCATGCATAGCCACTCAATGCCCTATTGTCACCGGTGTCCAAGCATCTGTCACTGTGACCGAGGCCGGGGGGTGCAGCCGGGGCCAAGGGGGTCAGACACGGGAGAGTCTACACAGCCACTGACCGCAGGCGTGTTCCCTGCATACTATGTATGTCAGATATATGTGGAATGGTGCAAAAGAGTTGGAGAAAGATTGAGAGAGAGGGACGGGGAGACAGAGTGGTTCAGAGAGGAACGGTGAACAGAGGAGGGGAAAGAGAGAGAGAAAAGGAGGAAGAGATCCCCAGAGGAAGAGCTGGAGAGAGGAAGGTTCCATCGCTCCCAGTGGGCATCTGCCTCTCCATCCAAGACCCCCTCCCTCTTTTAATTTCTCCCTCCCCCCCACCCCTGGAACAGCCCTCCGAGGTCCCTGTGATTCCCGTGTCCTGTCAGGCCACACATTTGCTGCGGACTGGAGCAGGGTGGGTGTGACCTCCACCAGTCTGATCCCCATTAGCGGCTTAGCCGGCTCAGCCGTGGAGGAAGCGCAGGTGACACTGATCCCGCTAAGCCCGGGCACAGAGGGAGGGAGATGTGGTGGTGAGATTCACAGGCTGAGGCTCCAGGTCCAGAGTAGAAATCCCCCATCACCTATTTTTAAAATTGATTTTAGAAAAAAAATAATAAATTGATTTTAGAGAGAGGAAGGGAGGGAGAGAGTGACATTAATGTGAGAGAGAAACATTGATTGTTTGCCTCCTGCATGCACCCTGACTGGGGATCGAACCTGCAACCTGGGTATGTTCCCTGACCAGGAGTCAAACCCGCCTCCTTTTGGCGTACAGGACGACACTCTAACCAACTGAGCCACACAGGCCAGGGCCCCACTCACCTCTAAATCCCCTTCAAGTTGAGTACAGCATTGGGGGGTGGGAAGGATCTGTAACCCAGTTGGCTTTGGGGTTATCTGATTAGGAGTCAAACCCTGACTGTATGACCACCACCTCCCCCGGTCACCCTGGGAGTTACAGGTCCCTCTGGCCCTTATTTCTCCATCTGGAGACGTAGAGACAATATCGCCTGCTTTCTGTGTGGCTGCGGAGTCCATGAAAACTTTGCGGTTGTTCTGTGCCAGGCTCATGGTCGGGGTTCCAGAGCTGGAACCTGGGATGTCCTGACACGGGGCCATGTACTGCCGAATGCTCCTCTAGTTCCCGTAGACATTATCAGCTGATGGCAGAACCGTGTCTCACTGAGCCCGGGCAGGATTTCAGAGTCTTACCTCCAGACACGGGGACTTCCGTTCCTTTAGTGGCGGGCAGGACAGAGGTCCAGAGAGGCAATGTGAGTGTCAGAGGACACACCGTGAGGAGGGGAAGCCAGCGGCTGGCACCTGGTGGCACCCAGGAAGTATTTGTTGAATTGAATGGGTAGTAAACTCAGCCCACACAGTGGATTTATATGTAGGGATGCTCGGGGCGTGGCATGGAGTGGGTGCTCAGCTTCCCTTGACTGTTGTTATTTTTACTGTTATTGGCCTTTTCGTTAGGAACGTGGGCTCTGGAGTTCACACCCTGGATTTGAATTCTTGGTCCATCGTTTGCCGGCTGTCCAACCTCGTACTCTTCCTATCCCTTTGTTGACACGGTTTCCTCACCTGTTAAAAGGAGCAAGAGCCCCATAACACTTGACACTGCCAGTCCCGGGCAGCCGATCTCAGCCCACTGGAGATGCAGGGGCCTCGGTCCTCTGTGCCACCCTCTTACCAGTGATAATAAAAATCCCTGGGAAGGAAGGAGGGGCCCAAAGAAGAGCTAAGATGATCCCCGAGGGCACACAGCTCCCAGGTGGCAGAGCCGCCCCACTGGATTGGCCACAATCATTAAAAACAGCTCTGAAGCCTGGCTGGCGGGGTCCGGTGGTTGAGCGTCGACCTATGAACTAGGAGGTTACAATTTGATTCCGGGTCAGGGCACATGCCTGGGTTGCTGGCTCAATCCCCAGTGTGGGGCGTGCAGGAGGCAGCTGATCTCTGACTCTCTCTCATCATTGATGTTTCTATCTCTCTCCCTCTCCAGTCCTCTCTGAAATCAATTAAAAATATATATATTTTAAAAAGTCTGACACAAGAAAGTTTGAAATGGAGTCCCCCATTTATATCTCTCAACACCGCTGAGCCTCAGCTTCCTCACTTATGAAACAGAGAATGTGTTGCTGTCTTTTAAAATAGTTGAGAGAGCCTGGCTCAGCGGTTGAGCATCGACCCATGAACCAGGAGGTCACTGGTTTGATTCCAGGTTGGGGGCACATGCCAGGGAAGCAGGCTGGATCCCAGTAGGGTGTGTGCAGAAAGCAGCCAATCGATGTTTCTTTCTTTTTAAAAATATTGTTTGAAGTATTACATACGTCTCTGCTTCCCCCCTCCCCCCCATTAACACCTTGCAGCCCATCCCCACACCCTGTCCCAGGTTTTTACCGTCTAATTGCCGGTGTCCTTGGGGTCGATGTTTTTCCGTCTCTATCCCTCTGCCTTCCTCTCTCTCTAAAAAACAATAAAGGGAAAGGATGGTTGAGAGAATAAGTGAAGTCATGCCTTGAAGCACATCACACAGTGCTTAACACATGAGCAGGGCGGTTATTAATAGCAGGATCATGAGGCATGGATGGCAGACATGGCTAACTGGCCCCAGAATGCTTTCCAGCCGTGCTCCTGTGTAGCTTTAGATCCTTCCCCAAGCCCATGGGGCGGTAATTTGAAGTTCTGGCCAAGTGGAGCGGAGGCCCAGAAGCACTAAGTGGCATACCTGAGGAAGCAGCTGGGAAATGGAGCCAGTGCTAGGTTAGCAGTGGAATTTGGAAACACAGACTCTGGATCAGAAAAGCTCATATGCAAAATCCCCTGCTCCATCACTTACAGGCTGCATGGTCTCTGGTAATTTTCCAAACATCACTGATGCTCTCTTTCTTTCTTTCTTTCTTTTTAAAATATATTTTATTGAGTTTTTACAGAGAGGAAGAGAGAGGAATAGAGAGCTATAGAAACATCGATGAGAGGGAAACATCAATCAGCTGACTCTTGCACACCCCCTACTGGGGATGTGCCCACAACCAAGGTACATGCCCTTGACCGGAATCGAACCTGGAACCCTTCAGTCCCCAAGCCGACGCTCTATCCATTGAGCCAAACCAGTCCTGGCTTTTTTATTTATTTTTAAATTTAATTTTATTTTATTGATTTTTTACAGAGAGGAAGGGAGAGAGATAGAGAGCTAGAAAGGTCGATGAGAGAGAAACATCGACCTGCTGCCTCTTGCACACTCCCTACCGGGAATGTGCCTGCAGCCACGTACATGACCCTGACCGGAATCGAACCTGGGACCCCCTCAGTCTGCAGACCGACACTCTACCACTGAGCTAAACCCGTTTCGGCTCGGCTCTTTCTTATTAAATATATATATATTGTGGTGATCATTTTGCAATATATATATATATTTCAGAGAAGAGAGAGATAGAAACATCAATGATGAGAGGGAATCATTGATTGGCTGCTTCCTGTACACATACACACACACCCCTACTGGGGATCGAGCCCACAACCTGGGCCTATGCCCTTGACCGGAATCGAACTCAGGACCCTTAAGTCTGCAAACCGATGCTCTATCCACTGAGGCAAACCAGCTAGGGTGCCGCTCCCGTTCTTTACCTGTTGTCTCCGCTGAGATCGCTATAAAAGCATGCCATAAACTGTGTGGCTTAAACACAAACATTTATTCCTCCCAGTTCTGAAGGCTGGGTCGTCCAGTTTCAAGGTGCCTGCTGCTTTGCAGACAGCTGCCTTGCTGTGTCCTCACTTGGCGTAGAGAGAAGTCACCTCTCTCCTGTCCCTTTGTGTCACACACAAATCCCATTCACGAGGGCTCCGTCTTCATGACCTAATTACCTCTCAAAAGCCCCGCCTCTACGTATCACCTTGGGGGTTATGGTTTCAACCTATGAATGGGGGGTGGGGGGGGGGGAAAACAAGCGTTTAACCCATAACACGTTACGCAGAGGGAATAAAATCCTCCTCTTGTGAGGGCAGTTGTGAATAAGAGAAGGAAGGCTGCCTGTCGAGGGCTGTGCGCTTTGCCTGGCACAGAGGGAATGCCATCTGGGAACAATTACAGGATTGTGTTTTGAGTCAGGGATGATGGAGGTGGGGGTACCTGCGGACTGTTCCTGATTCTATGGCCACAGCAGACATTGCTAATCGATCACAGTAGTCTTCCTCGCTGAAACCGGATGTGGCTTCACATCTTTTTGAACTCCACCTAGAAAGACCCTGCCAATCAATTTGCATTTTCTGGGGAGGGCAACCTATTCCCCAACCCCGTTGTAAGAAAAGACCTACTTTGCCTTCCTTCCCTTGCCCATCACAGACAATACCAATCAACCCGGCACTCTCCTTCTGTGCCCAGATGTGGCTTTGAAGTTCTCGTTGTGGGCCTTCGATATAAAATAGATGTAAAATATATTTTAAAGTTGTTAAGAGAGTAGGTATTAAAAGTTCTCATTTTTGTAGCTATGGATGGTGATGAATGTTAACTGGACTTATTGTGGTGATCATTTTGCAATATATACAAATATTAAGACACTATGTTGTATGCCTGAAAGTAATATAATGTTATATGTCAGTTATATCTCAATTTAAAAAAAATTTTTAAATATATTTTTTTATTGATTTTGTACAGAGAGGAGGGGAGAGAGATAGAGAGTTAGAAACATCGATGAGAGAGAGTCATCGATCAGCTGCCTCCTGCACACCCCCTACTGGGGATATGCCCGCAACCGAAGTACATGCCCTTGACCGGAATCGAACCCGGGACCCTTAAGTCCCCAAGCCGACGCTCTATCCATTGAGCCAAACCAGTCTCGGCTCAATTTAAAAAATTGATGTAGGAAAAGAACATTCAATAAAATTTAACATCCATTATATTTAAAAATATATATTGTTTGGATAGTAGGAAAAAAATTAAACATTATTTTTTTAAACTAAACATTCTTAACCTGATAAAGGCCACTTACACACACACACACACACACACACACACACACACACACACAAAAAACCTTACAGAAAGGTCATATTTAGCTGTGAAATGTTTAAAACATTTCCTTTAAAGTTAGAAACAAAGAAGATACTATCACAGTGTAATGCCTGCACTAAGACAAGAAAAATAAATAACAGATAGAGATTGGAGATAAACTGTCATTATTTGCAGGTGTTATGCTTATGCTTTTTTTTTTTTTTTTTAAAGGCTTATCCCAGCTGGCATGGCTCAGTGTCTGAGCGTTGACCTATGAACTAGGCCAGCGGTTGGCAAACTCATTAGTCAACAGAGCCAAATATCAACAGCACAACTATTGAAATTTCTTTTGAGAGCCAAATTTTTTCAACTTAAACTTCTTCTAATGCCACTTCTTCAAAATAGACCCACCCAGGCCGTGGTATTCTGTGGAAGAGCCACACTCAAGGGGCCAAAGAGTCGCAAGTGGCTTTCGAGCCGCAGTTTGCCGACCACGGAACTAGGTCATGGATTCCCAGTCAGGGCACATGCCCGGGTTGCAGGCTCCATCTCCAATAGGGGGACCTGCAGGAGACAGCCAATCAATGATTCTCTCATTAATGTTTCTATCTTTCTCTCTCCCTCTCTCTTCCCTCTGAAGTCAACAACTGTATATATATTCTAGCCCAAACCCGTTTGGCTCAGTGGTAGAGCGTCGGTCTGCGGACTGAAAGGTCCCAGGTTCGATTCCGGTCAAAGGCATGTACATTGGTTGCGGGCACATCCCCTGTAGGGGGTGTGCAAGAGGCAGCTGGTCGATGTTTCTCTCTCATCGACGTTTCTAGCTCTCTATCTCTCTCCCTTCCTCTCTGTAAAAAATCAATAAAATATATTTTTAAAAAAATAACTGTATATATATTCTAACGCTTAGTGGGAAAACTGGGGGTGCCCTGGCTGGTGTGGCTCCGTGTCATCCAATGCACCAAAGGGTCCCTGGTTCCATTGCCGGTCAGAGTGCATGAGGCAGTGAGTTAATGTTTGTCTCTCCCATCGATGTTCTCTCCCCATTCCTCTTCCTCTCGCCCTCTTCCATCCTCTCTTTAAAATTCATAAAAATATATATTTTAAAAGCTTTGTTTTTAAAAAAATAGGGAAAACTGTGGGTGCAAATGCCTAGTGGGAAATTTATGCACAAAATGTAAACACATTTGGGATAGGAATTACCTTTGGTGGGAGAAGGAAAGTACATGGGCAGGGAGGAGTTTATGGGAAATGGCTGCAAAGCTAATAAAAATGTTATATTTTTTATCCTGAAGACAAATGTGGTCATTATAGCCCCAGCCGGTTTGGCTCAGTGGATAGAGCATTGGCCTGCAGACCGAAGGGTCCAGGGTTTGATTCTGGTCAAGGCCATGTACCTTGGTTGCAGGCTCCTCCCCGGCCCAAGCCCTGGTCAGGGCGCATGCAGGAGGCAACCAATCAACGTGCTTCTCTCACATGGATATTTCGCTCTGTCTTTCCTCTCTCTTCCACTCTCTCTAAAAATCAGTGGGGGGAGGGGAGCCGCAATGGGGCAATAAGGACACATATGTAATATCTTAATCAATAAAGAAAAAAAATCAATGGAAAAAATATCCTCGGGTGAGGATATTTTAAAAAGTGTTCATTATATTATTCTGGGGGGGAAAAAATCATGTGCTAAGTGCTTTGCTCAGTGCTCAGGGAGCGGAAGGGGGTATTAGAATAATGTGACGTCCTCTCCCCATGTTCAAGCCCGTGGCGGACACGAGCGATCCATCACCAGCGCGCCCCTGCTCACTCCCCTGGTCTCCTGGGGACTGGGCCGTGAGTGGGTGTGGCCTGTTGTCTCCAGCAGATACTCGGGGCCATGGAGTCTCAGGTGGCAGGGGGCCCGGCCGGCCCGGCCCTGCCCAATGGGCCACTCCTTGGTACGAACGGAGCCACTGACGACAGCAAAACCAACCTCATCGTCAACTACCTGCCCCAGAACATGACCCAGGATGAGTTCAAGAGCCTCTTCGGCAGCATCGGTGACATTGAGTCCTGCAAGTTGGTTCGGGACAAGATCACAGGTGTGGCTTCTGGCAGGCGGGGAGGTGGACTGGGGAGGCGGTAGCCGCCAGGACAGGTGTGATGGGGCCAGGTGGTTCTCTGGAGGTTTCCGAGGTGCGACGAGAAGGGGGTGGTCAGCCTCTCACACCTGGGCCAGGGAGGATCCTGGCAGGCCCAGGGAGGTAGGTCACCGACCTGGTCCTGCACACAGGGCAGAGCCTCGGCTACGGGTTTGTGAACTACTCTGACCCCAACGACGCAGACAAAGCCATCAACACCCTCAACGGCCTCAAACTACAGACAAAGACCATCAAGGTGGGTGCCCTTGTTCCCCTGCTGCCTGTCTCCCCACCGCGTTAGTACCCATCCCAACTGTCCCCGTGTCCCCTCTCTCACTGCCCACCGGGAGCACCCCTTCACCGCCATCCATCCTTTGCCCCCGCTCATCCCGCCCCCGCCCCCCCCCCCCAAGGCCTTCTGCTTAGCCAGCCAATGCCTTGGCCTCTCTGACCCTCAGTGTCCTCCCGTGTCAATGGGGAGAATCTCAGCCCCACACTTAGTGGAGGTTCACGGAGGAGGTACCTTCCCACGGGTCCAGTGGGCAGCCCCCTCCCTGCCTTTGTTAGGGAAATGGGGGAAGGGTGGGGATCCATCTGCCATCTGGAGCCTAATTAGGGTCTGGGAGGGCGGGATTAGGGGTGGGCCACTCCCCCACCTTTGTGCAATGCCCCCTCCCCCCCCCAGGACCTCCCCTCTCAGCAGCTGCAGCTGGGACCCTGGGAGCCCAAGTTCCCTGGGGGGTGGGTTGCCATGGAAACCCCTCTCTCTAGGTTGCCTGGAGTGTCTGGGCTCCACCCCACAAATCTGCTCCTGGACCCTGGGGGCAGGTGGGCCGGTGGCGCTCCCATCTGGCCCCCAGCTCGCCATAGGAACAGAGGTGTGGAATCTCTTCCGCTCCCTGGGGTGGGGCAAGGTCGTGACCTAAGGACTCTCGGCCAACTAAGCCCCCGAAGCCCCCGCGCATGAGGGTGGACCCTAGGAGTGAGCTGTAAGGCCCTGTGTGTGTGTGACCTCTGTGAGGCGGTGCTGGTTGGCCACCATGGCGATGTGAGTGGCTGTTGTCACACAGGTCCAGCTATTACAGGCCTCGGGTGTGTTACTGGTCTGTGGGACGTGGTCTGTTTGACAGGCACTTTGTCACACACTGCGACTCCGGCTGCGACCTGGTGGGGCCTCATGGGTGTGCCCGGCTGTGGTGGAGTATTTGCATGTCACAGTCAAGTGTGGTCATGTCTACCTGTGCCCCACCCAGGGGGGAACATGTGTGATGTTGCAGGCTGTAGACTGGCACGGTGTATGACAGGCATGTACAACTCTTACTATCCTTATCCCGCCATGACGGTGGCCGAAGCCTTGTGTTACCCTCCTGCCTGTCATTGGCGAGCACACTGGCCGTGTGTGGTGTGTTCCTGTCTGTCTGTCTCTGTCTGTCTGCCAGAATGGCTGTGTTGTATGGTCAGCCCTATGTGTTCCAGCAGATTCTGCCCAAAATAATTCTAGCCTCCCACTGTGTGCCAGGCACCGTCCTAGTGAGGGAATACGGGTTAGCTCACAGGATGGAAGGACCTACTCTGCTCCTCAGATGCCGCCAAGCCACAGACACCTCTTCTGGTCACCCCCAACTTCAACCCATCCACAAGTCCTCAACCCCTCCTCACCCCTCAAAGTTCACAGACCTGTGGTGAGGGGAGTAAAAATGGTAAAATACATGGCGTGATTTTTAATTATCATTACAGAAATAATAGCAGCAGATGTGTCGTCCCCCGCCCCCTTTTTATTTTTTTAAGATTTTTGATTGAGCCGAAACCGGTTTGGTGCTCAGTGGTAGAGCGTCGGTCTGCGGACTGAAGGGTCCCAGGTTCGATTCCGGTCAAGGGCATGTACGTTGGTTGCGGGTACATCCCCGGTAGGGAGTGTGCAAGAGGCGGGTGGTTGATGTTTCTAGCTCTCTATTTCTCTCCCTTCCTGTCTGTAAAAAATCAATAAAATATATTTTTTTAAAAAAGATTTTTGATTAATTGTTGTTGTTTTTTTCTAGAAGAAGTGAAAGGGAGAGAGAGAGAGAGAAACAATGATGCAAGAGTGGAACATTTATCGGCTGCCTCCTGCACGCCCCCAACTGGGGATCGAACCTGCAACCTTTAGGACCTAAAGTTTATGTGGACAGGATGACACCCAACCAACTGAGCTGCATTGGCCAGGGATGATTTTTTTAAAAAATATAAATATATTTTGATTTTTTTACAGAGAGGAAGGGAGAGAGAGAGCCAGAAATATCGATGAGCTGCCTCCTGCACCAGCAACCAAGGTACATGCCCTTGACCGGAATCGAACCTGGGACCTTTCAGTCAGCAGTCCGATGCTCTATCCACTGAGCCAAACCAGTTTCTGCTGATTGTTTGTTCTTTCTGGAGAGCCCCAATTCATCAGAATGCCCCACTCCAGCCCAGTTCATTCGTTTTTGCTAGCCTTTATTTATTTATTTATTTTTAAAATATATTTTATTGATTTTTTTATATATATTTTATTGTACAGAGAGGAAGGGAGAGAGATAGAGAGTTAGAAACATAGATGAGAGAGAGTCATCGATCAGCTGCCTCTTGCATACCCCCTTACTGGGGATATGCCCGCAGCCAAGGTACATGCCCTTGACCGGAATCAAACCCGGGACCTTTCAGTCCCTAAGCTGACGCTCTATCCATTGAGCCAAACCGGTTTTGGCCATTTTGCTAGCTTTTAAATTAGCTGTTTCTAATGAAACAGCATGTCCTCACAATTCACAGCTCCCAACAAAAACCAGGCCCTTGACCATGACTCCTAGGCTATTTTAGAAGGAATAGAAATGTAGATAGTGGCAGAAATAAAGGGAGAGGAGCTCACCACCCTCCCTGCCCCCACCAGCCATGGGTCACCCCGTTAGCTCGGGGCGGGCCGATGTCCACGTTCCCGGGACATTGATACACACACAATGAGATGGGGTCACACCATCCTCGCTGCTCTATAAATGGACTCCCCCCCCCCCTCCACTTCACAATACTCACCACTGTTCCAGGAAAATCAATATCCACGTCCCCCATTTTTTAAACAGCTGCAGAGAGATTCATTGTTGGGCTGGACCAACAGATGACACTAATCTGATGGCCGTGCTCCCATGTGTCTGCCTCGCAAGGCGTCTGCACTGGCACGTGTCTAATGCTAAGAGAAGTGCTCTGAGGGAAAGTAACTTGAAATGTCCCCCTGCTCTTCTTCCATCCGAATTGGGTCCTACCCAAAGTGACGCGGGTAGGACCCAATTCGGATGGAAGAAGAGGAGGGGGACACTTCAACTGAGACTTAGAGGAGAAGAAAAAGGAAGAGAGTTCCAGGCAGAGGGAACAGCCTGGTGTTTGGCGGAACAGGATGAGGCCTGTGTGACCGGAACACGAGGGGGAGACAGGGCTGGCGGTGAGGTGGTGTACAGCCTGTGGACCGTGGGAAGGACTTGAACTCTGAAGCACATGGGGACCGTGGATGATTCTGAGCTGAGGAGTGAGGTGACCTGGCTCAGATGCCCTCTGCGCTCTCCGGCTGCTGGGTGGGGCACAGCCATGAGAGGGGAGGCTGGGAGCGGGGACCAGGGCAGAAGACGACGTACCAGTTGGGGTTAGCAATGGTGGGTACTGGTCCAAAGTGGGGAGATGGGAATGGGAGGAAGGCCCTGCTGGGGGCTCAGTTGAGTGGAATTGACACTCCAGAAAGTGGCAGGTTTGGTCCCCGGTTGGGGTGTGTGCAAAGGGCAACCAATGGATGTTTCACTCTCGTGTAAGTGTTTCTTCCTCTCCCTCAAAAATAAGTTTTTTAAAAAAATCTATTGTTACTGATTTCAGAGAGGGAGAGAGAGAGAGAGAGAGATAGAAACATCCAGATGAGAGAGAATCATTGATCGCACGTCCCCTATTGGGGATGAGCCCTGACCGGAGTCGAACCATGACCTCTTGGTTCCTAGGTCGGTGCTCAACCACCAAGTCACGTCAACCAGACTCTAAAATCAACTTTTAAAAAGCATGTCCTTGGGTGAGGATTAAAAAAAAAAGTAGGAGGGAGTACGCAGATTCTGGATCATGAGAAGTAAAGCCAACAGGACGGACGGGGGGTCAGATGTGGGTGTGAAAGTCAGAGAGGCGTCAAGGACAGCGGAGGCAGGGTCCTGAGCACCGGAACAGCTGCCAGCAGAGTCGGGGAAGTTGGGGGAAGTCAGGAGCCTGGAGGCAGGTGTCACAGGTGTGGAGACGAGGGGCCAGGTCTGTGCTGGGGACGGACATTTGCGAGCTGTCAGGTTCGAGTTGGTGGCTAAAGGCCGAGTGACTCAGGGGCCCAGGTGCAGGTGGGAAAACAAGGGGTCCCAAGAGCCGAGTTTCCAAAGGAGTGGGAAGTGTTGATGCTGACGGACGTCCGGCCTGAGGGCGTGAACTGGGGTGTAAGTTGAGGTCTTGAGGGAGAGTGACCCCCGGCGTGTGGCTCCTTTGACCTCCTCAGGTGTCAGGTCCCCCCATCGCCATGCCGACAGGGCCATGGCCAGGCCTCCCCCCAAGCCCGGGGGCCACAGCCACCGTGACGCCTCACGAGATATTTGTTGAGTGAACAGATGGGGCATTTCTGCGACTCCGTGCGGTTCTGACGCGGCCTCTCTCTCCCCCCCTCACCCCTGTCGCCTGCCCCTCCCCAGGTGTCCTACGCCAGGCCCAGCTCGGCTTCCATTCGGGATGCCAACCTGTACGTCAGCGGGCTCCCCAAGACCATGAGCCAGAAGGAAATGGAGCAGCTCTTCTCCCAATACGGCCGAATCATCACCTCCCGAATCCTGGTGGACCAGGTCACAGGTCAGGGCGCCCGGAGGGAGGCGCGGCCGAGACGGAGGAACGGGGGAGGGGGGGGGGCGGCGGCGGCAGGAGGGGGTCGCATCCCGTGGGAGGAGGCGGGTCCTCACGACACCCCGGCTCCCTGGCAGGCGTGTCCCGGGGCGTGGGGTTCATCCGCTTTGACAAGAGGATTGAGGCCGAGGAGGCCATCAAAGGGCTGAACGGGCAGAAGCCACTGGGTGCAGCCGAGCCCATCACAGTCAAGTTTGCCAACAACCCGAGCCAGAAGACGGGGCAGGCCCTGCTGACGCACCTGTACCAGTCGTCGGCCCGGCGCTACGCAGGCCCCCTGCACCATCAGACACAGCGCTTCCGGTGAGCGCCCCCGCCCCCCGCACCCCCAACCTCCCAGCAGAGGCCCACGTGCAGGGACCACCGTGAACACAGGGCACTCCGAGCGGCATTATCCGCGTTCCGGTTAGAATCGCCTGGCCAGGTCCACTCTCACTGCCCCCTCTGTCTCCTTCATTTCCTCATGCACCTGTCAGGAGTGCCTACTGCGTGCCAGGCACACGCCTTTATCCTGCACTGCAGCGCCCTGGCAAGGCAGCCTGTCCGGTCCCAGCCGCCAGATGGGGACCCTGAGGCTCAGAGAGGCACGGTCACTGCCCCCCCCTCCCCCCCCGCCACCGTCGTGGGGAAGCGATCAAACCTTCATGTCTGGGGCCCCAAGCCCTACAGGGCGTGGCAGCCGAGGGAGAGAGGATGTGGCAGGGCAGGCGAGAGGCGGGGCCGGAGTGGCCACGGGCCGTGCCAGGCGGTGTCCAGCCGGGCAGGCGGCGGGGGCAGGGCTGGCACTGCTGGCCGGCGCGGTGGGGGCAGGGCGGGCAGCCGCCTGGCCTGCATCACAGCCGGGGAGGCGCCCGGAGGCCGCCGTGACCACCCCTTCTGCTCCACAGGCTGGACAACTTACTCAACATGGCCTACGGAGTCAAGAGGTAACAGTGCCCCCACCCCACTGCCCCAGCCCCGCGCCGTCCCTCCTCGGACCCCCAACCCCACCCCCAGGACTGCCAGCCTAGCCGTGCCTGCCCTGTCGGGGAGGAGCATGCCCGTTAGGCTTGGGGGCTGTGGAGCCGGGTAAAGGCCTGAAGAGCTGCCGTAGAATTTGGGCCCAGGGCCCTCTGCTGCCCAGGAAGGTGGGCAGTGCTGCCTGGGTCACAGCCACGCCCCCGGCCCCCGTCCAGCCTGAGCTCCACCTGCAGGTGGTCCTTGCTGAGGGTCGAGTCTGCCCCTCTGCCCTGTGGTTGGGGAGGGTCCCCAGGGCCCCGTGACATTGTCCACATCCCTGGCCCTGTGCGCGTCCTGAGTTTATTGCATCATGAGCGGCTGAGGGCACGCTGAGGACTGGCACTGCCCGGCGGCGGGGTCCCCGTGGCGATGACACGGTATCGAGCACAGTGCTTGGCCCCTAGTGAGCGCTCAATAAAGGTAGCTGCTCTGAAGATTATCGTTACTGTTATTGATTACCTCAGCCTAGAGGGAAAGGAGGCAGATGCGCAGTGAGCAGGGAGGTGGAGTGGACAGACGGTGATGGGGACCCCAAGCCATCGGAGGCAATAGCGGGGGAAGCGAGGTCCTGGCAGCTGGAATGGTCCGGGAGGCCTGGGCGAGGGCGGGAGCAGTCAGTTCCAGAGGCTCCGATTGGTTGGCTCGGGCTCTGGCCCCGCCCAGCTGAGTGGAGCCACATGCCCGCTGTGTACCAGGACCTGTTCTGGGCTGGGACCCCACTGAAAACACACCCTTAAGGGAAGAGGGAACCGACAGCAGATCCCCAGTTTAACTAGGAAACAGCCAGAGAGGGCCGGGGAGGAGGGGCCTCCTCCTGGCTCAGAGGCGGCTCCGAAGGAGGTGGTGGCTGTGCTCAGCCCCGAACAGCAGGGGGCAGGCGCTTACATGGCTCCATCACGCCCTGTCTTTCTGGGCGGCCAGCAGGACAGATGGGACCACACGGCAGGGCCAGCATGGGGTCAGAGAGGGAGCCAGCGCAGGAGTTTGGTGGGAAGATGTGGTTGGGGGGGAGGGGGGGAGGTAGTAGGGTCAACAGAGCCAAGGTCCAAATAGGACCGGAGGTCATGGGGCAGGATTAGTTGAGGGCTCAGGAGAGGGGACAGGTGAGGGCGAAGAGTGGGGGATGGCGTTGGGGGTGGGATTGCAGATGGAGGTCACAGCAGGGTCAGGACAATGCAAAGCCCACAAGCGTCCCAGGGTCCAGGCACCCTCAGAGGTCATGGCAGTACCAGAGGTCACAGGTCGGAGGCATGCCAGGGGTCAGGGCAGAGCCCGCGTGACCCCCAAAGTAGTCCCCTGTCGCTCATCGCCAGGTTCTCGCCCATCGCCATCGACGGCATGAGCGGCCTGGCGGGCGTGGGCCTGGCGGGGGGCGCCGCGGGCGCCGGCTGGTGCATCTTCGTGTACAACCTGTCGCCGGAGGCGGACGAGAGCGTGCTGTGGCAGCTGTTCGGGCCCTTCGGGGCCGTCACCAACGTCAAGGTCATCCGCGACTTCACCACCAACAAGTGTAAGGGCTTCGGCTTCGTCACCATGACCAACTACGACGAGGCGGCCATGGCCATCGCCAGCCTCAACGGCTACCGCCTGGGCGAGCGCGTGCTGCAGGTGTCCTTCAAGACCAGCAAACAGCACAAGGCCTGAGCCACGCCGCCCTCCCCACCCTCCCCGGGCAGCAGAGAGAGAGAGAGAGAGAGAGAAAGAGAGAGAGAGAGAGAGAGGGAGAGAGGGAGAGAGAGGGAGAAGGGGCCCGAGAGAGACAGCGGGCAGACCACGGACAGCACGAGGCCCCACATCCCTGCGAAGCCACAAGGGTGAGCACTCGGGCTGGGAGGGTCTGCAGGGAATGGGGGGTGCCTGGGGCCCCCCACCCCGTCCTCCTGCCCCTCCCCCAGGCTGGGCTGTTCACTCTCTCGTCTTGGTTTTGTTCTTGGAGATGGTTTTTGTTTCTTTTTTCGGCTGAAAAGAAAGCAGAGATGTGCCCCCACCCAACCGTCAGGCAGCTGCTCAGGATGGTTTTGGGAGGGTGCTGGGTGCCCTCCGGGCCTCCCCCCGCGGAGGTGAGCCTGAGTGGGGGAGGAGACAGGTTTAAAAATCCCCAACAAAGCGAAACATGAGAGGGCTGTGGGCATCCCGGCCCCCTCGGTGCATTGTGAGGAGCAGGGTGAGGGGCTGGAAACAAACAAAACGGAAAAAAAAGGGGGGGTGGGAGGGAGGGGGAGAAAAACTCTATTTTTGTAAAAAGGGGAAAAAGACCTCGTGGAGAATTTTTACTGGGGATTCTTGAACTTGAAAAAAAAAAACACACACACAAAAAAGACAAAAAAAAAAAAAAAGAAAATATTTTGACAGGTTATGTTTACCAACTGGGGCAAAGACGGGATCAGGGCTTGGGGCCGGGGCCCAGGGGCCACACAGAGACACATGCCACAGGAACACACAGCACTAACCCTGACACACAGGACCCGGCCAGACGCAGGCAGGGAGACACGCACAGAAGACCCGAGGACGGAGCCACGTACCCGTGGCAGCCGTGGAACACAGACGTGGGCAGACGTGGTCGCAGGCAGACCTGGTCAGAGGTGTATGTGGACCGTGGACCTGCAAACATTTCCATGTTCTCACGTGAACACATGACAGTGGAGACATACATTTGGAGACACAAACCTAGACACCCAGAAACAGACACAACACCCAGGAACACAGACACGCCCACAGTCCCTCTGACCCAGGCGCCCAGCCCCTCCCGGTGCCCTGCCCCCTCGCCCCCGCCCCGGGGTCTCTGCAGAGCTCTCTCCGGGCTCCTCAGTGGTCCGCGCCGCCCGTGAGCACAGGCGTGTGCACCGCGTTCTGCATCCAGACACACGATACCTCGTTCACTTTTGGCATCACAGTGGGCTGGAGGCAGCGCCCCCCAACACTTGAGGCCAAAGGACCCCTAGTCCCTGGGGCTGAGCCTCCCCCAGCCCAGGCCCTGGCCCGTGAGGCCGAGGGCGAGGCCAGGCCCTGCGCCTCCCCATCAGGCCCAGGGGCCCAGCCCGCTTCTCCTCCCACCCACTCGTCACCCCCTTTATTTTGTTGGGTTTTTCCATCTTTCCGATGAGTGAGGGCGGTGGACACGGCTCCCATCCCAAGCCCCCAGCCCTGGCTTCTGTCTGGATGTCCCCCCACCCCGTATTCTTTCTTTTGTAACGAAAAGTTCCAACGGAAGCCCGAGGCGGGAGCCCCCGGAGCCCTCGCAGCCCCACCCCTCGCCGTGGGCCCCGTCAGAACTGAGAATCGCAAACCCCGGTTTTAGATTCAGTTGCCCTTTCTCCGGTGTCCTGCTTTGGTGTCTGGCCATGGCCCCACCTGACTGCCCAGCTCTCTCTCCCCACCCTCCCTGGTGTTTGTTATTAAACGTCTGTGGAGCTTCTGCTGCAAGGAACAAAAAAAAAAAAATTTAAAAAGCAACAAAAAAATACAAACAGAAGAGAAAAACAACAAAAAAAGGAAGAAAAAAAAAAAAACATCGAAGAGATTTAAAAAAAGAAAAAAAAAAAAAAAAGACATAAACTGGCACCAGTTAACTTTCTTGTACTTTTTTGCCGAATTTAGCTTCTTGTAGTTTTAACTTATTGCTATGTTAACTATTTATTCTTGTTGCCCTGTAAGGACATTTGTGTATATTTCTGTTCCTTCATCCAGTTTGCAAGTTTAAAGGAACCACGATGTTCTCTTTGTTTCTTTATGTTTTTTGCTGAGACGTGGTTATGCCTAATTTATTTATAAAGGGGAAGTGGAATCATTAAAGTAATACTTATTAATAACAGGAACGGTAGCCGGTGGCAGCGGGGGGGCGGCCTCCGCGCGGCCGGCGACGTCCGGCCTCAATGGGATTCTTTTTGCTCGTCTTGAGGATTTTTTCCGTCCTATTTAGCTGGTGAAAACCTTAGCTTGTTCTTGATACATGAACTTATTTATTCTTGTGGTTTTTAAGTCCTGATCTCCCGGCTCCCCTCCAGCAGGCCAGGCCCCCCAGCGGGTCCCTCCCTCTCCCTCTGTGTCTTGGGGCTTTCTCCCCTCTGCCCTCCCTGCACGCAGGGGCACGTGTGCGCACGTGGGCAGCGTGCCGGGGGCATCCGTGAGCAATAAGGGCTGGGGTTGTCCCTCGCCCTGGGGGTGCTGGGTTCCGGAGAGGGCACCTCCCCACACAGCCCCCGCAGACCGGGAGTGCACTTCTTTTCCTAAAACACAGAACTCGGCCCAGCCGGCCAGGCCCTGCGGGAGGCCGCCCAGGGGAGGGGCCGGGGTCTTCCATGTCCCTGGAGGCAGGGGCAGGGCCCGTGGGGAGGGGGCTCAGCCCCTCAAGCCCTCCCTTCACCTTGTTATTTATTCGAAGGTTTCGCATCATGACAGAGTCCATATGTTGGAGATGATAAAGAACTGCAAAAAAAAAAAAAAAAAAAAGACAAAAAAACAACACTTTGCGTTGCATTTAGACTATTTATTACCGGATTACAGGCCTGGCCGCGGTAACAGACTTTTACATGGAATTGTTTAATTATTTGTACTTTTCATGCCAGAAAATAAAAGTTCAGAATCTTACAGCCGTGGTGGTGTCTGTGCCGGTGGGCGGCGCGGTGAGTGCGTCCGGCTCGGGCCTGGGTCTCAGCTCAGCTCCTCGGCCCACAGGAGGCTCGGAGCGGGGAGCAGCTCAGGGAGAAACGCGACGGACACGGTCCATCTGTCCCTCGGTGCCCGACGTGCTGTGTGTGCGCATCTCCGGTTTGGTCACCTCCCTGTGACTCGGGCTCTGAGGAGGCCGCCCTGTGGTGCCAGCCCGAAGGGCCTGCAGACTGTGGCCCTGCCTCTGCCTGTGCCCACCCTCGGCCCAAAGCAAAGGAGACGCACATGGGTGGGATGTCATTTATTGTTTCAAGGTCACAGTCTATAAACTGTCCCCACCAGCAGGGGAGGCAGACACCAGGGGTGGGGATGTGGGGTGGGGGCACGGGGGATGACGGGGGAGGAGGGTGGCAGTGAGTCACAAGGCTATGGCCCGGAAGGGTGCACTTTAGTCCATTTTGGAGGCCCACTGAGGCCTGGGCAAATGGCTCTGCCTAGCCTGACCCCCCAAGAACAGGGCAGGGGGCCCCTCACAGTTTCTGCCTGGGGGGGGAGGGCACGGAGACTCAGAGGGGCAGGCCTCCGTCCAGACGGGCAGGCAGGTGGCACCACTGAGGCTGGTTCCATGCCTTGAGGTTCTGGGGCCAGAAAAAGAGATGATGGAACACAAGTGCGGAGAGGTGGTGCCAACCCAAGTTTGTCTTCCTCAGCCCCTCCCCACCCCGCCCCACCCAGGCGCAGACCCCTCCCTGCCCACCTGGGCGGCGGGCGGGGCTAGAGCTCATCGTGGTCGCCATCGGCGGGTGGCTCGGGGGGCGGCTCCTGGCAGGCGGCAGGCGTCGTCAGCTCCATGAGGTACTCACAGCGGCTGGGCTCCGTGGTGCTGGTCACTGTGGTCTCCTTCCCGCACAGCAGGCGCACCTGGGCGGCGGGCGGCGGGCTCGGGCGGGCTGGCCAGGCCTGGGGCCCCCGCCCGCCCGCCGTCTCCCGGCCCCGGCCACTCCTGTGCCCCAGATGCCCTGGGCACCATGTGACCAGGCCCCCGCCCGCCCGCCCGCCGTCTCCCAGCCTGGCCACTCACGGTGGCGGAGCGGCTGAGGCCCCCGCCCGCCCGCCCGCCCGCCCGCCGTCCCCCGGCCCGGCCACTCACGGTGGTGGAGCGGCTGGGGCCCTGCCAGCAGCCCGTGCCCTGCTCGTACTTCATGGAGCTGAACTTGTCGTGCTCGGGGCCGGCCCACGAGCCCCAGGTGCTGCGGGAGGCGGGTGCTGAGGCGGCCGGCAAGGGTTTGGGGTGCCGGCCGGCAGGGGCTTGGGGTGCCGGCCGGCAGGGGCTTGGGGTGCCGGCCAGCAGGGGCTTGGGGTGCTGGCCGGCAGGGGTTTGGGGTGCCGAGGGGAGGGGGCTCGGCCTAAGCCACTCACCCGAGGCTGGTGGGAGAGCCGCCGCCGTGCTTGGGCTGCTGGGAGACGTGCTTGAAGGGACAGAGCCGGTAGACATACCTGTCGTAGACGGGACTGGTGGGCGGGGCACACAGGCCCCAGCCCGGCATCCCACACACGCGTGGGGGGAGGGAGGCACCAGGCCCCGTCACCCCGTGACCTTGCTCAGGCTCAGACCCTCCAAGCCCGCCCGCCGCCCGTGGGGCGGTGGAAGGGGGACGCACTCGTTGGTGGTGAGCTCGTAGCACTGTTTGTACAGGTAGGCAAACTCCCCCTCGGGGCCGAAATCAAAGGAAATCTCCTGCTCCAGGTTCCTGCGAGGGAAGGCCAAGTGGTGAAGGGCAGTCGGTGCCCACGCTGACTCAGGACGCTGCTGGGATCCCCGTGACTAATGGAGGGCCGTGTGGGCTGGGCTCCGGCTCCCTGCCGCCTGGGGACCCCCCTCAGGAGCCACCCAGCCTGGCAGCAGAAGCAGCAGTTGCCTCGGCAACCCCATCGTCACCACCTCTGGGGAGCCACCCGCGCTCATACTTGATGGCCTCCTCCATGTCCTTCAAGGACCGCTCGGCCTCCTCGAACTTGGTGCGGGCCTCCTGGGCAGCTGGTGGGGCAGAGTGGGCAAGGTCAGGGCCCTCCCCAAACCCAGGAAGAGGGGGAGGGGAGGGGGAGCTGGACACGCCTGCTTCCCGCCCCAGGCAGCTCTGGGGAAGACCGTGCCAGGAAGGCCCTGCGGTCTCGCCAGCTGCAGACCCCACCCCGCTGCCCAGGCTCGTGGCTCCCAAGGGATCAGGGCCAGGGCTCCTGGGGCTGGCGGGCCTGGTTCTCCGGTGCCTATAGGTGACTGACGGGTGTGTGTGTGTGTGTGTGTGTGTGTGTGTGTGTGTGGGTGGCAGTGCCCCTCCCGCGCGGACCAGGGAGCGCTCACCGTCGATCAGGGCCTGCGTCCGCTCGTCGTAGGGCGGCATCTTGTCCTCCGTGGGGCTGGCTGGCTGGGGGGGCGTGAATGGGGGCGGGGCCTCCTGGGGAAGGGGCAAGATCAGCGAGTGGCCCTGCCTCTAGTCCCCACCCCCTTCTCCCCGACACACACACCTTGGGCTGCTCCCCCTGCACCTGGAAATCCTCCTCCTCCTCTTCCTCTTCCTCCTCCTCCGGCTCTCCTTCTGGCTCCTCCTCTTCCTCCTCCTCCTCCTCGGGCTGTGAGGGTCCTGGGGGCTGCCCCTCCTTGGGCTCCGTGAGCTCAGGCACAGAAGGCGCTGGCGGGTCGGTGGGAAGAACCTGTGGGTGTGCAGGGTGCTTGGTGCTGGGACTTGGGGTTCTCCCTCCATCCCCGGGGCAGGGTCCGCACTCACACCATTGCCCCCAGAGTGGCCGCAGCGCCTCCTAAGGGGCCCGGGGAGGGAGACAGCTGGGAGGGGGTTGGGTGGCCAGCTGGCTACGGTGGCCCAGTGCCAGAACTGGAGGCAGTTCCTTTGTGCGGCATGGGGGGCTGGGGAGGGAGGGCGAGGACAGGGCCGCATCCCCTCCCCCACTGACCTCGGAGCTGTACTTGTCCCTGATGGCAGCCCAGACACGGTCGTGGAAGGAGGCAGGGTCCATCTGCGTGTCTCCCCCGAGCAGGGTCTGTGTGCGTGTGTTGAGATGGTATCGAGACGGGGGGCTTCAGAGCCCCTCCTGTGCCCCAGCCACTTACAAAGGGGAACCTCAGGCTGCAGTGCCAGGTGTGGGCAAGCCGACTGCCAAGGCCATGCCTGGGCCAGAATGAGTGATTGCAGCCACCAGAAGGGGGCAGCACAGGCCGGCAGGAGGAGGAGCCCATCACCAGGGGAGGGGACGGGGGTACCTACTGGAGAGCCCGGGAGGGAGGAGAGGGCAGGAGCACAGGCAGCAGGATGGCCGTGCCTCGGAGGGAGAGGCGGAGGCCGTCCAGCAGGGACTGATGGACAGAGGGACGGGGAGCAGGGTCCACACTGCAGAGCCGAAGGCACGTGTGTGAGGAGGGCAATCTGGCTACACACACGTAGCGGGGCCACGGGAGGGGGAAGCTGGCTCTGACCTAACCAGGCGCCCTGGGCACCATGTGACCAGGCTCCAAAGGGCAGAGGTGGCGCTGGTGGCTGCCTTCCTGGCTCCCACACGAGGCCAGGCCGGGGCCAGCGGGGAGCTTTCCGTGGGAGCAGCCCCCAGCCAGCTGGCCCTCGCGTCACGTGAGGCAATCCCCTCTCCGAGTCCCAGGCCAAGGGGCAGGGCGGGCACCTGGGCTTCCCCTTCGGACAGCACCCCGTCCCCATCTGTGTCCAGCTCTGGGTGAGTCTGTAGCTCGGCCACTGAGACCCTGCGGGGCACAGGCGGAGACCGCCAGGTGAGCAGCGGGCTGAAGGCCCCCTCCAGCCCCGACCCCGGGATCTCCCCTGCTTCCCACCCCTTCCTTTGGCCTCTACAACACTGAAGAGGCTCAAGAGGGAGACAGAGGTGGGATTGAGGGCACTTGGACCAGTGTCTCCCGAGACCTCTCCTCACCACCAGCAGCATCCATTCCCTACCACCCTCAGCACCCAGCACCTCCAAACTGCCCTCTGCCCGGTGCCCCCCACCCAGAGGGGCCCACACCCACGAGAGCCCAGGCACCGTCACCACTCCCAACCAGGGTGGCTCCCCCGCCATTCTGCTCCCCTGGTCCTCACCGGGGTGCCTGCCCAGCCTCCTGGCTCCCGACAGCCCACCCTCCACTGAGCCATTGGTCTGGGGTCAGGGGCACAGCCGGAGCCTAAAGGGTCTGCCTCTGACCACAGAGTAGGCCTGGATAGTGGGAGCCCTGGTCATCTCCCTCAGCTCCTTGGGGGTCAGTTTCCCTCATCTCCACAACCACCTATCTGTTCTAGACCCATCTCACACATGAGTAAGCGAAGGCTCATTCAGAGAGCTTGGGGCAGCTCAGGCCCATGGCTGGGAGGTGGGGGCAGAGCTTGGGGCAGCTCAGGCCCATGGCCGGGAGGTGGGGGCAGAGCTTGGGGCAGCTCAGGCCCATGGCCGGGAGGTGGGGGCAGAGCTTGGGGCAGCTCAGGCCCATGGCCGGGAGGTGGGGGCTGGACCCGAGGCTGGGCCAGGCGGGGACACTCACACCCCGTCCATGTTGTCGTCCAGCTCCTGGAAGGCACTGGCCGCCAGCTCCTGCTCCCGCTGGGCCTTGAGGGCGGCCTGCTGCTCTGTGGAAGGGCCAGCTGTCAGCCTCCATTCTGCCCACTGGCTCCCCCCCCAAACCTGCCCTCCCCCAACACCCCAGGCGCTGACTGCGTGCCTGGCCCTATGCTGGGCCCTGGCCCTGAGCCAGGCCGCTGGGGGGGGGGGGGGCAGTCCTGGGACGTGGATCTGAACAAGCAGGGCTGCAGAGACCACGCAGGGGGCGGCTGGGGACCAGGCCAAAGTTAGCCCTGTCTGGGAGGCCCCATGATATAGACACCCAAGAGCCCCACCATGAAGGAGCAGGGGGAGGGGGAGGGATGGAGGCTGGGGTGGGAGTGTGACCAGCCAGGGGGGGTGTGACCTGGTGAGTCTGGGCCCTGAGGCCTCTGGGGCAGTTACTCCAGGACTGCTGAGCTGCGGGCGAGGAACGAGAGAGAAGAGGCCAGGTCGCGGCCCCGAGCAGGAGTGCGGGCCGCCAGGAAAGGGCAGGAAGCCCGCCACCAGGAGCAGGGCTTCCGGGAGGCGGCGGAGGAAGAGAGCACAGACAGAGCAGACGTAAGAGGCAGGAAGCCCGGACGGAGTCAAGGACGCCAGGTTCCGTCCGGGCGGGAGGGAGCTGCCCGGCTTCCCGGCACTCGAGGGGAAGGCAGCCTGGGCGGTGGAGGGCTGAGCATACTTCCAAGTGGAGGAAGGTGTCAGCATAAGGCCAGGAAAGAGGCGATGACTGGAAGCCAGAGCGTGGGGGTGGCCACGGCCCCCACAGAGGAGGGGGGGAAAAAGGGGGGTCCCTGAAGTGTCCCCACCCAACAAGCCACTGGGATTCGGGCAGGAGCCTCTGTAGGAGCGCTCCCCTGATTTGGGGTGAAAGCCAAGTCTTCCCCATGGCCCCTCAGGCCCTGTCTCTCCCTCCAGCCACATGGCTGCCTGCTGCTCCTTAAAAACCGACACGACAGTGACTCGGGCCTGTGCCCCTGCTCCCTGCAGGCGGTGGCTTCTCCTCTGTTCAGTGCTGCACTGCTGGCAGCTGGGCTGAGCCCGGCACACAGCAGGCACTCGACAGATACTCGTCAGATAAACTACTGAATTATTGATTATGATAAATCAGAGCAGAGAGAGGGGGGTGAGGAAGAACGCAGCAGACACCCAGAGAGACGAGAGACATCAACAGCTTGGGGGGCTACCAGCTCCTGGCTACCAGCCGTAGGAACAGCCAGAGCCACACCTCCAAATCTCCCAGCAATGCCTGGGCCTTCGACCAGCCTGGAGGGTTTCTGTCCCACCGCCCCCTCCTAGCTGCTCCCACGATGTGTCCCCCACGGAGCTGACTGAGAACAAGGACCGAGGCTTCCAATTTCCCGGCATGGTGACGTGACCGGCCAACAGCAAGAAAATGCTGAGCACAGCATAAAACATCTTAAAACCAACCAAGGCAGCAGGAATTGCCAGGGCCACGAAGCGCCTGGAAGGGTAAGATATGCAGAGGCTGACTTTTCCCAAAAGGACTTGCCCGTTCTGGATGTGTCTGTCTTGATGAGAACTTGTGGGGCCAAGGAGATGGAAATCAAAGTCCAAGGCGGGGAGCACAATAGCACACACTCCACTGTGGCCGCCATGGGGTTACCACACCGCCATGGGGCTACCCCCTCGGGGGAGAGAGGCTGGACGGGAAAGCACCCAGCCTTCGCTCAGATCTCAGCCCCAGCCTGAATTTGGATTTGGGAATCCCACGTGACTGGCAGGAAGAAAAGTCCCTTCTATCTGAGGGACTCGCATCCTAGATACAAATCACTCCTGTGAAGGACCGCCAAATCCGATGGCCAACGCGCAGCGGAAGATAACGAGGCAGGTGGGGCAGGAGAAACAGACACACGGTGAGGGGCGCGTCTCCGGGGCCCGGCTCTTCCGGCCGCGCTGTGGCCTACCTTCCCACCGCTTCTGGTGCTGGTCTTTGGCCTCCTTCTCTGGCTTCTCGGCCTCCTCCTTCGCCGTCCGCAGCGTCTCCACCTGGCCCTCCAGGGACTTCTTCCCGGTCTGTAGCTCAGTGAGCTTTTGCTGGGTGGGGAGAAGGCAAGGGGCCAGCTCTTCCTCCTGATCTGCTTTCTTCCTCACAGACTGCCACCTCCCGCCTCTACTCCACGGGCAACGCAGGACCTTTCCAAAGCTCACACCCGCCGGGCCCCCCCAGCCCACTGAAGAGGAGCCCAAACACCTTAATGAGTCCGGGCCCCGTGTGACCAGGCCCTGCTGCCTCTCCCGCTCCACTGCTCTTTTTTTATTATTATTTTTTTTTTGTTAATCCTCACCCAAATGCATTTTTTCCATTGATTTTTAAAACAAGTGAAAGGGAGGGAAGGAGGCGAGGGAAATGTGAAGTAAGAGAAACACTGCAACTGGTTGCCTCCCGAGTGCGCCCTGACTGCACCTGGGAATCAAACCCACAACCCAGGAATCAGACCCATAGCTCTTCGTTGCATGGACCAAAAGCTCTAACCACCGAGCACACTGGCCAGGGCCCTATTGCTATTCTAAATATCCTATCTAATAAAAGTGGTATGCAAATTGACCATCACTCCAAGACACAATATGACTGCCCCCATGTGGTCAAAGATGGCTGCCACCATGTGGACACAAGATGGCCGCCTCAAGATGGCCTGCAGGGGAGGGCAGTTAGGGGTGATCAGGCCAGCAGAAGAGGGCAGTTGGGGGAGGGCCCAGGCCTGCAGGGGAGGGCAGTTGGGGAGGATCAGGCCTGCAGGGGAGGGCAGGAGGGGGAACACACACTTGGGGGTACACCCTCCTCTGGCCCCCAAAAGCACACACCCTACTGAACTAACCCCACTGCTGCTGACTGCCACAGTCTTAAGTCCTCCCCAGTCACACAGTTATCAGCCTCATCCTACAGAGGACAGAACCACAGCCCCGGGGTGCAGGCACCCCTCCTGTTCTGGGGGCAGCGGAGCTCCACAGCCCTCTTCGGCCTGCACCTGACGCTCCACGCCTTTGCTGACCACTGTGGACCTGGAACGACCTGCCCAACAACTCAGCACCAAGTGGACAATGAGTGAGCCGAGGCACAGGCAGTAACTGGCCCGAGGGCCCCTCTCGTAGGGAGAGGCCAAGCCCCGCCTCGCCTGCCCACGTCCCCGGGCCTCTGGTCAGCCCCGCGCCCTCACCTGCTTCTCTTCCCGAGCCTTCTTCCATTCCTCGATGAGGATCTTCTTCAGGCGGAAGCCCTCGCGGGTAACCTCGGCTATCTGCTGCAACGTCTCTCTCTCCTTGCGGCCCTTCTCTCTGGGGCGAGGACACACAGGCACCGCCAGGGGCCACTTAGGACCCATCAGATCTGCTCTCCCAGGGCTCAGCCCCACCCCCGCCACCATGTTGGGAAAGACAGGAGAGCGAACCCCCCTCCTCCACCTCCCCAGACTCCCTCCTCGGAGCCCCAAATCCTTGTCCTTGGGAGGAGGGGCAGCGGACAGGGTTTGCCCACCCTCAGGGTCAGGACAGGGAATAGGGAGTGCTGGGATGTGAGGCTGAAGTTGGCTCCCAAGAGAGAAAGGAGAGAAAAGCACAGAAGTCACAGACTCCTGGACAAAGTGGCCAGTAAGCATGTTGTGTGTAATCAACCCTCTGCTTCAATAAAAGATCTTCCATCAGAAGAGTTTACACACATAAATGTTCGGCTTCGTTGAAAAACCAACCAGGCCCTCATCACCTGCCCTCAACTGACAGGAGTCGAGGGCAGCTGTCCCTTTATGCCACAATCCCCACCGCTCTAAGCCTCATGCTCAGCCTGCTTCTGGCATTTACATGACCTGCCTGTCACTTCAGTTTTCAGGTCCTGCTCCAGTGTAGCAATTAAAAGCATGGAGTCTCAAGTTAGACTGTCCTGGGTTTGAGTAGCAGCTCTGCTATCTCCTAGCCACGTGACCCTGAAAAAGTCATTTTCCGCCGAAACTGGTTTGGCTCGGTGGATAGAGCATAGGCCTGCCGACTGAAAGGTCTCAGGTTCGATTCCCGTCAAGGGCATGTACCTTGGTTGCAGTCACATCCCCAGTAGGGGGTGTGCAAGAGGCAGCTGATCGATGATTCTCTCTCATCAATGTTTCTAACTCTCTGTCCCTCTCTCTTCCTCTCTGTAAAAAAAAAAAAAAAAAATCAATAAAAAAAAATATATTTTTAAAAAGCCATTTTCCTTCTAACCTTGAGCTTCTTGACCTGTTGAACAAGCAAATGACTGCACCTCCTTCCTGGCCAGAGGGAGCCCTCACAGGGCACCTGGCACAGACTGAGCACTCGATGCTCAAACACAGAAAAGAGAGGGGGCCTGGCAAGGGCAGGGCAAGGCAAGGTCTTGGGGGCTGGCGGGGGGGCACCCACATACCTGCAAGAATTCTCACAGACGGTCCCACTATTGTACTCGTCCGTCCCGTCACAGCAGTCTTAGGGCACAGGAGGGGGCACCATCAGACCTGGCAGCGCCTCCTCCTCCTCCACCCGCCTCTCCTTCCCCACCCCCGGTGGGACCTCACGTACCACAGACTCCATCGTTGACCCATCTGGAGGAGATGTACAGGGGCTTGTAGCCAGTGTTGGTGCAGTGGAAGCTGCCGTTAGGACAGGCAGCAGTGCCTTGGGGAAGAGGAGGGAGGGGAGTTTTCAGAGTGCTCAGGCCTTAACCCATCACATCCACCCAACAGAGCTCAAGAAAGGCAGACCAGCTGACACCGGTTTGGCTCAGTGGATAGAGCGTCGGACTTTGGACTGAAGGGTACCGGGTTCAATTCTGGTCAAGGGCATGTACCTTGGTTGCAGGCACATCCCCAGCGGGGGGTGTGCAAGAGGCAGCTGATCGATGAATCTCTCTCATTGATGTTTCTGGCTCTTTCTCTCTCTCCCTTCCTCTCTGTACAAAATCAATAAAATATATTAAAAAAGAAAGAAAGAAAAGAAAGGCAGACCAGTACTGCGTGAGGGACAGAGGGACAGCTGCACACTCAAGGCCTGAAATTAAACTCTCTCATGACCCCTCTTGACTCTCTCCACCAAGACCCTCAGAACAGGCCCACCAGCTGCTCCCTCCCTCGCCTTCACCTGTCTGCCCGCAGGCCCCGCCTTCTCTCCCACCTCCGGGCACTGGCCTCTCCCTGGCAGCACCCTTCAGGATGCCACTCTCACCACCAAACCAAGGACCACTTGCTCCTGTGCCAGCTTTCCCGATTAAGTCAACAGGGAGCAGTACTCTCTTCGTCACCACACAGGACCTGGTGTTGCCCAGGTGCTCAGTACACGTGCAACGAGTGCATGGGTGGATGGAGAAAAACTCACCTGGCTCATCCGAGCCATCCTTGCAGTCACAGTAGTCGTCGTTGACCTGATCAAAAGGGATGGTGACGGAGCCATCCAGGCACGTGAAAGGCTTGGACTCATCGTAGAAGTGATGGTCTGGGGAGGTGAGCAAGAGACTCAGCCCAGGGCAGGGAAGAGGGCTCTCAATCTCATGGCACCTCTGCTTCCATCCACTGGCTGAGCACTGCCACCTTCCCCTAAACCTAGAGGCAGGGAAACTGAAGCCAAAGGCTGTAAACGCCTCCCGGAGGGGCCACAGCCTACCCCCTTCCACACCTCCCACCCCATTCAGCGGCAGACTCACTGGTGAGGGAGACGCCCCGAGGCCGCCGGACCTCCACGGCCCAGCACGCGGGGAGCAGCAGCACCAGCAGCAACATCTCGCTGGAGGCTCGGAGGCCGGAAACGGGGTCAGTGGGAGGAGGCGGGCTGCGGAGAGACGCGCTGCAAGAGAGGAGCTGCAGGTCAGCGGCCGAGGGCTACTTCCAGCCAGAGGAAGGCACCTCTTCCTTCAGCCAATTGGGTTCCCCCATCGCTTCCGGGCCGGGGGCTCACGGGAAAAGATATCGGAGGATACCTTTCCGACCTGGCCGGAATCAATGGTGGGACCTCAAAACCTCCGCTCCCTATGGAGGGGGGGAGAGTGGACTAACCAATTCCCACCAATGGGCCGAGGGAGCAAACAGCCTCCCCCTCCCCCGACGCACACCCTCAGGCTGCCTCAATAGGAAATTGGGGTTCCCTCCCGCCCGCTAACTCATCACTTACATGGAGCAAGGGCAAAGGTCACTATCCACCGCGCCCCCCTAGCCCAGCAGCCAACAGTTCCTCCGGCATGAAAAGGGAAAAAGCGGAAGTGTGTGTGTCGTGCGTCATTTCCGGTAGCGCGCTAAGCCCCAAGACGGCGGCTCGGGGACGCCATGATGGGAGTGGCACACGAGGCGCCGGAACCCGGGCGGCCATCTTGGATAGGACTATGAAGCCTTAGAGGGAATAGTTCTGAAGGTTTGCGCTTAATGGCGGCGCAAGGTGCCTCCATCTTGGGAGTGGCAGGTTCTGCCATCGCCAAAGAAAGTTCCTGAAAAAAACGCCGCGAACATCCTGTGGGTTGGAGGCGGGAGGAGCGAAAAAAAAAAAAAAGACGACCACGTGACTCTTAAAGAACCCTCCCCCACCCTATGGCGGCGCGCCTCTGCTCCGCCCCCTGCTGGGCCCGCCCCTCCGCAGCACCAGCCAATGAGAGCAGCGGTGCGGAACGCGGACGGTTTCCATGGGAGCGGAAAGGGAGGAGGGGAGGAGGTTACCTAGCAATTGGGATGCTGCTAGGCCCGGCCAAACGGTAGGAAAGTGCTTTCTCTGAGCCGGAGAAACCCGAACTGACGGATCCCGGACAGAGGCGATTCCTAGTCGCCCCCCCAGCCCCTTGGAGCCTGCCTTTGTCCCCAACCCAATCATGACGTCTCCCCTGTGCTGGCTGGCCGCCACCAGTGCCACGGTGCCTCCTCCGGACCAGATTCCGACTTCTTCCAAGGCCAAGGGCACTCAAGATCAGACTAAAGGCCACCCTAGAGTCAAGGTCCCCGGACAGGCCTGGCCTCCAGTCCATTTCAAGGGACCCACCCATGGGAAGGCCGCTATCCAAGTTCAGATGGCTGAGTTACAAAGGAAGATACAAGTATTAGGTAAGATGACTCCAAAGGGCATAAAATGGTCCCTAGTCGGCAGTGTCCACTCAGCCCTCTGACCAGGAATGGTGTGACAAGGGTGCTTCACCAGCATTCATCCAGGTGATCAGTTCAGGTGGCAAAAACTCATAAAAACTTTTCATAAAACTCCTGGCCCTGGCTGGTTTGGCTCAGTGGATAGAGCATGGGCCCTCCAACTGGACTGATGAGCTTGGGGTTTGATTCCAGTCAAGAGCATGTACCCCATGTACCTCAGTTGCAGGCTGGGTCCCCAGCCTGAGTCAGTGCATTTGGGGGAGGCAACCAGTTGATTTGTCTCTCATATGTTTCTCTCTCTCCTTGCCTCTCCCCCTTCTTTCCACTCTCTCTAAAAACAATGGGGGGGAAAAATTTTCTTGGGTGAAGATTAACGAAAGAAAAAGCTTTTCCTGGATTTGGGAGTCAACTGAATTGTATTTCATACTTTTGTGTAATTTCAACTTTCATGTATGGAGTGGTGAAAAACATAGATTCTAGAGACAGACATTCTGGGCTCAAATCCTGGCTCTGCATATACTAATGGTTTGATCTTGGGCACTAAGAGTAACCTAATTGCTCTCAGTTTCTCTATCTGTAAAATGGGGATAACAGTACAATACCATAGGTAGTTGAAATGTGTTAAGTGGTTCTCAATGGATGAGGTTCATTTTGCTCCCCATGGGGCACTTGGCAAAGTCTGGAGGCTTTTATAGTTGGTTATTTATCTTTAGAGAGAGAGATCACATTCATTTGTTGTTCCACTTATTTATGTACTCGTTGGTTGATTCTTTTTAAAAAATATATATTTTATTGATTTTTACAGAGAAGAAAGGAGATGGATAGAGAATTAGAAACATCGATGAGAGAGAGAGACATCGATCAGTTGCCTCCTGCACACCCCCGACTGGGGATGTGCCCGCAACCAAGGTACATGCCCTTGACCGGAATCAAACCCGGGACCCTTCAGTCCGCAGGCCGATGCTCTATCCACTGGCCGATGGTTGATTCTTGATTGTGCCCTGAGGATCAAACCCACAACCTTGGTGTATTAGGACAATGCTCTAACCATCTAAGCTAACCGGCCAGCGCTAAAGACATTTTTGGTTGTCACATAATTAGGGGTGGGAGGATGCTGCTGGCATCTGGAGGGTGGAGGTTGGGAATGCTGTTCAACATCCCAAAATGCACAGGGCAACTCACTACAGTAAATAACTGCACATCCCAAGTGTCAGTCATGCCGAGGTTGGGAAAACCTGGTGTAAACCATTATTGTTTTATTATTAACCAGAGGCCCAGTGCATGAAAATTCATGCACTTGGTGGGAGGCGGGGTCCCTCAGCCCAGCCTGCACCTTCTTGCAGCCCGAGATCTCTCGGGGGATGTCCACCTGCCGGCTTAGGACTGCTTCTCCGGGGATCAGGCCTAAGCTGTCAGTCAGACATGCCTGTGGAAGCTTGGGAGCCCCCTTGGGAAATGTCCCTACAGCAGGCCTAAGTCGTTAGTCAGACACCCTTAGCACTGCCATGGAGATGGGAGAGGCACCCACCACCGCTGCTGCGCCGGCCAGCCATGAGCCAGCTTCTGGCTGAGTGGCGTTACCCCAATGGAAACACACCAACCACCAGAAAGCTGCTCCTGCATTGAGCATCTGCTCCCTGGTGGTCAGTGCACGTCATAGTGACCAGTCATTCCTGGTCGGTTCCCCGTTAGGGTCAATTTGCATGTTACCCTTTTATGATATAGGATTATTATATAGGATAGGGGGAATCTTGCAGAGTGGTTGAAGGTCAAGAGTCAGACTGTTTGTGACCTTGAACAATCTAATAAGCCTGAGCCTCAGTCTTCTCATCTTTAAAATGGGTATGATGTGGATACCTATTGGCATACTATATTTTATATCTGCAAAGTTCTTAGTTCAGCATCCAACACAGAATAAATGCTCTAAGCAAAATATTGTTATAATATTAAATTGATGACTACAAAAAGGCTATCCCTCTGGGAAGTCTTTCCCACCCCCATGATGCTCTGCTTGTACCTGCCCACATCACTTGACCCCAGAGAGTGATCGGAAGGCCTTTTATGAGAGCAGCCAGTGGAACATCAAGAAGAATCAGGAAACCATCAACCACCTACATGAGGAGAACAGGGGGCTGCAGCTACGGCTGAGGGACCTGCTCCAGGTGAGGGTTCAGCAGTGGGAGGAGCGGTCCCAGGGGCAGCACCAGCACTCCCAGCACAGGGCACTGCCTCAGGTCCAGGTGGCCTGGGTAAGTGGTCACTGGGCTCCTCTCCTTGCAGGGAGAAGAGAAAGTGATCCAGGCAGTGATTCAGGAATGGAAGTCGGAAAAGCCATACCTGAAGAACAGGACAGGCCAGGTTTGCCCCACCCCTACTCCACTGATAGTCTCCTTCCTTTCCAGCCTGGGTCCCTTCCCCACTGGACTCCCTCCCTCCTCCCCCGCCCTCTCTAGTCCTGTCTCCCCACCATCCGCCACTCATTTATTCACACAGTTAATTTTTATCACCTCTCAACCATGTGCCTGGCTTGGTATTAGGTATTGTTGATCATGCAGTGAGAAAAAACACAAACCATGTCCCCACTGGGACAGGGATTTGCACTTTTGACTGGGGAGTGGGAGTCAGCAAAGACCCCTCTCTTTCTGATGTGATGCTTGAGCTGAGAACGGTCCAGGCAGGAAATGATGGGGGTTGAGGGCAGGCAGAAGGAACAACAAGGCAAAGTCCCTGGTGTAGGAACAAGTGTAAGTGTTGGAGTCCAGTGTGGCTAGATGGGAGTGAGGGAGGGGAACATGGGAGGAGGGGGATCAGCAGGAGCGAATCTTACATCAGGCCATGATGAAGAGAGGGGGATTTTATATAATATGTTAAGGCTCAGGTAAGTGGAGAAGGACTGAGAGAGAGCAAGAGTGGAAGCCAGGAGGAAGTCATTTTGGTGAAAGATGTTGTTGGATGCACTAGGGTGAAAGCTGGAAACAGGAAGCAAGAATCTCGGGAGCACCAAAACTGGTTTGGCACAGTGGGTAGAGCGTCGACCTGCAGACTGAAAGATCCTGGGTTCGATTCTGGGCAGGGGCATGTACCTGGTTGCGGGCACATCCCCAGGGAGGGTGTGCAGCAGGAGGCAGCTGATCATTGTTTCTCTTTCAATAGAGAGTTTCTAACTCTCTGTCCCTCTCCCTTCCTCTGTAAAAATCAATAAAATATATTTAAAAAAAAAAAAAAAGAATCTCGGGGCAACCTTTGAAACAGAGCAGGTAATGGCTAACAAATTGAACATACACTGGAGAGAAAAAGAAGTGGGGATGACAGAGTTTTGGACTTGAGCATTCGGAAGGAAGGATAGGGCATCCATGAGCTGAGATGGGGAAACCTGAGAAGGGCAGGTTTGGAGAAAGATCAAATGCTCAGATGGGTCGCAATGGTTTTGAAGCGCCTGTGGACACAGCTGGAAGGCAGTGTAGGTGTGGATACATGAGCCTGAATTTTGGGGGGAAGCTAAATTTGGTGTCTCCTGTGCACACCCGAATTCTCCAGGTTCCGCAAGGTCTAGCAGGAGACAAGGCCAGGCTGAGTCCCCTCCACCCTTCGCTCCTGGGGGTCCCCCAGGGATCAAGAGCCCCTTTGCAGCCGTCCACCTCCCAGCCCTCCATGCCTCACTGGCCGCACCTTAGCCATCTCAGTGTTGCTATCATGCACCTCCCTGAGTCTGGATGAGAGATCATGATGGGGGTGGGCACAGTCATAGGAGAGAGGAGCCTGGGGCTGTCTCGCCAAAGGCAAAGGAGACAAGCAAGGAGCAAGCAGGGAGGGGGGTGGAAAACCAGGGGATGGGCTTCTGGAAGCCACCACACAGTAGAACACCTGCAGGAGGAGGGTCAGACGTTGCTCAGAGACAGGACAGAGAGATGGGAACCAAAAGACGGAAGGAAGCGCTGGAGGAGGGGCTAGGTGGGGTTCAGACCCCTGCTCTCGCTCCCCTCCCTCCAGCAGGCCCTGGAGTACCTGGACCACCAGCTGAGTGAGAAGGTGAAGCAACGGAACGCTCTCCGGCACCAGCTGGGATTGCGGCAGAAGCGGCTGGAGGAGCTCCAGCTGCAGCACAGCCTACGTGAGATGGAGATGGTGGAGGTGCATGATAGTAACACTGAGATGGCTAAGGTGCGGCCAGTGAGGCGTGGAGGGCTGGGAGGTGGACGGCTGACAAAGGGGCTCTTGATCCCTGGGGGACCCCCAGGAGCGAAGGGTGGCGGGGACTCAGCCCGGCCTTGTCTCCCGCTAGACCTTGCGGAACCTGGAGAACCGCCTGGAGAAGGCTCGGATGAAGGCGGAGGAGGCGGAACACATCACCCATGTGTACCTGCAGCTCAAGGCCTATCTCCAGGTAGGGACCAGAATGGCTGGGGACAGGGAGGCCCGTGGGAGGGCCAGCCTGGCCCGGGACAGTGGTCACAGGCTGCCCCACTCCTCACACCCCAGGGAGAGAGCCTTCACTTCGAAAACCGTGTGGACTTCATGGAGGCTGAGGCGGTGAGGATGAAACGTGAACTGGAGGAGCTGCGCGTGGTGAACCAGGAGGCACTCAACACCCGGAACGTTGCCAAGGTGCCAGCTCACTGGTCCCTGGGAATCCTACCCACACACCACGGTTTCCTGGCCCCAGGATCTGAACCTCAGCTGTCCCAGAGCCCCTCCTATTTGTCTCTCAGGCCTTGCAGCCTGGACCGGTCGGGCCTGTGGCTCTGACCCTGAGCCATGGTAGATGCCAACTGGTCCTGCTTTCCCCTGCCTGCCCTCCAGAGCCAGCTGCAGTATCTGGAGGAGACTGTGTTCCGAGAGCGCAAGAACCGCGAGCACTACGTGAGCGAGTTCAAGAAGCTGGCGGAGGAGAGGAAACTGCAGAACGAGCGCATGGAGCGCAAGGTGGGTGCACCCGGGGGTGCCAGGACCCCGGCCCTGCCCCGCGCTCCTGATCCCTGCTTGGCTGTCCTCACCTGAGCTAAGGTTTTCCCTGGACCCCCAGACTGGCCCACCTATTCCCTGACCCGTGTCCAGATACCCTTTCTTGGCCTCTGTCCTAAGCCCTTGTCCACAACCTGACCCTGGACCTGACCTCAACCTGGAGCAGACCCAGCGGGAGCACGTGCTGCTGCAGTCCGATGATACAACCCAGGACAGCCGGAAGGCCAAGGAGGAGGAGCTGGAGATGCGCTGGAGCATGTACCAGATGGAGATGCTCTTCGGCAAGGTCAAGGACGCCACCGGCGTGGCCGAAGCACACGTGAGTGCTGCCTGCAGCCCTGTGCCCTGGATCAGCACCTCAGCACGCAAACGTGCTCTCATAAAAGCCAACCCTTCTTCCTCCAGCTACCGTTCCATCTCTCTGCTGCCCCTTACCACAGCACCCATGCAAACTGTGTACTCACCGCTTCCTCTCCTTCTGTCAGGCTTACACTGACTTCTTGGTCCCGGAGGCCCTGTGAAAGCTGGGAGTTTTGTCTCTCCTGTGTCTCCATCAGCTGTAACACGGCCGAGGGCCTAGCAAACTGCCCAGAGCCACCTTAGCCCTGGGCAAGCCAGACCCCTGCCCTGGGCCTCCCTCTTTGCAATGTCTTCCTTGAAATTTCCTAAGACCCTATGTTCCCTGCTGGCAAACAGTGATCCTCTGGACCCCAGTCTGTTTCCCCCCATTTGGGCACTCCCCCACCCTCTATTCTCCCCATGGGATGACCCCCAGGGGTCCGGCACTTGGATCTGTGATGTCACCTGAGGCACTGTGGCCAGGTGTCTTTTCAGAAATTGGCCTGGTGGCAGGATTGTTCCCACAGCGGGCCAGTATTTCCTCATGCGATTGGGCGAGATCCCCCCCACCCTCCCCACCCCTGTTGCCCAGAATGTTGTAGGCACCTTGATTTTGGAAAGCAACTATGGGCACTGCTACCCTGCCTCACATGCGGATTTTTGGCTGATTCAAATTCCTGATGTAGAGGGGGAAAGGCTCAGCAAATATTATTTGTCCCAGGCTACCCACCTGTGAGGCAGCCCTGAGTCCTATTCAGAGTCACCACGCTTCACTGTGCGGACGCTGTCAGCTCAGCCACCTGTTCTTGCCCCGGGGTTGAGGAGGAGGGTGGCAGCGGGGCCTGCCCAGGCCCTCGCTCTGACTGGGGTTGGTGGGCCCCAGGCGGTGGTGCGACGGTTCCTGGCGCAGAGCGACACCTTCACGCAGTTGGAGATGCTCAAGAATGAGAACGCGGAGCTGCTGCAGGGACTGAAACAAGAGAAGCAGCAGCTGCATCAGGAGCTCGAAGAACACAAGTACTCAGGGGAGACCATGCTAGTGAGGTGAGGCCCCAGTGCCAGAGGCGGGGGGGGGGGGGGGGGCCACGGGGTCCTCTGCACTCCCACAGCTCTCTCCCCACTCCCTGCAGTGAACAGAGGCTGCAGACTGAGTTGCAGAGTAGCCTCAATGCAGAGCAGCAGCGGAAGGCTGAGGCCCAGGCCCAGCTGGATCAGGCCACGCGGGCGATGCAAGTTGTGAGGGAGGGCATGGAGGAACTGGCGGGCAAGCTGAACCACCTCACACTGGGCAGCCAGGTCTCTGAGAAAGACCTACCCAGAGGCCAGGTCTCTGAGAAAGACCTACCCAGAGGCCAGGTCTCTGAGAAAGACCTACCCAGAGCCACCCAGGACTTAGCCCCTCAGGTGGGTGTCTTCCCCATAGCCCCGTTGGAAGGATCCCCCCATAAAGGACATCAGAAGCCCACTTAGAAGGGAGTCCCTACCCCACGTTCCTGGAGTAACTCCCTTACTCCTTAAGTGGCCCAAGATTTCAGAGTCCCTGTGCTGCCTCAAGACCCACCCCCAGAGGAAAGTCCCACTTTGTCCCCCAACCCAAAACCTCAGCGACCTGGCTGCAATGCCTGAGCATCCTGAGACAGAAGCCCCACCCTTGTCTGCAGCAAAGTACCATTTCTCCAGGTCATCCTTGCAATGGCTTCTCTCTGTTAATCCCCTCCCCTCAAAAGAAGATCCGCCACCCCTTGTCCAAGGCCCTGGACAGCAGCACCACCCCTGTGGGTGGCCCCTCACCTTCCAACCCCACCCTGGAAGCAAAAGCCCCTTCCTGGTGGAATCTGCCCGAGGCCCTACCCCTTCGGACTGACGCAGCTCCTCGCCCCCAGCCGCAGGAGGCCCGGGGCTCTGCTGAGAAAGAGCTGGATCGCAAGGCCAGTGACTATATGCCCAAGCTGCTGGGCCTGGTGGAGGAGAAGCTGCTGGCGCTGCAGGCGCAATTCGACAGCCAGGAAATTCCGGAGATGCTGCGCCACATCGCGAATCGCGAGGTACCCAGAGGTTGGGGGGACGGGGGAGAAGGGGGACAGACTTCAGGGAGCTACGGCAATCCGTGGGAGACCTGGAGAATGCCGCTCATTAGAAAAGGGACTGGGAGGTCAGAGGGCAGGGTTGAGTGGGGTGTCAGGGCTGGAGCCTCAGGACGCCAAGGGGCGGGGCCCCAGGGACCAGGGGCGGGCCTGGCGGGAAGACCAGGAGGTGGGACTGGGCGTCAGGGTGCGAGGGGAGAACGAAGGCCACAGCTGGGCCACAGTTGGCGGAGGGGCTGTTTGGAAGCGGGGTCTATCCTGGGATGGGGTGGGAAGGAGGGGGAACAGGATTGCCCTGTGGCCCCTGCCCCGCCCACAGTTTTCTCTCCCGCCTCCCTCCTCCCAGTTCTACGTCAACCTGGAGGGAAAGCTGCCCCCGCACAACACCCGCATCACCTTCCCCCTGGCCAGCGCCGCGGACAAGTTCTTCGGTCAGTCCTGTGGGGAGAGGAAGGGCGTGGGGCTGTGGGAGGTCCTCCGAGACTCGACCGGCCGAGGTGAGTGGGGTGAAAAGGCTGCGGAGATCTGAGCAGGGATGGGAACCTGGATCTCTCCCCCCTCCACTCCCAGACGAGGAGGACACCGAGGACGACGACAACGACCTGGTGTCTCGCGCGGGCCTCAAGATCCGCTCCCAGAAACTGATCGATTCTCGCAGCAAGAAGCGCAAAAGCCCTCGGAAGTCCTAGACTCGCCCTCGCGCCCGCCTGGCCTCTCCCGGCCTCTGGGAGCTCCGAGCCCTCGGCGCCCAGCCCCCCCGGCCCCGGGGTCCTTCGAGGGCTGAGCGGCCGGACGGAGCAAGCCGGCCTCGGCGCCCGGAATAAATATCCGGCGGCCCGCCGGCCTCGGAATCACAAATAAATGTTACCGACCAGCCTCCTGGGTATTGGCCTCTCCTTGACCCGGCACCTCCCCAAAGATAGCTGGTCCCAAACCGGGGGCCACAGCCCTGCCCCTCCCATCAACCGGGGACACAGAGGGGGGCCTCCGGAGAGTCGCCCCCACCTGGGAGGACCAGCCCTCCGCTGGGGACCGGGACTCCCCACCTGGGGCACAGCCTGTCCCCGCCCGCTGTGCAGAGCTCCCCCGCACCGGGGCCATGGCGAGGGGCCCCCCGGGAGGGCTTCCTCCGGGCACAGCCACACACCTGCGGGGAGAACCGGGCCTCGCCCCGCGGGCCTGGAGGGGAGCCGGGGTCCCGCAGGGGGCATCCGAGAGCCGTGGGTCCCCCGCCCCTCCCCGCCCCGCCCCCGCGGCCCGTCCGCCCCGCCCCGCGGCCCCCAAGTGCCCCGCGCTGCCCGCGCTGCCGGCCCTTCCGCCTCCCCGGCCGGGCACGGAGCGGACGGCGGGCCATGCAGCGGGCGGCGGGGAAGGAGCTCGCCCTGGTAAGGGGACCAGCGCCCCGGGCCCCGCATCCCTGGCGACCCCCTGATCAGCCTCCGGGCGCCGGCCCCCCGGACCCCACCTCCCAGCGGGCCGGACCCCTCGCACTCCCCCGAGGTCCCCTCCTCGGGCCTCGGGGCCCCGGCGCAGAGAAGCGGCTCCTCCGAGGGATGGAGGGGAGGCCGGAGGCACTCCGTGAGCCGGGCCCCGGGCGTCCCACCGGCCGCCCCATCCTCCCGGACCCGACCGGACCGGACCGGGCGCGGGGCGCTCGCTGGAGTGAAACAAACTCCGGGAGGCCCGGCCCAGCCCCGGCGGCAGAGGGGCGCCGGCCCGGCCCGGCCCGGCCCCCGCGGCCCCTGACCCCCCTCCCGCGCCAGGCGCCGCTGCAGGACTGGGGCGAGGAGACCGAGGACGGCGCGGTGTACAGCGTGTCCCTGCGGCGGCAGCGCAGCCAGCGCGGGAGCCCGCGGGCCGGGCCCGGCGGCGGCCAGGTGAGGCCCGGGGGCGGGGCGGGCAAGTGAGGGGGGTCCAGGGGGCAGGGCGGGCAGGTGTGCGGGGCGGGCAGGTGCGCGGAGCCCGGGCGGGGGCCCGACGGGAGGGCGGGCTGTGGGCGGCCAGGTGAGCGGGTGGATGAGTGAGGAGGGGCCGGGTCGGACCGGTTCGGGAGCAACACCTGAAGGCAGAGGCCGGGTCAGCCAGGACAGTGGGGCGGAGCTGGAGCGGGACGGGAGGGGTGGTCTTCAGGAGCAGAGGGGCGGGAGGGGGGTGGAGCGCGGGGAGGGGAGAGCAGGGACCGGGACAGCCAGCGAAGCGGAGCTGGAGAGCCAGAGCAGCCTAGGGGCGGGGCGCGGGCAGGGCTGGGAGGCTGCGGCGTCCAGGTCATTTGTGCAAGGTGCAGGGTGAACCTAGGGGCCAGATCCTGGGGAGTGGACGGGGTCAGGTGCAAGAACCCTGCTAGCAACGGGTGTGGCTGGAACAGGGGTGCTCCAGGGGCCACGCCCCTCTGGCATCACCACCCCCTGCCTCGCAGGCCCCCAGCCCGGATGCGGGCACCTTCCTCCACTACCGCACCAGCAAGGTGCGCGTGCTGCGGGCGGCGCACCTGGAGCGGCTGGTGCGGGAGCTGGTGTCTGTGGACCGTGAGCAGGACCCCGGCTTCGTTCCTGCCTTCCTGGCCACCCACCAGGCCTTTGTGCCCACGGCTCGCGTTCTGGGCCTTCTCCTGCCACCGCCTCCGCCGCCCTTGCCGCCCTGGTCAGTACCCATGGGGAGCCCTCCATGGTCCCACCCCAGACCCTCCCCTGGGCCCTCCCTCAGGTTTAGAATCAGGAAGTCCCCCAGCCTCAGAACCCTCTCGTACACACTCACCCTCTCCTCTTCCCTACACCCTTCTCCACCTGATCGTGGGGGCTCCTTCCAGGGTGGAGATCAAGAAGACAGAGGGACAGGATCTCAGCTTCAACGAGAACCTGAGGTAGGTTTCCCCCTTGGGCATCAGTGGAAGGTCCCAGAGGTCAGAGGTCGGATCTGAGGTGTGGGGGCTGCGGAGTTCCCACCCGGCCTCTGAGGTCCTGCCCCTGTGGCCAGGGCTGTGGTTTCTGTGCTGGGCTCCTGGCTGCGGGACCACCCTCAGGACTTCCGGGACCCCCCTGCCCACTCGGACCTGGGCAGTGTCCGCACCTTTCTGGGCTGGGCTGCCCCACTGGGGCCCGAGGCCCTGGAAGCAGAGAAGCTGCTGAGAGATTTCCTGAAGGAGGCTGAGCAGGAGCAGGAAGAGGAGGAGGAGCAGCCTCAGGCTTCGGCAGGTGAGGGGTTTGGGGCAATGATAGTGCCCTGAGCAGGCTTTTCCTGATTCATACCTCCCCCAGGGGGCTCCTCCCCTCAGGGAGCTACAGATCTTAGGCAAGGTTCTTTTTCTTTTAAAAAAAAAAAATATAGGGGCGCAAAAAAAAAAAAAAAAAAAAAAAAAAAAAAAAAAAAAAAAAAAAAAAAAAAAAAATATATATATATATATATATATATATATATATTTTTTTTTTTTTTAGTAGAGTCCTGGTGCACGACATTCGTGCATTTGGCCGGGTGGGGTGGTCCCTTGGCTTGGCCTGCTCCCTTTTGCAGTCTGGGAGCCCTCAGGGGATGTCCTACTACTTATTGTCCTATTGCAGGCCGAAGCCACAGTCGGACATCAGTGGACATCCTTACACTGCCGGGCAGGCGGGCTGCTGCTGCCCGCCAGCCATCAGCCCGGCTTCTGGCTGAGCAGCGCCTCCCGCTGTGGGAGCTCACTGACCACCAGGGGGCAGCTCCTGTATTGAGCATCTGCCCCCTGGTGTCAGTGCGTGTCACACCGCTGGGTCATTCCCTGTTTGGTCAATTTGCATATTACTCTTTTATTATATAGGATTGATTTCAGAGAGAAAGGGAGAGGGAGAGAAAAAAAAAAAATCATTGATCAGTTGCCTCCTGCATGCCCCCTACGAGGGATCCAGCCCATAACCTGGGCTTGTGCCCTGACTGGGAATCAAACTATGACCTCCTGGTTCATAGGTCCACATTCAACCACTGAGCAACACCAGCCAAGCGTTTTTTCTTTTATTTTAAAAAATATGCGTTTTTATTGATTTTTAGAGAGAGAGGAAGGGAGAGGAATCGAAAGATAGAATCATTGGTTGGCTGCCTCCTGCACACCCCCTACTGCAGATCAAGCCCACAACCTGGGCATGTGTACTGGCCTGGGATCAACTGTGAACTCTTGGCTCATGGGTTGATGCTCAACCACTGAGCCACGATGGCTGGGCTAAACAAGGTTCTTTTTTTATCTTGTCCGAGCCTCAGTTTCCTAACCTATAAAATGGGGGAAATACCCTTTGTCTAACATATTGGCATTTATCTAGCAGCTTCCCTCCCCACTCTGTCTGAACTGCAAAGATGCTCCATCATTGGTTCAGAATGCCCTGCATTTTAACTACAAATCATTCCACTACTACTTACCTTAGGAGCCACAGAAATCTGAATTCAAATCCCAGTCCTGCCTTTGCTGACTGTCTGATCTTGGACAAGTCATTTCACTAATATGAACCTCAGTTTCCCTACCTGTGAAATGGGGGCAAAAACAGTACTTACCTCATTGCCTCTTCATTCATTTAGCAGATATTTAGCCACTGGCCTCTATGCACATAACAGTGAACAGGAGCTCTCAGTTCCCTGGGGAAGACAATCAGTAGACAAGTAAATATACAAGCAATGAGGGCTGGGCAAATAGTAATAATACTTTTTTATTGTTATTATCAATTATTCTTACTTTTTAGAATGTACCACTTACAATGAAATATGTACAAGAAGCCATGTGGGTATTTTCTTGTATAGTAGGGGTCAGTAAACTGGTCTTTTATAGAAAAACCTACCAACTGCTGTCACAGAGAGCTTTGGAGGGTGGGCAGGAAGAGTAAAGAGTCATATACTTCATTCTAGTCTTTGTTCAGTTGTCAACTTTTCAGATATGCTTTCTCTCACCCCCTCCCAACAAATTTATTCTCTCACCCTTTAACCTGCCTTATTTTTCTGCGTAGCCCTCATTAGTTTAGTCCCCATCTCTGTCCCCAGGGGCAGGAACAGTGCAGATTGGTTGACTGAATAATTATATATCCCGCTTATAAAGTATCATCTTCCCCCCATCTGTGTTCCATCTGATCCCTATCACGAAAGCATCTGTATCCCTAATCCCCATCCTGTAATCCTCAGGTTATGGCCACATTTCTCTCCTCTTTACAAAGCAGCAGCCACTTCTCCTCCTGAAACATTCAGTTATGCATATACAGGGCCGGGCAAAAGTCGGTTTACAGCGGTGAGTTCATGAAACATGGAGTTTATTCTTTTTTAATTTTTTAAATTTTTTTATTAAATTATTATCTATGTACATATCTTACCATTGTGGAGTTTATTCTTTTTTTTAAATTTTTTTTGGAGTTTATTCTTGAATTATTTATTAATTATTGTATTATTTTCCATATGAACAGCTGTAAGCCTACTTTTATCACATCCTGTATATCTTATCCTTCCATCTTCTGGTTACTAAGTGTTTTTCTTCCTCTGCTCTCAAGATTTCATCAGCTACCTTAGCTGGTTTGGCTCAGTTGATAGGGGTCCTGGATTTGATTATGATCAAGGGCGATTGCCTCAGTTGCATACTAGATTCCCCAACCAGATCGGGGAGTTGAGGCGCACACACCTACTGATGCAGGAGCGTGCACTGGCCACACAGACGCAGTAGCATAGATGTTAGTGACATCACCTTCCAAAATGCTGAGCAACACTTGGCAGTTTCCAAACAAAACCAAGGTAGGGTTTTCACAGTCCTTGCATTCCTGGGGCCAAAATAATTAGTGTTTCTGAGCAAGATAGTTGGGTGCAAGGTGCAGATCGCTAGAAACAGGTTTTTCAAGGACACACACGAACAAAAAAGAAAGAAAGGAAAAGTAGAATAAAAACAAGCAAAAGAAACAAGGGCAGCAATGCCTCGGAGGGACGTGTGGAGGCTGGGGGCACAGGTCTTCACAGTGCAGCGAGGGTCCGGCTTCTAAGGTGCCCCCTGGGGTGCCCCCACTGAAACCCACTACCACAAAGTCACTCACATTTGAGTACTTTCTAGCAGCCTGGTATGCATGATCTCATTTGATTTTTTTTTTTTTTTAAAGACATGTGGGAGGGGGGATCAAATGAAAAGAAACGCAGATGAAGAAAAGAAAGTGCAGAGAAATTTAAAGTTTTAGTTTACACAGCAAGTCCAGTGGACAAGTTTGAATTTGAACTTGGCATTTTCTGACAATCACCTTCCCCAACCACAAAATTATACCATCTTTCACCAAAAGCAAAGGGCAAGCCCAGCTGGTGTGAGCTTCAGCCTCTGAACCAGGAGGTCATGGTTGGATTCCTGGTCAGGGCACATGCCTAGGTTGAGGGCTCAACCCCAGTGTGGGGCCTGCAGAAGGCAGCGGATCAATGATTCTCTCCTCCCTTCCTCTCTGAAATCAATATATATATATATATAATGCAAAAGATTTTATCTTAATAAAGTCTCAAAGTCATAAAGCTCTATTTTCTATGCTAGTCTTTGAGCACCTGGCTTCAAACCCCTGCCCTGTCATTTACTGAACTGACTTAAGGCAAATTGCTCCTCCTGCCCCTGGGAGGTGGGTAATTAGAACAGCAGTTCACTAGTAATGCCTGGCTCACTAGTAAGTGCTAAATTACTGAGTTAAATCACTGAACCACACTGCGAGCTCAGGGAATGTTCCTGTTGCTTTATGAAAGATGAAACAGAGAGGCCAGAGACCGGGATGCCAGGACACAGGCTTTATTGGAGAGAAGGGTACCACTGCCGGCTGCTTCCAGAGGAGAAAGAGAGCGAGGGCCGGGGTTCATGCACGTTTAAGGGCAGGGAAGAGAGGGGACGGGCTTAGGGCACTCAGCACACGCTGACTGGTGGTTTCATGTAAGGCATATGATTAGGGACCTAGGGACTTAGGAATGGGGGCTTAGGGTATTAGGCAGGTGCTGATTGGCGGTTCAGTGCTCAGGAATGTCCGGCTGCGGGTGGAGTTGACATCAGTTGGAGGAAGGGGAGACACTTTATGTCTCCATTTCACAGATGAGGAAAGTGAGGTTCAGAAACACTGAGGGACGTGCCCTAGGTCCCACAGCCAGTCCGAATCCACCCTTGAGAGTCGTAACCCCCCTCTACTGTTCCCTCAGGACCTCCTGGAAATGCCCGGACCCCCAGCCCAGACTCCCCCGAAGGCTACGTGGAAGAGGAGGAAGGGCTGGTGCAAGAAGGCCCTGAGCTCCTGGACTTCAGTGTAGACCAAGTGGCTGAGCAGTTGACTCTGATGGACGTGGTGCGGCTGCAGGAGGGGCGCAGTGGGGGTGGGGACGGGCTGGGGGGGGGGCAGGTCTGGCTGAGCACAGATCCTACCCCCACCCCCTTTCAGGAACTCTTCTCCCGCGTGCGGCCCTGCGAGTGCCTGGGTTCCGTGTGGTCCCAGCGGGACCGGCCGGGGGCCGCCGGCATCGCCCCGACCGTGCGCGCCACCGTGACCCAGTTCAACCTGGTGACCGGCTGCGTGCTGGGCTCGGTGCTGGGCGCGCCGGGCCTGGCCGCCCCGCAGAGGGCGCAGCGGCTGGAGAAGTGGATCCGCATTGCCCAGGTGCGTGTTCGGGGCGGTGGTGCCCAGAGAGGCGGGGGGGAGAGGGGCGCGGAGGGCTGGGTCTGGGGGTGTGGGGAGCATTGGGGCTGGAAGGTGCCTAAGGAAAAGCCGAGGACATGGCTGTGCCAGGCTGGGGCCGGGGACTCCGAGGAGCTGGGCAGGCCTTGGGATAAGAGGATGGGATGGGTGTGATCCAGCGGGTACAGGATTGGAGGAGGGACCAAAGCCCAGAGAGGCGGGCAGGGGTCCTGGAAAAGACTGGGGGGGGGGGGGGGGGAGGACAGGGACCTCTGGTCGGAGAGGAAGAGACAGAAATGAGGGCCCTGGAGAGAGAGAGAGGGCGCCTGGCCAAGAGGGGGAGTGGAAAGGCTAAACCTGGCCTGAGACTGGGGTTGGGGAGGCTAAACCTGGCCTGAGACTGGGGTTCGGGAGGCGGGGTCTGGTTCCGGAGAGATGCCCCAGGCGCCTCTATGCCCCAGAGAAGGCAGAGTCGGGAGGCAGAAGCCAAGGTCAGAAGCAGGAGCAGCTGGGGGAGGGGCCGGGCAGCAGGTGGGAGAGGAGGAGAAGGTCCTGGTAGCTCGTCAGATGTGGGGCCAGTCGTACAGGTTGGACCTGGGGTGAGAAGTCGGGAGGTCATCGAAGGCGCATTGCACCTGGCCAGGCTTGGGGTCTGAGCGGCGCCCCCTCCCGCCCCCCTCCCGCCCCCCAGCGCTGCAGGGAGCTGCGGAACTTCTCCTCGCTGCGCGCCATCCTGTCCGCCCTGCAGTCTAACCCCATATACCGGCTCAAGAGCAGCTGGGGCGCTGTGAGCAGGTGAGCGAGACCGGGGAGAGAAGCTGGGCGATTTCTCCCAACCAACCCCAGCCCTGACCCCCCCAGCCCTGACCCCTCTCCTGTCCCCCATAGGGAGCCGTTATCCACGTTCAGGAAACTGTCGCAGATTTTCTCGGACGAGAACAACCATCTCAGCAGCAGAGAGATTCTTTCCCAGGTACAGAGGCCCGGCTGGGGACCTGGGGCACAGGCTGTCCTTGTCCTCCCCCTCCCTGCACCTCAGCAATGACCTTGTCCTTGTGGCCTGTGTTTTTACTGCCTCTGCTGCCCTCATGATAGTTCAGCTCGCTAACTGCCTTATTTATTCATTCAACAAATACCAGAAGTTACATGGAAAAGGTCACTGAAGGCTAGCGTCACAGCAAAGAGTGAAAAAAAAAAAAAAGTAGCTTTAGGGCGTCAGGGAAAGGGGGAAAGGGCGAGGGAGGAAATTAAAAAAAGTGGCTTTAATAAGCAAAACTAACCAACGTGTGCCCACAGATCAGACTTACTGTAGGCAAGGTCGAGGTTCTAAATGCAATCAGGTTGCTAGGGTGAGTCCAGAATAGATGGGACAGTCCTCACCTTCACCCCCTGCAGGTCCCCTCCCAGATGTCCCCCCAAGATGCCCTCCCTGTGCCCCAGCCTCTCATTCATTTTTTAATTTTTTTTAATATATTTTATTGATTTTTTTTTTTTTTTACAGAGACGAAGAGAGAGGGATAGAGAGTTAGAAACATCAATGAGAGAGAATCATCGATCAGCCACCTCCTTCACACCCCCCCCACTGGGGATGTGCCTGCAACCATGGTACATGCCCCTGACCGGAATCGAACCCAGGACCCTTCAGTCCGCAGGCCAAGGCTCTACCCACTGAGCCCAACCGGTTTCGGCGGCTCATTCTTTTTTTTTTTTTTTTTTTTTTTTTAAAGAGTATATTTTTTGTTGATTTCCAAGAGGAAGGGAGAGGGAGAGAAAGATAGAAACATCAATGATGAGAGAGAATCATCAGTTGGCTGCCTCCTGCACACCCACACTGTGGATCAAGCCCCCAGCCTGGCATGTGCCTTAACCAGAAATCGAACTGTGACCCCCTGGTTCATAGGTCACTGCTCAACCACTGAGCCATGCCTCTGGGCTCCATTGTTCTTTTCTTATCTCTGAGGATCCTTCATTATTGCATGTTAAGTTTGGTTATTGCTCTCTCTTCCTCCCTGATGTCTGCTCCATGAGGCGCGTTTTTGTATGTTTTACTCACTACTGCTTCTTCAGGGGCCAGAGCAGTGCCTGGCCCAGAGCAGGCTCTCAATTAATACCTACGAGTGAATTAATATCTCACATAAGAATGATCTCAAGGAACAAGGAGCTCTGGTTTAAGCGCCTACTGTGTACCAGGCACTATGCCAGGAGGCGTGGCCAGGAACCAGAGAGACACAGCTGCTGCCCTTGGGGGGAATCAGGCCCCGGACAGGGGAGCCACCCAGGGCAATGCTAACTGCCCAGCGCTGGTGTCAGTAACCAGGCAGAGCAGTGCCATGAGGCAGGTTCAGGGCATGCCCAGCGGATTGCCTGAGGGCCTGGTCCATGGACCTGGGACAAAGATTCTCACCTGTGTTGAGGCTGTCCCTGGGGCCATGGCACCCACAAGCCCCACCTCGGGTTATCCTCAGCGGGATAACCCCCTGCCACTTCTCTGCTCCCTTCCTCCCTCCCCTGTTCACTTTCCTTGGAGCTTGACCTTTGCGACTGCTTTGTAATTGCTAAAAGCAAAATGGGCCCGGCCTGCATGGCTCAGTGGTTGAGCATCTACCCATGAGCCAGGAAGTCAGGGTTCAATTCCAGGTCAGGGCATAAGTTGGGATGTGGGCTCAATCCCCAGTGTGGGGCATGCAAGAGGCAGCCAGTCAATGATTCTTGATGTTTCTCTTTCTCTCCCCCCAACCCCATCCTCTTTGAAATCAATACATACACATATAAATAAATAAATAAATAAATAAATAAATAAATAAATAAATAAATAAATAAAAATAAAAGCATGCTGAAATCGGTTTGGCTCAGTGGATAGAGCATCAGCCTGCGGACTGAAAGGTCCCAGGTTCAATTCCGGTCAAGGGCATGTACCTTGGTTGCGGGCACATCTCCAGTAGGGGGCGTGCAAGAGGCAGCTGATTGATGTTTCTCTCTCATCGATGTTTCTAACTCTGTCCCTCTCTCTTTCTCTCTGTAAAAAAAAAAAAAAAAAATTAATAACATGTATTTTTTTTAATTTTAAAAAAGAATAAAAGCAAAATGGGTGCGTATTGAGGCTTCTTCCCCGAAAGAGAGGTCCAAGAGACCCTGGATCTGCTCAGTTCTTCTCCTGCCCACAGGAGGAGGCCACTGAGGGACCCCAAGAGGAGAATTCTCCCCCTGGAAGCCTGCCTTCAGTGAGTGGTGGCAGTTTGGGGTGGGGGACAAGTGGGACCCTCATGGAAGGGGATGGGGTGCGATGGGGTCTGATGGTGGAGAGTGACTGGAGCTCTGGGGCCACAGAAACTGCCCCCAGGCCCGGTTCCCTACCTTGGCACCTTCCTCACGGACCTGGTTATGCTGGACACAGCCCTGCCGGACATGCTAGAGGTCTGACTCCTGACCCTTGACCCAGTACCACTTGCCCTCAGCACAGTGGCCTCCTGACATCCCCCCTTTGACCCTGCCTGCCATCCCAACCCCAGCTCCCTCAGTGCAGTAGGGCTCCTGACATCCCAACCCCTGGCCTTGACCCTCAATTCACCCTAAACCCCGGAGACTCCCATTCAGACCAAGTTTCCCCCCAGGGGGATCTCATCAACTTTGAGAAGAGGAGGAAGGTGAGTGGGTGCTGGGGTGAGTGTGGGAGGGGCCCGGATGGGGACAGGGCAGGGGTGGGGTCTCAGAAATCATACCCTCAGGAGTGGGAGATCCTGGCCCGAATCCAGCAGCTGCAGAAGCGCTGTCGGAGCTACTGCCTGAGCCCCTGCCCGCCCGTCCTGGCTGCCCTGCGTGCCCAGCGCCAGCTCAGTGAGGAGCAGAGGTGACCACCTGTGGCCTGGCCCAGCCCCACCTCTGCGGACCCCGGATTTGCTTACCCCCTATACACCTCTCCCAGTCCTCCTTAAGACCACCCCCTTCCTGAGCCTTGACCCCCAACCTGTGACCTTGCATCATCTCCAGCCCAACTGAGGGCCCCAGATGACCTCCCACCTTAAATTTGACTCTATCTGACTTTCTGACTTCAACTCAACCATCCATTCTGTTCTCTTCCCACCCCTGACCCTATCTGACCCGCGATCCCATTCATGACTCCCATCTGACTCTCCGAGCCCAATCATTGACCCCCAATTTTGAGTAATTGACTAGACTTTGACATATATTTGACCATCCAACTCAACTATCCCAATTATTTCCAACTATCCCAATTAATTCCATGGAATCCATGACTCCGATAATTACCTGACCTTGAATTCTATTCTTGACCCAATTTGACGCTTCAGTCCTTGACCAGTGAGCCCCTGTGTGACCTGCCAACCCAGCCATCCCATCTCATTGCTAATAAGACCCAGATTCTTTGTGACCCCATTTACTACTCTCCCCCTGGTATTTGGTGCCCAGTACTTAGCTGTTCCCCACAATGTCCAAACCCAGCTCCCAACTGGTTCTAACTCTCGTCTCCCAACTTGATCCCTCAGCTACCGTGTCTCCCGTGTCATTGAGCCACCAGCCGCCTCCTGTCCCAGCTCCCCACGTGTGCGGCGACGAATCAGCCTCACCAAGCGTCTCAGTGCGTGAGTCTTGGGAATGTGGGCGGGGTGATACGGGCAGAGATGGGGTGGGGGCTGCTTCTGGCTCTGAGGTTAGCCTTACCCTCACCCCCTGGCCCCACCCTCAGGAAGCTGTCCAGGGAGAGAGGCTTGTCTCCTGGTGGGAGTCCTGGGGACCCCTCATCCCCCACTTCCAGGTGAGCATCCTGTTTAGGGAAGGAATTGGAGGTGGTAGGGTCAGAGGTTGGGGGAGCACCACCTCAGGCTCTGCGTCTCTCCCAGTCTGTCCCCAGGGTCTCCCCCTTCCAGCCCTAGAATGAGGGACCCTCCTCCTGGAAGTCCCCCAGCCTCTCCCGGGCCCCAGAGCCCCAGCACCAAGGTACCAGGCCTGCCTGTGTGTACACGTGGGACTGTGGGCACCCAGGGCTCGGGGTGCGTGCGTGTGTGTGTGTGTGTGGGTGTGGGTGTGTGTGCGAGAGAGAGAGAGAGAGAAAGAAAGAGAGATTTTAAGGCCAGGCATGTACATATGAGATTGTACTCATGCGTGGCTCAGTACTTGGGGCGTCTGTCCAAGGGGCCATGTACATTTTCATGGCCTTGATTGAGAAATTGTCCCTCCGCCTGGCTTGTGCTCAGATCTGGGCCTGTGTGTCTGCTCGCCCATGGTGCAATACCACATTTTGCAAGAATTGGTGTGTTGCCAGGAATTTGCATTCCTTAAGGGGAAATGTGTGCATGAATATCCACCATATCCACCGGCCCACGTGCCAGGCTGTTCGTGGATATGGACTTATATATGTGCAACAACTGTGAGCATATGTATTCACTCTCTGTTCGGTGTACATAGGGTGTGTGTGTGTGTGTGTGTGTGTGTGTATGTGTTTATTAATCATGTAAATGTGTGTAACAGGAAATGAAGGTTTGTATGTGATGGGATTGCACAGATGTGGACTTGTATGTGTGTGCCCTGATTATGTGTCCCCTGACTTTGGGTGTGTAGGGGCATGTGTTGAATGCATTAATAAAGAAGGGGCCTAATGCTCCCCCACTGCTTACAGCTGCCCTTGGCCTTGACCCTGAGCTGTCCTCGCATCCCCCACGTGGGGCAGCAGGGCTCAGAGGCCCGGGTCATCCGTGTCAGCATCGACAACGACCACGGGAACCTGTATCGGAGCATTCTGGTGAGGAAGGGGGTCAGGGACCTGCTGGGGGCAGCCCTGCCCTTGGGGCTCAGACTGTCCCTTCTGACCTCCTGCTTTCCTTTCCCAGCTCACAAGTCAGGACAAGACCCCCAGTGTGGTGCAGAGAGCCTTACAGAAGCACAATATGGCCCAGTCCGGGGCCCGTGACTACCAGCTCTTCCAAGTCCTTCCTGGGGACAAGGGTGAGCAGGGACAGCTTGGAGCCTTGGCTGGGGGGCAGCTGGGAGATGGCCCTCACAGGCCCAGGAGGTGGTACAGGCACAGGGTAGGGATTAGATGAAACAGAGTGGGGGTGAGAAGCAGTAAAATATTTGTTCCTCAATTATATGAGTCATGTAGTTATCCTGGCTCAGTGCGAGGCAAGAGTGCACCTGGTATTATGGGGAAATGAGATTGCCCAGGGTTAGACAAGAGAGACTGTGTAAAAGATTGTCTAGGCTTAAATGTATAGGATCATGGGGTTGTTCAGGCGTAACTTGGTGGGGTGTAGGTCTGAAAGGGCTCTGAGCCTTAATCTGAGGGGAAATGAGTTTGTCCAGGCTCAGCCTGGGGAATCTGAAGGTGTCTGAACTTGGCACAGGAGAAAGCCAAAAGGTATTGAAATCCGGGGGAGGGCACCATGAGGTTGTTCAGTGTAGGAGGTTGTCCAGTTTTTGCAAGGCAGAGACAAGAGGTTGCTGTGTTAAAGAACATGACATGAAGTAGGCTGGACATAAGGAAGGGGTGTATGAGGCTCGGGTGGCAATGGCCATAAGGTCGTGCAGGCCGGAAGTAGGAAGTCAGAAGTTGTTCAAGTTCATGGTAATAGCAGCAGGAACTTGGCTGGGAACTGGCTCTGAGGAGAGAGTGGGGTGGGAAGGAAGTTGTTCGGGATGGGTGGCCTGGGTTTGCCCAAGCTTGCAGTGTAGGTTGCCTAGACTCCGGGGGAAGTGGCAGGAAGCTGCCCAGGTTTGAGGTGTGGCGGAGACACGAAGTTGTGCAGGCTTTGAGTGGCCAGTTGTCCAGGTTCCCAATGAGAGCAGAACGAGGTTGGCTGAGCACTGGCCGAAGGGACCCAAGGTTGTTCAGGCCTCAGGTAGCACGGCAGACGGTGACCTAGGTCCCTTGTGGGGGAAGTATGAGGTCGTGCGGGCTTTCATTATCCTATCCACCCCTGGCCAGAGCTCCTGATTCCCGACAACGCCAACGTCTTCTATGCCATGAGTCCAGCTGCCCCTGGAGACTTCCTGCTGCGGCGGCGGAAGAAGGAGGAGGCCCAGCACACCACCTCAGGCTCCCCGACCTGAGCTGGCTCTCTCCCGCCTCCGGGACACAGGTCCCACGGGCAGCTTCTATCGCCATGGGGGCAGCAAGGACACTACTCTCCCAGAAAGCTCCCACTCCCCAGCAGAGCCCATTGTGTTCCATACCCTGGGACCCTCTCCCCCTAACTGTACTGGGCCCCATCCCACTCACTCTCTTGGCACTGGATCCCTATTCCAAAGTCCTCAGCTCACAGGGCGGCTGGTGGAGAGCGCTATTGCATCCTGGAGGTCAGACCCCTCCCTAGAGAAGTCTGGTGACCGCTGGAGAGGCATCACAACGGACAGAAGTAGATGAAAACAGTGACCAAAGATATGAAACAGGAGTCGGTTTCATATTCTTTGTTTGGTACCCATGCCTCATGTCCATTCTTCGTTAAGATAAAAACGTAAAAGCAAAGAACTAAGAGCCCTAAGGACAGGATTGGGTGAAGCATGACCAGACACTGAGGGAGGGTGGCGGTCATACACACGGTTTCAGGACTCCCTCCCTCAACATTTTTGGGGTGCTATGCTGCTCTTCTGGGTGTATATGGGAGATGAAGAAATGAAATTCCTTTGGAATCAGAGACATCATCACCCATGAGTCAATAGGCTGTGGGGATGAAGGTGAAGCTGAGTTGTCTATCAGTACTGGGGTAGGAAGGAGAGACAGGTAGAGCCCATCCAGCCGTGGCTCAGTGGTTGAGCATCGACCTATGAACCAGGAGGTCATGGTTGGATTTCCAGTCAGGGCAAATGCCTGGGTTGCAGGTAGGAGGTGTGTAGAAGGCAGCGATCAATGATTCTCCTCATTAATGATTCTATTTCTCCCTCTCCCTTCCTCTTTGATATATATATATATATATATATATATATATATATATATATATATATATATATAATTTTTTTTTAAGAAGAAGAAACAGGTAGAGAAGGCAGAGATGGAGTGAGCTATAGGGCCATCTACAAGTCATAGCAAGAACAATGATATGCCCACTTATGAACTCTACTCTATGCTGGATAATAACTAGGGGCTTTGTATTTCACTGTATTAATCAGGATTCTTTATGTTTCAAGTGGTCAAAAATCCAATTCAAATAGGCACATGGACAAAGGAAATCACAATGGCTTGTGTAATTAAAAAATCCAGTGGGTCCACTTCAGGTACAGTTGGACTGAAAAGATGTCATCAGGATTCTGTTGCTGTCTCTTGGCTCCAATTTTGCTCTAAGAATGACTATCTATTGTCCCCTCCAATCCAGTCACCTGCTATGGTGATTTTCACCTGGTCACCCAGAATAAAAACTGCATTTCCAGCCTCCTTTGCAGCAAAGTGTGATCATGTGACCAAGCTCTGGCCAATGAGATGTAAAAGGAAAGGATGTGGGCAAATGCTAGGCCCTGCCCTTAAAGGGGTAGTCCTTCCCTCCCCCTCTTCTGCCTCCCGCTGTGTGGAGTGGATCCTGTGGGGTCGGATGGGCCACACCCTCTAAATAACTGAGCAACAACACGAAAGGAGCATGGAACTGCCAGACTGTATTGCTGCTAGTTGGATTGTTGCATAAGTGAGAAATAAATGTCTATTTTACTTGAACCACTATTATTTGGGTTTCTATTACAGTAACCGAAAGAACAAACCCTTTTCTCCCATCAGGTCCAGCAAAAGTCCCACAGCAGATGCCTATTGGACCAATTGAATCAATAACTGTTTAGAGGGATGTGGTATACTAATTAGCCAGGCCTGGGTCCTGTGCCCATCCTTTGAGCTGGCAGAAAAATTTCAAACCACAGGAGTGAAGTCTGGGAGGGCACAAAAATTGAAATTACATTTGGGTGTAAGTAGGAGAAGGGAGAATTCTGGTGAATGGGTAATAAAACAATTCCTAGGGTTCTAAACGCTGTCTTTGGAGCAATAATGGGGGATGCTCAGGCCCCGTCTGGGGCAAAAGAAGAGACAGAAGAATCTAAATATCATGTAGGGTCTGTTAAAAGACAGATTACAGCCAAAACCAGTTTGGCTCAGTGGGTAGAGCGTCGGCCTGCGGACTGAAAGGTCCCGGGTTCGATTCCGGTCAAGGGCATGGACCTTGGTTGCGGGCACATCCCCAGTGGGGGGTGTACAAGAGGCAGCTGATCGATATTTCTCTCACATCGATGTTTCTAACTATCCTTTCTTCCTCTCTGTAAAATATCAATTAAAAAAAAAAAAAGACAGATTACAGCTTTGGCTGGTTTGGCTTAGTGGATAGAGCATCAGTCCTTAGACAGAAGGGTCCTGAGTTCCATTTAAGTCAAGGGCACGTACCTCGGTTGGTGTCTCTCATATCCATGTTTTGATCAAGGCGCATGCCTGGGTTGTGGGCTCAATCCCCACTAGGCGTACAGGAGGCAGTCAATCAATCATTGATGTTTCTATATCTCTCTCCCTCTCCCTTCTTCCCTGAAGTCAACAAAAATATATATTTTAAAAAAAGGCAGATTATAATACACAGCATGCTACTCTACAGACTTTTTAAGGGGGAGGGGATACTATGAGTATTAAGACCTTAGTACTAATTGGATGTAAGCAACAATATCTTGAACTAGCTTAAGCAAATCATAATTGCTATATAATGTAATATGTCAATTTTATCTCAATAAAAATAAATTAATAGTTATTTTTTAAAAATATATTTTATTGAGAAACCAGTTTGGCTCAGTGGATAGAGCATCAGCCTGCGGACTGAAGGGTCCCAAGTTCGATTCTGATCAAGGGCATGTGCCTTGATTGCGGGCACATCCCTGGTGGGGGGGAATGCAGGAGATGGCTGGTTGATGATTCTCTCTCATCGATGTTTCTGGCTCTCTATCCCTCTCCTCTCTCTTCCTCTCTGTAAAAATTCAATAAAAAAATATTAAAAAATATATATATATATTATTGATTTTTTTTTTTTTTTTTTTTTTTTTTTTTTTTTTTTTTTTTTTTTACAGAGAGGAATGGAGAGGAAGAGGGAATAGAGAGTTAGAAAGATCAATGAGAGAGAAACATTGATTCAGCTGCCTCCTACACAGTCCCGACTGGGGATGTGCCCGCAACCAAGGTACATGCCTTTGACCGGAATCGAACCTGGGATCCTTCAGTTCTATGCTCTATCCACTGAGCCAAACCGGTAAAGGCAGTAATTGTTATTCTTACAGAGTGCTTACTATGTACCAGGCTCTGTTTTAATAATCTATCTCATTGAATGCTCATAACACTATGGAGTAGGCACTATTATTTTACCCATTGTATGCACAAAGGACTGGGACTCGGGAGGGTTAACAACTATCCAAGGTGCCATGGTAAGTGGCAAGGCTGGGCGATGTGCTAGAACATGCACTTAACACCTGGGCTGGCTAGCCTCTTAGAATCACAGTTTGCAGTTTTCTGCCTTCCTCTCTCTCACACAGTCCACATCCAATTCAGAGAGAGATTCTCTGAATCACTTTGTTTCTTGAAAGTGCACCGGTAGCCCTGGCTGGTGTGGCTCAGTTGGTTGAGTGTCTTCCCTTGCACCAAAAGGGTGCTGGTTCGATTCCAGGCCAGAGCACATGCCCAGGTTGCAGGCTTGGTCCCACAGTGCAGGTGTGTATGGGAGGCAACTGATCATCACATTGATTTGCTCCTCCCTCCCTATCTCCCTCTGGTCCTTTCTCTCTGAAATCAACAAAAACATTAAAAAATAAACAAAAGTGCAGGGTACTCAGGCACAGTTCTACCCAATAACTAACAAGATCTGTATCTTTACTTCTCTTACTAAGCTTTTCTCTAATCTTTACTTCACAAATATTCCACCCCTCTCCCAACAAATATTTCTTGAGCTCCTACTGTGTACCAGTTTCTATGGACTGGGAACACAAAAATGAACAAAACAGACTACTGAGGGCAGTGAATCAATAAAACATCATACACATTAGGTGATATTACCCACAGAGGATGCAAAAATCCTATATAATAAAGATGTAATATGTAAATGATCCTTATGCCGTGAAGCATAATGACTGACCATGTAACAACCGGATCATGGATCAGCAGGAAGGTGGGGCTGCGAGCTACTGGCTACAAGCAGGCAGCAGAGAGCTACAGGAGGGCAGGGCAGCAAGGTATGAGGGAGGGAGGGGGTGAGAGAGAGCTACAAGAGGGCAGGGCAGCGGGCGGAGAGCTACCAGAGGGCAGCAGCGAGCTACTGGTGCATGGATTCGTGTGCAGAGCTATACTAATAAAAGGGTAATATGCTAATTAGACCAGGAGACTTTCCGGACATCCTTCCAGACAAAGCCATGGTGGTGGGGCTGAGGCAGAGGCAGTTAGGGGTGAGCAAGCTGTGGGGGAGCAGTTGGGGGCGAGCAAGCCATCAGGCAGAGTGGTTAGGGCCGATCAAGCAGGCAGGCAGATGAGCAGTTAGGAGCCAACAGTCCCCAGATTGTGGAGTCCCAGACAGGAGAGGGTGGAGGCTGGGCTGAGGGACACCCCCCCATGCACAAATTTCGTGCTCCAGGCCTCTAGTGTGTGTATGTGTGTGTGTGTGTGTGTGTGTGTGTGTGTGTGTGTGTGTGTATGGTTAATATGCAAAGTGTCCCCTCAGGAGTTCGACCAGGAGACCAGGAGTTCAATTGCTTGCTATGACATATGCTGACCAGCAGGGGCAGTGCAGAATGAAAGAAGGCCCCAGGACAGCCAGAAGGGCCTGATCCCTAGGACCCTTCCCATGCATGAATTTTGTGCACCAGCCATTTAGTAATAATAATAATAATAATAATAATAATAATAATAATAATAAGCCATTTAGCCCTAGCTGGTTTGGCTCAGTGGATAGAGCATTGACCTGCGGACTGAAGGGTTCCAGGTTTGATTCCGGCCAAGGGCACATGCATGGGTTGTGGGCTTAATCCCACTGGGATGTGCTGGAGGCAGCTGATCAATGATTCTCATCCTAGATATTGCTTTCTCTCTCCCTCTCCCTTCCTCTCTGAAATCAATAAAGAAACATATTTGAGTGGGAAAAAATAAGCCATTGAAGGGTGATGGGGAGTGTGGGATGGTAGGGTGCTGTTTTAAACAGGGTGATCCGAGAGGACTTTGTTGAGAAGGCGACATTTGGGCAGAGGCCTGAACAAGGTGAAGGAGTGATCCCTGATATTTAGAGGAAGAACCTTCCAGGCAGAAGGAACAGCTGGTGCAAATGCCCTGTTGTCTTTGCCATCTGCGGTCTCTTCCCTCCGGGCAAAGCTGTCCCGGCTGCTCCATCTGCCCACCCTGTTGCCCAAGAGGAAGCAGCAGCCCCTTTCCCAGGGAGGCAGGTCCAGTCCTAGGATGGGAGCTCACTGACTGCATTTGGACCACATGCCTGCCCGGAACCAATCCCCGTGCTCCAAGGGATGGAGCGGTGAATAGGGTAATCTGGGGCAGGGAGGAGCCATCAGGCAGGTATCACCCCTTCCCAGGCATATACCCCTGTGGGGTGTTTACCCCATTTAAACTCAGCCCAAGCAAATAGCTTTCATGGTTTGTTCTAGAATGACTTGCCACAGTATTTTTTAAAAATATTCTTTATTATTGCCGAAACCGGTTTGGCTCAGCGGTCTGCAGAATGAAAGGTCCCAGGTTCGATTCCGGTCAAGGGCATGCACATTGGTTGCGGGCACATCCCCAGTAGGGGGTGTGCAGGAGGCAGCAGGTCGATGTTTCTCTCTCATCGACGTTTCTAGCTCTTTATCTCTCTCCCTTCCTCTCTGTAAAAAATCAATAAAATATATTTTAAAAAAATATATATACACTTTATTGATTTTTTTTACAGAGAGGAAGAGAGAGGGATAGAGTCAGAAACATTGATGAGAGAGAAACATCGACCAGCTGCCTCTTGCACATCCCCTACTGGGGATGTGCCCGCAACCAATGTACATGCCCCTGACCGGAATCGAACCTGGGACCTTTCATTCTGCAGACCAACGCTCTATCCACTCAGCCAAACCGGTTTCGGCTTCTTGCCACATTATTAAGAGAACTCCACACTCCTTATAAAATGCCGAATATACAGATGTAAACTACATTTTTCCCCCCCAAAAAGCAAAATCTCACCCTCCAGAATATACCAATTTTACCCATACAGAGTCCTATCATACAGAGTCTGGCAGCACTGCCTAGCATTGTGCAAACACTCAAGTTAGTCGTCGCTATTGCCATTTTGTTATTTATTCCCACCCAGACTGGGAAATGTTGATGAACACGATAATATCAGTCGCTTGCATTTTTGGAATGTTTGCTATACGCCAGGCCAATTTCTACGGATGAAAATGCTGAAGCTCCGGTAAGGTAGGCACCTGCCCAAGGTCACACAGCGAGGAAGTGCTTCGGATACAGAAACCCGGCGGGGTTCCTGCCCTCCGAGCGGCCGCGGGGGGCCGGGAGGGCCCCTGCCTCCTCCCGCAGGGCCTGGCGTGCGGCCGCCTCCCGCTTATCTCGGCCCCGGCCCCGCGGCCCCGCCCCCTCGGGAGGCTGCCGCTCGGAGGCGCCTGGCCGGGAAGGGCCTGGCCAGCTGTGTCCGGTGGAGGCAACTGCTGACCCAGCTGAGGACTGTGCCAGAGGTGGAGGCAGCGTGGAGAAGGAGCGCTGCCCCCCCGCCCGGGGCTGCATCATGGATCACCTCGGGGGGCCCCTCTGGCCTGGAGTCGGCTCCCTCTGGCTCCTGCTCACCGGGGCCGCCCTGGCTCCCCCTCCTAACGCCCCGGGCCCCAAGTTTGAAAGCAAAGGTAAGGAGGGATGGAGCTGTGCGTGGACCCCGACGCGGTCCTGGAGGGCGATGCAGGGGCCGGGACCGTCTGCCTAGGACCCGAGGACCGAGCTGGGGTCTGAAGCCCTAGGGCGGTTGGTTCTGCTGCGGCCCGCCGGGTCCAAGTCCCCGGCCTGGGTTCTGGGGGTACCGCTGGAGAGAAAGCTTTTTTCAGGGGGTCTGGGCCGTGCTGGGTCTGGAGTCCCTGTGGGGAGAGGGCCTAGCGGACCTCCAGGGAGGGGGAGAGAGGGAAGGAGGTCCGGGTCCGAGTCTCAGGGCCGGGCCGCAGGGGACTGTAAACACGGTTGGCGTGCGGCACCGGGTCCCTCGCGGCGAGGGGCTGAGGGCGGGGCGGGGGGCACGGTTGGCGCTATCGGGAGCCGGGAGCCTGCGGGCTCCGATAGGGGCCCCGCCTCCCGCACACACACACACACCCGGGTTGGGGTGCCGGGGCCGCGGCGGGGGCGGGCTGCGGAGACCCGCTGCTGCGCTCGGCTCCGCGGGCTGCGGGCTGGACGGGGTGCGTGCGGGCAGCCATAAGGCAGGTAACCCGGGCCTGGGCGTTCGGGAGGCACCACCTCCGCGTCCCCCTCCGGGGCCCTGCCCGGGTGGAGAGCTGGGTGGGGCTTTCGTCTTATCGGCCCGCACAGGCGCCGGGAAAGAGGGGGCGGGCGCTGTGGTCCGACAACGGGGCTCGGCTCTCGCCTGACCCTTCCCCTCGCCCCCGTCCTCCCCAGCGGCCCTGCTGGTGGCCCACGGGCACCAGGAGCTCCTGTGCTTCACCGAGCGGCTGGAGGACCTGGTGTGCTTCTGGGAGGAAGCGGCCAGCGCGGGGGTGAGCCCCGACAACTACAGCTTCTCCTATCAGCTCGAGTGAGAACTCCACCCGCAGCCCAGGGTGCAGGGGCGGGCGGGGTTGGCACCTCCCCTGCCGGCGGGAAGCCCGCGGTCTCAGCCTTGACACTCCCCCTAGCGGCCGGGGCAGGAGCGCCCCGGTGGTCCCCGGTGGAGCGCGGCTCCGCGCCTCGGGGCTGGGACCGCCGCCTCTCCATCAGGCCCGTCCCTGGCTCCGGGACGCCCCTTCGTGGTAAAGGACCGAAATGAACCTGGTCCGGTCCATACGTCCAACTTGCTCCCCCTTCCCTCCCGGGTCCCTCCGCACTCAGGGGTGAGCAGTGGAAGCCGTGCCGCCTGCACCAGGCCCCCGCGGCCCGCGGGGCGGTGCGCTTTTGGTGCTCGCTGCCCACGGCCGACACGTCGAGCTTCGTGCCCTTGGAGCTGCGCGTCACGGCGGCAGCGTCCGGCGCTCCACGCTACCACCGAGTCATCCAGATCAACGAAGTGGGTAAGTCCGCCGGCCAAGGGGTGGGGAGTGGGGGTGGCTGGAGGGAGGTCTCGGTCTCCGTCCACCAGCGCTGCCCTTCCCGGCAGTGCTCCTGGACCCCCCCGCGGGGCTAGAGGCGCGGCGCGCGGACGAGGGCGGCCACGTGGTGCTGCGCTGGCTCCCACCTCCTGGGGCCCCCATGGCGAGCCTCATCCGCTACGAGGTGAACATCTCCGCAGGCGGCGCCGCGGGGAGCGCGCGGAAGGTGAGACTCGCCCCTGCTGCCCACCCCCAGCTCTCCCAGAGGTGCAGCCCCTCTGAGTCCCGCCCAGACGGTCACCACGGCCTCGCCCCTCCGGGTCCGCCCCTGACGCCCGACATGCCATGGCCCTGGGGCCCCTGACAGCTCCGCGCCCGCCGACAAGACCCTTTTCTCCAAATCCACGTCCCAAACCCGGTACCGCCTTCAGGGCCCCGCCCCCTCCATGCTCTGGGCCCTGTTTTTACCCGCCCCCATCCTGATTGGCCCCGAGCCCTCCTGGAGCCCCGCCTCCTGCTCTCGCTGGTCCTCGGGCGCCCGTCCTTCCTGTCTCTGATTGGTCCGTCCTTCCTTTCTCTGATTGGCCCGCCCCGCCCGCCTGTGACCGCCCGCGCGGCCAGGTGGAGATCCTGGACGGCCGCACGGAGTGCGTGCTGAGCAACCTGCGGCGCGGGACGCGCTACACCTTCGCGGTGCGCGCGCGGATGGCCGAGCCGAGCTTCGACGGCTTCTGGAGCGCTTGGTCGGAGCCCGCGTCGCTGCTGACAGCCAGTGGTGAGGCCCCGGGTTGGGGTGCAGGAGGGGCTGGGGCTGAGCGTGGGGCAAAGCCCACTGCCTTGACCTGTTCCTGGCTCTCCAGACCTGGACCCGCTCATCCTGACGCTCTCCCTCATCCTCGTGCTCATCCTGCTGCTGTTGGTCGTGTTCGCCCTCCTCTCGCACCGCCGGTGAGCACCCCACTCGGTTGTCTGATCCAGACCCCTCCCCACTAAGTCACTCCTTTCCTTGTGGAAACCTAGGCTCAGAGAGGCAGGCACCTCAAGGTCAAACAGTAAGGAGTCAGTGGCAGGGCTGGGATGAAAGCCAGACAAGACAGACCCAGATTCTCTCTCTCTCTTTCTTTCTCTTTCTTTCTTTCTTTCTTTCTTTCTTTCTTTCTTTCTTTCTTTCTTTCTTTCTTTCTTTCTTTCTTTCTTTCTTTCTTTCTTTCTAAAAAAATATATTTTATTGATTTTCTACAGAGAGGAAGGGAGAGGGATAGAGCTAGAAACATCGACCAGCTGCCTCCTGCACACCCCCCACTGGGGATGTGCCCACAACCAAGGTACATGCTCTTGACCAGAATTGAACCTGAGACCCTTCAGTCCACAGGCTGACGCTCTACCACTGAACCAAACCGGTTTCGGTCAGACCCAGATTCTTGGTTGAAATATGCTGGGGGACAGTCATCTGGTTTTCCCCTTTTAGATTCCTTTGCAAATTCCTTTACTTTTGTAAAGTCAGTGAGAAGGGCTTAATGGAAAGAGGTAAGCCCCTGCGTTTTTTCCCTTCTGTTACGCTCTTCAGACGATTTATGATCTGACTGTTCCTCCTGAGGGTTGTAATCCTAAGCACATACCATAGGGTTTCACACCACCAAGCTTTGACACATGCTGTTCCTTCTGCCCGGAATGCGATTCCTGCCCTATCTGCTCAGCAATCTTCCTAGTTGTCTTTTTTTTTTTAAAATATATATATATATTTTATTGATTTTTTACAGAGAGGAAGAGAGGGATGGAGAGTTAGAAATGTTGATGAGAGAGAAACATCGACCAGCTGCCTCTTGCACATCCCCTACCGGGGATGTGCCCGCATCCAATGTACATGCCCTTGACCGGAATCGAACCTGGGACCTTACAGTTCGCAGACCGACGCTCTACCACTGAGCCAAACCGGTTTCGGCCCTAGTTGTCTTTAAAGGCTCTGCTCATTAAAAAAATATATATATTAAAAAAGAATAAAGGCTCTGCTCATTTATTCAGTTGGAAATACATATTGAGTGTCAACTATGTATCAGGCTCAGGGAAAAGAGTGGAGAACAAGCCAAACATGTCCCAGTGGATCTCATAGTTGAGTCAGACAACAAACAAGGGAACCAGCAGATATTTGATGATAAATCATGATGAGTGATTATCACAGAACTGGGATATGGGGACATGACAGCATGGTCAGGGAAGACCTCTGGGCGGTGACCTCAGAGTAGAAATCTGAAGGTTGGAAGGAAGCTGCCATGAAACGCAGGGAGAAGAGACAACAGTTGTGCAAAGGCCCTGAGGTGGGAACGAGCTTGGAGCAATGACTCAGCTTCAGGAAGAGCGCGATGGCCAGAAGAGAGTGTGTCAGGAGGGAGTGGTGGGTGATGGGAATGAAGGAATAGGGGTGAAAATAGGCAGGGTTGCCCTGGCTGGTTTGGCTCGATGGATAGAGTGTCGGCCTGCGGACTGGAAGGTCCCAGGTTCGATTCCGGTCAAGGGCATGTGCCTTGATTGCGGGCACATCCCCAGTGGGAGCTGTGCAGGAGGCAGCTGATTGATGTTTCTCTCTCATTGATGTTTCTAACTCTCTCCCTTCCTCTCTGTGAAAACTCAAAAAAGAAAGAAAGAGAGAGAGAAAATAGGGTTGCCTGCAGGGCTGTGGGGAGGAGATTGGACTTTATTCTGAATGCATTGGGGAACCAGGGGGAGGAGCGAGAGAAGTGACAGAATGGACCTCCTGGCAAGCTGGGCCAGGTTTCGAGGGGCATGGGGCACTGTATATTGAACTCCTAAACGTCCTTCAAAACTCTGTCTCGGTTGCCTTCCTGTCGGTCTCTACAGACGCTTCAGCCAAAGCCCCTGCTCCCCCTCCCCTATGTGCTCTTCTGCCTTCATCACGATCACCAGAGGCTGGAGTATCTGTGCCCCTGTGACTGGATATAAGTATGTTCAAGGACACATGCCCATGGACTGGTTTCTTTTGGTCTCACCAGGACTCTGAAGCAGAAGATCTGGCCTGGCATCCCAAGCCCCGAGAGTGAATTTGAGGGCCTTTTCACCACCCACAAGGGTAACTTCCAGGTAGGTGGTCTGGTCCCCCCCCCCCAGGGCCGGTGGCGTCCCCGCTCCTGTGGCCAAAGCCCAGGTTTCTGAGCTGGCTGTGCTGTTCCCCCAGCTGTGGCTGTATCAGAAGGACGGCTGTCTGTGGTGGAGCCCCTGTACCCCCTTCGCAGAGGACCCACCTGCCCCACTGGAAGTCCTTTCTGAACGCTGCTGGGGGGTGACCCCCGCAGTGGAGCCAAGGACAGATGATGAGGGGCCCCTGCTGGAGCCAGTGGGCGGTGAGCGTGCCCAGGACACCTACCTGGTGCTGGACAGGTGGCTGCTGCCCAGGAGCCCACCCAGCGAGGACCCCCCGCAGTCTGGTGGCGGTTTGGACATAGCAGCCACGGATGAAGGCTCAGAAGCATCCTCCTGCTCATCGGTTTTGGCCCTGAAACCAGAGGGGGCCTCGGCGGCCAGCTTTGAGTACACCATCCTGGACCCCAGCTCCCAGCTCTTGCGCCCAAGGGCGCTGCCCCCTGAGCTGCCCCCCACCCCACCCCACCTGAAGTACCTGTACCTCGTGGTGTCGGACTCTGGCATCTCAACTGACTACAGCTCAGGGGGCTTCCAGGGAGTCAAGGGGGATTCATCCAATGGCCCCTACTCCAACCCTTACGAGAATAACCTTGTCCCGGCCCCCGAGCCTTCCCCTCCCAGCTATGTGGCCTGCTCCTAGGACTCTAGTCCTCAGATGCTGGGGGCCCAGCATGGCCTCCGTGCTAGTCTAGGGCCAAGGCCCATCTCGCAGGCCGGTGAGGCCTCCCTCAGGACCAGGGGCATTTCTGATCTTGGCTCTGTGCCTAATGCATCCTCAGGAAGTCACAACCTTGCAGTATTTCTAAATGTACAGGTGTATTTTTTTTGTTTTTTATATATATATATATATATGTATAAATATATGTGTAGATATATGGATATAGATAGGTATATTGCTGCTCTTATGGCTCAGGCTATAGGGGAACAGTATAAAAGACTGTGAGCTCAGTTTGAAAGTCAGGACTTGGAAGTCCAAATAATAATCATAATAAAATGGACTAACCACTAAAAGTGACACTAGCTGCCAGAAGTGGCTTACCACAATTAGTGTCTCTCGTGTTTCAGTTCACACAGGTGGGCAGCCATCCCTGGGATGAGTCAGAAGCTGACTCTTCTGGTCTCTAGCTTCACCACCCAGGGTCACCGTGGGGTCTTTATTTTATTTTTTAAAATATATTTCTTTATTGATTTCAGAAAGAAGGGAGGAGTGATGGAAACATCAATGATGAGAATCGTGGATGAGAGAATCATTGATCGGCTACCTCCTGAATGCCTCATGCATGCCCCCTACTGGGGATCGAACCCGAAAAACCCGGGCTTGTGCCCTTGGCCAGAATCGAACCTGGGACCTTCAGTCCGCAGGCTGATGCTTTATCCATTGAGCCAAGCCAGCTAAGGCACCCTGGGGTCTTTAGGTAGATCCTCTGCATCCAACCAGCCAGCAAGGAAAGGGGGAGAGAGGATTCTGTGGGCCATTTTAAGGATCTAACCTAGAAGGGGGCTCCAATGGCCAGAAATGGTCACGCAGCCTCAGCCAGAAGCAAGGATGGCTGGGAAATGTAGTTAGGCTGTGCCCCCAGAGAGAGGAAAGCTATTTAATGGGCCTCTAGCTTGTCTCTCCCAGTAGCAGTAACATCATCAATTCACAGGGCTTTATTCTATATCAGGCCCTATTCTAAGGAAGCGTTCTGATGACAACAAATGTTACGAAGTGGGTTCAATGGGAGTTCAAGTTTAAACACTTATTATTATTATTTAATCCTCACACTAGAATATGTTTTTCATTGATTCTAGAGAGGATAGGAGTAGGAAAGAGAGAAACATTGATCAGCTGCCTCCTATACCCACTCCGACCAGGGATCGAACCCACAACCTGGATATTTATCCTGACCTGAGACTCTTTGGTGCACAGGACAACACTCTAGTCAACTGAGCCTCACTGGCCAGGGCAAGTTTAACCATTTTTTATAAGTTTGGCATATCTTATGAAAGCTGAACATACGTATATTCTGCTGCAGCAATTCAATTTCTAGGTATATAGTCTAAAAACCCTCACACATATACCAAGACATGTGTGCAACAATGCTCATAGCAGTGAATAAGTCAATCTGATAGATACATTGGAATTATATACAGTAGGGAAAAAGAAACTGACTAAAGCCCTGGCCGGTATGTTCAGTGGTTAGTGTTAGCCTGCCCACTGAGTGGTCTGAGTTTGATTCTGATCAAGGACACGTACCTGGGTTGCAGGTTCAATCTCTGGCTGGCCCTGGTCAGGGTGCATGTAGGAGGCAACCAATCGATGTGTTTCTCTCACACAGATGTTTCTCCCTCCATCCCTACCACTCCAAAAATCAATGGAAAAAATATCAATGGGTGAAGATTTAAAAAAAAAGAAATGGACTAAAAATGTGGCCAATTCGTAGCAACAATGTTGAGGGGGAGAAGAAGAAAGTCTCAAAGATTATATTTCTAATAAAACTTTTTATAAAGTTAAAAACAGCAAAACTAAACAATATGAAATATTGTTTATAAAAATAAACAATTTGACAGGGTACAATATATACATGATAATGCTATTTTGAAAAGAGAACAAGCACTTTACATTCTTTAGGTTTTTAACTCTGTACACGTCCCTGAGGTAAGTACTCCAGCCATGGGAAACAGGCAGAAAGGTGGTCCTACACCACAGCTCAAGGCTGGCCTCCAGAGCCTGAAGCCTCGTTTGAGCTGAGGTCACCAGCCTGGGGAGGCCATGGGGCGATGGTCATCTCTCCATCAGGCTGGAAAGCCACACTCCACTCTGCCCTGGGCCCCCGCCCGCCTGGCTCCAGGAAGGCTCTGAAGCAGCGCTGCCCTGAGCCTGGTGCAACTGGCTGCAGCCAGCACTGGGCAGGGAAGTACCTCTGGAGAAGCGACAGCTGCAGGGCATCACCACTGTCTCCTTCCTCCTGGGTCTGCAGGGCCACAATGAGCCCACAGCCTCGGCCAGGCCCAACCTGGTGGCTGAAGTGGGCAGCTGTGTCCAGAAGCAGGGCAGCCAGGTGGGCAGCTTCCTGGGGCTCCGTGTCTTCGGCGAGGTACTCCTCCAGCCCATCGAGCAGCAGGAGGAAGGGGGCTGGTCCCCGGGCCTCATGGGCAGAGCACAGGAGCTGAAGAAGGTCTTGGGTTGAGGGCGGGTACTGGAAACGGATCTTCTAGAAAGAGAAAACAAGGGCCACATTCAGCACAGCAAGCCAGCTCCCAGCTTCCACAGCCTTGCTTCCCCGCATACTTTCCTCAACGCCCAAATGAAGCAGCTTAGAGTGGTCAAATATATTCTTCTATTGCCCTGCCCCCCCACCTTAAAAAAATTATTTAGCACTCGTTACTGTTCAGTATTAGTTCAGAACAGGGTGTATTTTTTTTAAATATATATATATATATATATATATATATATATATATATATATATATATATATATATATAATTGATTTTTTTACAGTGAGGAAGGAAGAGAAATAGAGTTAGAAACATCCATGAGAGAGAAACATGGATCAGCTGCCTCCTGCACACCCCTCACTGGGGATATGCCCGCAGCCAAGGTACATACCCCCGACCGGAATCGAACCCGGAACCCTTCAGTCCACAGACCGACACTCCATCCACTGAGCCAAACCGGTCAGGGCTGTATTATTTATTTATTTATTTATTTATTTATTTATTTTAAGCGATAGTGGCAAGATTATAGTGAAGAGAGATAGATAGTACGCCCTAAAGGCAAGGTATGTCTTCCTGCCAAATCTCTAGGTCAATCTTTTTTTTTTTTTTTAGGTCAATCTACGCAAAACCCACCCCAGCCTCCATTCTCATTCCATCCTTGCCTCTGGCTTCCCTGGAACCAACTCGTGTCCTAACAACCAGGGTTAGTCCGGCTCCCAACCAGCCCTGATCCCACCCTTTGGGCCCTGCCTCTCGCCCCTTCATTGGACAGTCAGTCTCTCACTCAATTTCAACAAACCTCACAAGTCCCGCCCCCCCATTCGTGACTCCGCCCTAGAATGGCTGTTCTGGCTCGTTCTTCCTTTGTCCCCTTCATTGGTCTGTTTAGTTGTCACTCAATCTCCGATCCGCCCTGCCACTGGCTGGTCCGTCTCAAGTCCCGCCTCCCTGTTACCTGTAGCCGCAGGGGGTCGAGCGCCGCAGGCGTCCGGCGGGGCAGGCTTTGCAGAGGCCTCCGCGTCAGGAAGAGCACGGGGCCTCGGCCCTCCCCTGCCGCCTCCAGGGCCGCCGCGAAGAGCAGCGCTGTCTTTCCGGACCCTGGACCGCCGAGCAGCAGCAAAGGTGGCCCAACCTCCGCGGCCGTATCCTCCCGGGGCCCGGCCGCCCTCCCGGGGCTTAGCACCCGCTTCAGCGTCTCCGCCATCCACAGCGTGCCTCTCTGGCCAATCGGCGGCCTCTTCCTGCCCTTAATCCCGCCCAGCCCGAGGTCTCTTTGGTTACAGTGCACTTGGCTTCCCCATTGGTCTATGGATCTGTCCATCAAAGTTAGATCGGCCTTTGCTAGCTCCTATGCAGGTGAAGGGATGATTAACCTAGTCTGAGGGAGGAATACGGGCATTTGATGGGGGAAAAGGCCCTTTGCTTGATTGAGTCTGCGGAGGAGAGCAGTATGAATACTATTATTGTGAACCCATCAGCTAAAGAGAAAGATGTAAGGTTGAGAGGTGAAGGGAGCAGACGCCTTGGAATCAGTGACACACTGAAGTCTCCTAGTCTCAGTTTGCTCACCTGTAAAATGGAACTCATGATATCGCAGAGGAATATTGCTATGGGCATGTGTCTGTGGTTTTGCTGATGTCACCCAGTGACGATTGAGAAGCAGAGAGTTGGAGAAGCTGTGTACTTCTCTTTCTGGGTCTGAGTACTGGCACAAGTGTCTGTCAGGGACACTGGTGTGCAAAACCTCAGAAGCTGTCCCCGGGGGTCTGCGGATCCTGGGTCCTGCTAGAGGTAAGGGGATAGGGGACAGCACCACAGAACAAAGAAGGGGCCAGGAGAAAAAGAAACGGGCTGAGAGACTGGGACCGTTTTTGCTTTGTTCACTTGATAACTCCAGCGTCCAGAACAGTGACTAGCTTATTGTATATTTTCAATATACAGGATGGGGCAAAAGTAGGCTTCCATTTGTGAATACAGGAGACAGTTTATTCTTGTATTATTAATTATTGTATCATTTTCCATAAGAACAACTGTAAACCTACTCTTGCCCCACCCTGTGTGCTCGTTAAATAAATGAATGAAACAAAGGAAGGTAGGATTGATGAGAAACTGGGAGAAAGGAGGAACAAGGTGAGTGATCAAGTGATCGCAAGCTGGGGCTCCTCACCCAGACTTTGCCCCAGAGCTGCCACTCACAGCCCTGTTGCCCTAGCAACTCCGTTTCCTGGTAACTTCAAAGTAGTGCCGTTGCCAGGAGACCCAGGGACAGGGTGGAACTGAGATTTCCGGGGCTTTCTCTCTCTGGGACCAGGACACAGTTCCACAATATCCCCCAATATACCACTCATACAGTCCTACACACACACACACACACACACACACACACACACACACACATATACACACACACACACACTCTCCATGGCATCTCTGCATATGTTCCACTTCCAGAATCCCCATCACCCATATGCTCACAGACCTACCTTATCCTGACACAAAGCATCCTATCCACACTCTCTCCTACCTTCTCACCCCCTCACCCTTCCCTTGTACACACATCGGAACACACCGATACAATCATATCATTGCCACCACACACGGAAACAGTTTCCTTTTAGCTGATGTACCTGCAGCTCTTTCTAATACACACAGATATGAGGTACACTGTTACACTGCCTTGTTAAAAGCACCACCTCAGCCCCTTCCTCCAACAAACCATGATTCACCTCCCTTTGCAACACTACAGATGCACAAGCACCCCGTAGTGATAACTGGATCCCATAGTTGCATACATGGGAACATGCTGAACACAGCCCACCTCAGGTCTTTTGCATTTGCTGTTCCCCTGCCTAGAGCACCCAGCTCCCAGATAGCCCACTGGCTCATTTTTCTACTCCATTCAGGTCACTGCTCAAATATCACCCAGAGAGGCTTTCTCTGACCAGGGAAAGACTGTACACACTTCACTTTTTTAAATATGTCTTTATTGATTTTTTTTTTTTTTTTTTTTTTTTTTTTTTTTTTTTTTTTTTTTTTTAGAGAGAGAGAGAAAGAGAAGAAGGGAGAGAGAGATAGAAACATCAGTGATGAGAGAGAATCATTGATTGGCTGCCTCTTGCATGCCCCCTTCTGGGGATCAAGCTCACAACCTGGGCACGTGTCCTGACCAGGAATCGAACCAATGACCTCTTGGTTCATGGGTTGCCGCTCCAGCCAGGCCATGCTTCACTTTTAACTGCTTATCTGTCTTTATATATCTTCAAGTAACGTATAACTTCTAATGTTATTTACTTATTTTATTGCCCCTAGAAGGTCAGCTCCACCGAGGAGCTGTTCACTGCTGGATCCCCAGTTCCTAGAAGAGCACCTAGCACACAGGAGGTGCTCATAAATGCAGGCTGAGTACATTGGCAGAGACGCAAACGTTTGGCATACCTCTCATGCATACAATGCTTCTTTCCCTCACTGCTTACAATCCTGTCTTCATGTTCTGATAGAAGAACAATTAACATAGAGAGGAGCTCCCTGGAGTATGGAGGACTGATGGGTGAGAGGATAAGGACTTATCAACACTCTCAAGTTAATTCATTTAACAACTATTTGTTGAGCACCTGCGGTGTGCCAGACCCTGTTTTGGGCACTGGGAACTCAGTAGTGAACAGTTGACAAAATCTTTGTTTGAGCTGACATCCCTTGGGAGGGAGGCTGAGGAATTTAAATAGTCTATGAGCAGATGTAAGTTCATGCAAAAAAAAAAAAAAAGTTTGCACAGGGAAGGAAAGTTTGGAGGACCAATGATTTAGCTGCTTTTGCAGTTCTGAATAGAGTGGTAGGAGAGGACCTCAATGAGAAGTTGACAGGAGAGAAAAGGCTTGAAGGAGATCATGGGGGGAATCATGCAACTATGGGGTGGGGGAGAGAACATTCCAGGTGGAGGCACCTGCACCTGCAAAGGCTCCTCCGAGGCATCAGAAGAACTTTGGCTTTTACATCGAGTGCCATGGGGATCCACAAGAGGGTCTGAGCAGAGGAGGGACATGGTCTCATTGACATTCTAAACCACAGTTCTGCTTTGGATGAGCTGAGTTTGAGATGCGGTGAGACCCACGGGAGCACGTCAAGAACGCTCTTGAATAGGTGGGTACATCTCAATATGGGTTCTCTACCTACGATTATCCGTCATGGGATGGGGATGTGGACAAGGCTCAGGCTACTGCTACCACCCTCCCTAGCGGGCCCAGACACTTCTGTGTACCCTGCAGCCCCATTTTAGCCTTTCAGGACCGTGGACAGCACCAACCGGGTTGGTAGGGGTGCTGTCCACATGCTGACAATTTGCTTCCTTCCTGTCCTGGGTGGAGGCAGCTATGGGACTGGAGGTGTGAGCCCTCGAAACAGGAGCTCTGGTCTGGGAAGCGGGGGAGGGGAGGGTCCATGGCTCTGTGCCTCCTTTGATTTCATCCTTTCATGCTCCCATCTCACTCCCTGCGACCCACAACAGGCCTACCCCCTTTCCCTCCCCCTCACTTACTCCGCTCCAGCCACATAGGTCCCCACACTGTTTCCTGAACACAGCAGGCACACTCCATCCGCAGGGATCTTCCCTCCGCCTGGAATGCTTCTCCCACCAGCCCTGGTATGCTAATGGATCCCTCCCTCCTCTCCTGCACACCTCATCTCCGGTATCATCCCCTCAGAAAGTTCCCTGACCCCCCACTTTAAGTTGCAAACTGTGTCTCCATCCCACAGTTGTCCTATTGTCTTCTCTAGTTTCAGTTTTCTCCTGATCACTTACCAATACCTAACATATCAGAGGTCCCAATCCCTGACCTAAGTCTTTGGTCCTAGAGTTTGGAAATCAGAATTTTTTACATTTTCAAAAATAACGCTGGTGTAAATACTACGTGCTGCATAACACCCCTGGTGGAGTCTGGGGTAACATCTCAAAAGCAAACACTTTATCATCAATGAAACATAAGAATATTCACATCATGTTAAGTAAATGAACGCTATAGTAACCTCATGTCAGTTCAGGTCAGGTTTTTGCCACAGATGAATTATGAAAAAAAATTTTTTTTGGTTCTCAGATACTTTAGAAATTTGCAATTGTAGTTCCGTATACACTGAGTGGCCAGATTATTATGATCTCTGAATGCATAATAATCTGGCCACTCAGTGTATATCCTATATAATAAAAGGCTAATATGCAAATTGTCCCCTTGACCAAGTTCGACCAGCAGGCAGGTTGGCCAACTGCCTGCCAATATATATATATATTCTAAGTGGCCAGATTATTATGCATTCAGAGATCATAATAATCTGGCCACTCAGTGTATAGCTTATATATCTTGTTTGTCTCTTAAGTATTAGAATGTGAGCTCCATGAGGGCAGAAATTTGTGTCTGTTCTGTTAACTGCGACAGCCAATATGTCTAATCACACAGCACTTGGCATGTAGAAGGTGCTCCCTAGTGTTTGATTAATGAATGGATGGATGGATGGATGAATTGGGGGAAAGCAACTTCCCTTTTCCTAGTCTCTGGATGACTCCATGCCCTGAATGGCCTGTCTGAAGCCCTTCAGAGCTTGTGTGTGTGTGTGTGTGTGTGTGTGTATGTGTGTGTGTGTTTCCCTGCCCCTCCTACACTTTCTGGTCTCCATTGGGTCTTCAGCACAACCTCACAATCAGAACTCCTGCTCTCATCCATGCATCCAGGGGTTTAGCTTTGAGGTTCCTACTGGCCTCAGCATCTCCTTTCATTATTAGGGACCCCGAGTCCACTCACCTTATTTCCTGTGCCTTCTGCCCCCCTGGCCATGGTAAAACAAAACAAAAACAAAAACAAAAAACAAACAAACAGGCCAGCTGCCTGGGGATGACAGGCATGTGAGGCCCCTCACTGTATGTTTGTGGATCTGCATTTCACATGAAGACACAAGGGCGAAGAGAGGTTAATTAACTTTCCTGAGGCCAAGAAGTGCAGAGCCAAGATTTAAGCCCAAGTTGCTGGCCCACAGCCCCACATTGTCTTTCCATAATTGCCCTCAGAAACACTAACAATACAGCCACACCCAGCCTCACTGACACCTAGACCCACAATAAAACGCCTCCGCACGCCAATACTCAGGGAAGGAAGGCATGTGGCCAAACTTCTGTTACAAACAGGTCTTTATTAAAGATGAGGAAGGGGCAGGAAAGGGAGTCGGTGTCTCCTCTGCCCACTGCCCTTGGCTGCCCTCCTGGATGGGGAGCCCTCTCTGCTCCACCCATGCCCCCATGATGGGCACATCCTCATGAGGCTGAGGCATGGGGGCAGTGTAAAAAACAGGGGTGGGTTCCAAGGGGGAAAAGTCCTTTCCCACAGCCCTAATAAATAACAGAAGGGTTTGGGGTGACCCGGGCACAGGGAAAGGGAGACAGCACCCTGAACCACAAAACTTTTGATCTGGACAAGCCCTGCATATGTAGGGGGTTAGGAGGGACTGGGTGAGAGGGTGCACATAGTGAAAGGTCTGAGAGGGGAAGGGGTGAATCAAGGACCCTGCCATGGGGGAACCTGCCCCCACCCTCGGGTTGGATTCTGATCCTGAGGAGAGAGAGAACCCAGTTACAAAGGATGATCCCATCTCCCTCCTCAGTTTTGCACATACTCAGACATGGGCGGTTCCCCATTGGCTGGAATCATACCCACCCTAGAATTCTGGAAAACAAGGGCTCCTGTTGGTTGTTCATTTGCTGAACACTGGCTGGAGCTGCCCTCTTGCCTGAGGATGCTAAGTGAGGAGGAGGCTCCCATTGGCTGGAGTAAACTCCTTTTGGTTATAATTCAGGTAACTGGAGGTTCCCATTGGCTGGCAATAGCCAATGGGATCAGGATTTGGCCCTCAAAAGGGCAATCCTAGTGGGCAAGGGCCCACCTCCCAGTGATGCCCACTTGGATGTCCCAAGAGAGGCAGGGGGACCTCCAAATGTCCTTCCAGCCATCCTCTGATGTCTGGACCTGGCTGGTTTGGGGACGGGGGCCTTTGGCACTCACACGGCGCACGCATGCACACGTGTGGCAGGGAAGAAATGAGGACTGGCAGATTCTGGGTGAGTGATTGGGCCTCACAGCAGGTGGTCACGGCTAGCAAACAGGTAAGGGCTGAAGTTGTCCCGATGGAAGGGGGAGGGATAGAGTCCACTAAGGGTGTACAGGTCCCGCAGCAGGGGTGTGGGCAACAACAGCTTCCGGCTACGTCCACCACCCCCGCCTGGCCCCCCAGGCCCAGGAGAGGAGGGTGAGGGGCCCTGGCTGGGGGTTGGTGCTGGCAGGGGCAAGGGCAGAGGCAGAGGCGTTGGCTCAGATCTCAATCGAGGGCGGGGCACACGGGGTGATGAACACATGGCTGGAGCCCTGGAGGACGCGCAGCTTGGGATCAGGTGGCCACGGCGGGCGCAGTTCTGCGGCTCTGGGGGTCAGAGGTCATGGGGTTAGAAAGCTTGGGAGGAGGAAAGACCTCTGTGGCAGTCACCACCATCTGGAAGTCCCCTCATTTATCCCTCCATTCCCTGGACACTCACTGGATGGGGTGAGCCGTGCCGGTGTCGAATGCGGCCTGCAGGCCTCGGGTTCCTGAGACAAAGAGGCAGAGGGATGGGCTAGCGGTCCCCTGAGCCCCTCGGGCCACAGCATGAGGGGCTCACAGGGCAGAGAGCCCAATGGAAGAGACAACCAGATTATCAGGATCAACCATGTCCCTTTGGCAGGGAGAGAGGGTCACACTCCCCTCCCCGATCTGTTGCCTGACTCCCTGCATCCTTGGTCCCCCTTCCACCCACCACCCTCTCCAGCCGGGAGCAGTCCCCGGCCCCCCTTACCTGGGCCACACTTAACTTTTCGAGGGGGCTGTCCATGGTGGGGGCTTGGCCCAGGCTCTCCCAGGGGGAGAGCCTTCGGCTGGAGGGCGGCCGGCTCTGGAAGTTGTGCACGACGCAGCTGACCTGGGACAGAGGCGTGTTAAGCTAATAAGATTCGAGTTATGTAAATACCATCCCCACTTTTTCAGATAAGGAAACTGAGGGTAAGGTTTTCAAAGACAGCTACCGTTTTTTTTATGATGCTTACTATGTTCCTTTCCACCTTCCTATTGTAATTATCCCACAGGGCTGGACCGGGAGGAGGCAAGTAAGGCTCTGTTTGGTAAAGTTTAAATTTTTGATGTTTTTTGCACTAATTTTTAAAAAATGTTTCCTTGAACTATGACTTCTCTGAATTACTGAATGTTTTAGCAACGTTCGAATTTTGCACTTAAAACAAGGACCTCGCTCACGTCACCCTGAGCCAGGTCCTGCTATCCCATCTCACAGATGAACATCCGGGCAAAGGGAGGTTAAAGATCTTGTCCAAGGTCACAGAGTCCATAACCCTCACAATCATGCAGTCCTCCCTTTTGGGTCAAGGAGCTGCAGAGGGTGCGAAGGGGGGCTCACCAGGAAGGTGGCGATGGCCACTCCGGTCAGGAAGCCGGCCAGCACGTCTGACCAGTGGTTGCGGTACTCGGCCACGCGGACCACACCCACCAGGAAGGCGGGGCACAGCAGGGCCAGGCAGAGCGAGGGTTTGACCAGGCGGGAGCCCTTTATGCGGAACACCAGTGTCACGTACATCTGCGGAAACCAAACGGGACCAGTCAGGGGACACAGGCAATGCAGTTGCCGAACCCAAGTGGCCGCTGCGTTTGGGGCTAGGGGGCATGGCCAGAACCCCATTGGGGCTGGAGGATGTGGTCAGGGGCTCCAGGGAACAGAGCCAGGAGATGGGAGTGCCGGGGATGGAGTCAGGCACTCCCAGTGGGCCCTTGCTGGGCTGGGGCGTGGCCAGATCACCAAAGAGCAATGGAGCCCTCAGGGGCAGGGTCTCCCAGGGACCAGTCACAGATGGAGAAAGGCCCTGCTGGGCTGGGGCGTGGTTACAGAAGCAGAGGGCGGCACCAGGACCTAAGAGGCGGTCCAGGAGCTCCAGGAGGTGGAATCCCCAAACACCAGAGAATCTCTGACCCAAACTCCAGGAAAAGGAGCCAAAGCAAGGGAGAGTCAGGAAGTCCGCGCAGAGACCAAGACCATAAAGGGGGAGGGACTGAGGGCTCCAGGAGGTGAAAGTAGCATCCTGGGGACGCGGCTAGGCTCCAGGCACAGGGTCCTGATCCCTCCATTGGGTATGGCATTCCTGGGCCAGGAGGCAGGGCCAGACACCAAAAAGCAGTCAGTCAACCACAGCAGATTCAGGGCCTGACTAGGGTCCGAGGGGAGGAGTCAGAGCTCCCACCAGGTAGACCCTACCTTATGGGCGGAGTAACAGGGTCAGGGCGTGGCTTCTCCTGGGTAAGAATCAGAGGCTCCCGCCCAGGTGGCCTGCCCGGCCGGGCGCTCCCATTTGGGGCTCACCGCCGTGTAGGTGACGGCGTAGGCGCAGAGGGCAGCATCCTTGCAGGGGAACGCTCGGCGTGCAGCGGCCACCAGGTTGGGGCTGCCGGCGCAGGCGCCCAGGTCGGTGACAAAGCGGTCGGGCCCTGGCCGGTCCGGTGAGGGCGGCTGGCAGCCCAGGGCCGTGTAGTTGGGGCGGCACACGGACAGGAAGTGGGGCGTGGGGTTGCCGGTCACCACCTGCCCCGCGTTGGCAAAGATGGTGGTGGTGAAGAGGCCAAATGAGTAGACCCCTGGGGATGGGGTGGGAAGGGGTGCATGTTAGGGCCCCGAGGCCGCACTGGCTCCCCCCGTGAGCCTCCTTGTGACTCATCTGGGCCCTCTCTCCTTGTTCAATCCCCTAATACCTCACCCCATGAGATACCACACCTGGCCACCATGATGGCGCTCTGGGCCTCCTGCCTCTGTCCCCCTGGGACTACCACCGAGGCAGCAGGGGCCCTCCCCTGGGACCCCACCAGACCTGACATCAGCCTTGGACCTAGGCCTGGGACCTCCAGACGCATCCGGACGGCATTCCTGGGCCCCTTTATATCTGCCCTGGACTCGCTGTGACCGAGGTGCTCACTTTTCTTCCAGGTCCCCAGTGAGCCAGAGCTGAACACCGGCCCTCTGCCTCAAGAACCACTGTTATGGATGAGCTATGCCCTCTCCCGACCCCCACCACCACCCACAGTGGCTGGGACTACATTTACAGTACAGCTGGGGTCTCACCTCCCCAGGGCCCCATGGTGTCCCCCTTTTCTGACAGATTTTCCCTGTGGCAATTGGGGGCCCTCCTCTTGCAGTTGCCGTGGTTGGCTTAGGCCCCATCCATGTCCCTAAGACCTCCATCAAGCCTGGCCAGAGCCCAAGTCCCTTTTTGCCTCGGACCGTCATAACAATTCTCCGCCCCTCACCCCCTGGAATCCTGATGATGGCTGAGCCTGGCCCAGATCCCTTTGGGTGGTTCAACCCTGGGCCTGTCACTCACCCAGGAAGCGGACCAGCCTCCTCAGTGGGGGGCTGAAGCGGCAGCAGGCCCCAGACACGATGGTGCTCTCCCGGATGACGGGGATGGCTGAGGGTGGCGCGGGGAAAAAGGCACGAGCCAGCTCCCCCAGCAAGATCTGTGGGTGAGACCAGAACAGGGTCTTCCTGGCCTTCGAGCTCAGCCCTAGCCACTCCCCGACCCCCGTGCCTCCTGGGAGGGTCTCCCACAGTCTACCAAGGCGACCCCCCCTCAGTCTCACCGTGAGGGTGGGCCCAGCGGTGACCAGAGCGTAGATAAGTGCAGGAGGTGCTCGGCTGGCAGCCTCAGGCCCCGGGTAGGGCTTGGCATAAGTGCTGTCATAGCAGAAGAAGCCCTGGGTGTGCACAGGGAAGGTGTCCGTGAACTCCAGGCGGTAAGCAAGCAGGACCACCACGCCCAGCAGCACAGACTGCCGCCCAGCCAGAGCAGAGAGAGAGACAGAGAGAAAAAGAGAAGGTCAGGCCTGAACTGGGGACATGGAAGCACATACACACACACACACACACACACACACACACACACGAGAGTCAGAGAGAGAAGAGGGAGAGACAGAGAGTGATCAAGACAGAGGGAAATGAAGAGAAAGAGAGAGAGAGAGAGAGAGAGAGAGAGAGAGAGAGAGAGAGAGAGAGAGAGAGAAGATATGGGGAATGGGGCCAGAGAAGTGTTAGAGTTTGGGAGACACAAGTAAGAGACAGAGAAAAGAGATGGAGATGGAAACAGAAAGAAAGAGAGGGAAGACAGAAGTGGAGGGGAGAGGAGAGAAGCGGGAAGAGGAGAAAGAAAAAGAGAAAAGGCAAAGAAAAAAAAAAAAGAGAGAAGGGTCTAGAACAATAGACTAGAGAGAGAAGAAAAGGGAATGGGATTGGGAGGGAGGGTGAGGACCAGAGAGATAGAGAGACTGGGTGGACGGATCTCCAGGGGAAGAATTGATCCTACTGGTGGGATAGCAGCTACCTCAGGTCTAACTCCTCCTGTGGGCAGGGGGTCATACTAACCCTTTTCTGTCAGTGAATACATTGACCTTCTAAATATGCCCATTGGACAGAAGAGGAAATTGAGGCTCAGGAGGATATGTGAGATGCCTAGAGTCCCGAAGTGAGGATGTGAAGAGCGGGATTGGAACCCTGGGAGCATTACTTCTGAGTCCAAGCCCATAGACACTCCTCAAGAGAAAGGGAATCATATTCTCATCTCCCTGCTCCCCCACCCCCCCCACCCCGACAGGGAGGAGGAGATCGGGAGAGAGAAGGCAGGCCTGGAACCAGGTAGGTGGAAAATTAGGGACTTGGCCAGGAAGAGGGACACAGGGGACAGACAGACAGGTACCCCCCCTCCCCACTGAGGGAATGGGGATGAAGGAGGCATGGACTCCTCACCTCCACGAAGACAAAGCAGGGGATGATGGAGAAACTCCTCTTGAGCTGAGGTCTCCCTCCCGCCATGGTGAAGGCCTGGGCCTGTGGAGGTGGGGAGGAGGCGGGGTGGCCAGGGTGTGGCCGAGGGGGAAGCTGACTGAGGTCACGGGGGCCCCGGAGTCCTCTGGCCGTGCCTCTGCGCACCCAGGGCTCAGCCCCGCTCCTGCCCATCGGAGACACCGGCTTCCTCCGACAGCCTGCTCCGCTCAGCCTGGCGGCCGGGGAACCCCAGGGATTCTCTAGCCGTGTTCCCTCCCTGTAACCTACTTAGGAGATTCTAGCCCCATACCTTCTAGGAGGGACTCTCCTCCTTACTAAGCAGGACCCCCCCCCCCTCCTTCCCAGCTTTTAGAAGAGAATTCTCCAACTTAACAGGGATCCCTCCACTGCGGAGAAGGATCCGGGTAGAAGGGTTCTCACACCCACCAGTGTTTAGGGAACCCCGTCCTCTCTTCCCACATGCTTTACGGGGAACCCCGTGCTCCGTGTCCCCCACCCCTTCCAGGCCCTTCTCCCCGGTCCCTGTGGTTCCTGGCTGATGGTCTCTCTACTTCCTCCCAGCCCATTACCTCCCCGCATCGTGAGGGAGCCATCTCCCACCGCATGCTCCCCGCTGCCCCGAGCAGGGAAGCGCTAACAGTCACACCTGCTTGACCCATCCTCCCAGGCGGCCTCACCTGTGAAAGAGCCCTATGACTTCCCACAGGTGGCCGCCTCGCCTGTGCACTCACAGCCGCCCCTGGCCGCCAGCTGGGCAGTGACGGTCAGCCCCATTGCACAGATGTGGAAACTGAGGCGCAGGCAGGTGAGGGTAGGCACTCTGGGTCCAGTGCTCCATCCACCAGGCTTGCTCTTCAGTGTAACATGTGGGATGAAGGATGCAAGAGGTCCCAGATGCCTCTCTGGCCACAGCCCCGTCACCCTCCCGGACACATAGTCAACCGCACTGGCACCCCCAGAGGACATAGCTCAGCCACAGCCTTCATCCGGCCCCCTCCCCACACCCCACACGGCTCAGCATTCGCCCATCTCACCAACACGGACCACATGCCTGCTGTGTTCCAGGCACTGTACTAAGTGCCAGCCTGTGGTGAACAAGACGGGCCCACTCATTCAGACAGGTGCCCAACACCCACCACAGCCCACCACACACATCACGGCATACTCACGCACACGCACACGGCACACGCACACGGCACAATGTGCGCACAGCCTGTCACAGACACCCACACGGATCAAACAACTCCCCCAACACAGTCACAGGGACACAACAGGCGGCTCTCCACACACCACCCAGCCCCACAGCCCCACATGAGCACTCGCCCCTCAGGGATGTGGGCTCAGGGTTGCCAACACACTTAAGAGCAACATCAAAAAGAGAGTCACGGTACACAATGCGGGGGGGAGGGGGTGTCACAGAACCGGTCACAGTGTCACACCCCCAGTTACATGGAATTCAGTGACAACCACACACATGAACACTTCTCATCCACATCGACAGTCATGGGAGATACGGAGCTGTCCACGACCACAGCCACATGGCCACACAAGGGCATATACATACATGGACCATGACAGACTCACACAGAGAGCCACAGCCACACACGAAAGATGCACGATGGCAGCTACACATTAGAATGCAAACATGCCGCCCGCCACACCATTAAAAGGAACACACAACAGCAGCCACACAATGATAGCCATATACCCACAACCACACAGGCACCAAAAGACTCACAATCACAGGGACAGCCATCACAACAAAGCCACACACACACCGTCAGGGATAGCCACGATGAGAGCACACAATGACAGCCACTGGAGACAGTCACACACACACACACACACCACACCACACACACTTCAGAAGCCACACAACCACAGCTCTACAGACACAAAATGACAGTTACACAACCCCACTGACATGTAATTACAACCATGCAATCCCAGTCACCACCCTCGCCACCTCCTCTTGGCTTCTCAAGCCCGGGTCCCCCTCCCATGCCCCCTCCCCAGGCTGGTCCCCTAGCTCCTCGCTTCCCCTCCCCCTTCCCACGCTGGACCCGCAGGGGACCGGACCCACAGGATCCGAACCCGGACCAGGCAGAGCCCGAGGGTGGGAAGCCCGCCAGACGGGGTCCAAGCCCGTCCCCCTCACCGGGTTGAGGCTTTGCCACCGGAGTTCGGGTGCCGCCTAGACGTCACCAGCGCGGCCGGACAGACGGATCGCCGGCCTGGCGGGCGGGTGGGTGGACGCACAAATGGAGATGCTGTCGCCCGGCTCTGCGCCGCGCAGGCTCCGTGAAGGAGCGAGGGGCGTGGTCTCGGGCACCTTATTTGCATAAAACAGTGGGCGGGGCATCGGGACGTCTTATTAGCATGATCGGGGGCGGAGTCTCGGCCGTTCTGTGGGGCCAGGCGGGGAGAGTTAGAATAGATTGAGGGGGAACGAAGGATGGAGGTTCAGGGGGAGGACTCTGGCCCGAGCCGGTTTGGCTCAGTAGGTAGTGCGTCGGCCTGTGGATTGAAGGGTCTCGGGTTTGATTCAAATCAAGGGCACATGCCCAGGTTGCGGGCTCGGTCCCCAAGGAGGATGTGCAGGAGGCAGGCAATCAACGGATCTCTCTTATCATTGATGTTTCCATCTCTCTTTCCCTCTCCCTTCTTCTCTGAAATCAACAAAAATTATTTTAAGCCCTGGCCAGTTTGGCTCAATGGATAAAGCTTCGGCCTGCAGCCTGAAAGGTCCCGGGTTCGATTCCGGTCAGGGGCATGTACCTTGGTTGCAGGCACATCCCCAGTGGGAGGTGTGCTGGAGGCAGCTGATCGATGTCTCTCTTTCATCGATGTTTCTAACTCTCTATCCCTCTCCCTTCCTCTCTGTAAAAAAAAAAACACAATAAAATATATATTTTAAAAATTGTTTTAAGCCGAAATCGGTTTGGCTCAGTGGATAGAGCGCCAGCCTGCGGACTGAAGGGTCCCGGATTGGATTCCAGTCAAGGGCATCTACCTTGGTTGCGGGCACATCCAAGAGGTAGGGGGTGTGCAAGAGGCAGCTGATTGATGATTCTCTCTCATCGATGTTTCTAGCTCTCTCCCTTTCTCTCTGTAAAGAAATCAATAAAATATATTAAAAAAAATAAAAATAAAATATGTTAAAAAAAAAAAAAGAAGAAGAAGAAAAAAGGAAGACGTGTGGCTAGTGAGAAACAGCCTGTCTAGCCACTCATATCTGGACAGATCAACCCAGGACTTGTCATATACCAATCTGCCCTCGCACTGTGCTCTGACCCTAAGCTCCTACATCCCAAACAGCCCCTGGGATCTCCATGCCCTCCCCAACCCTGGTGAGTAAATGGGGGTGGCTCATTCTCAGGCACAAGAAGCAGCAGGAGCAACATTCCGCAGGTGGAGGAGGGTCTTGGCTAGTTTATTTTCTCTCTGGAGGGGTCTTCGGGGAGAGCAACCCGGCTGCTCAAGCTGTGGGGAGACAGGATGGGTAAGGGCCAGGTCTGGTCCAGGGGACCCAGGGATGGCAGTCAGGGTGCAGGAGTGCAGGTTGGGAGCTGGTCGGGAGGGGCCGGGGAGGACCCACACCTGATGGGAAGGAGCGGCTCTTGCGGAAGGGTGGCTGGGAAGGGTCCTGGTCCGAGTCGGAGTCCGAGTCCCAAGACTGAAGCGGAGGACTCAGGCATCGGTGACCGTTGTAGCCTGCAGGGACAGGTCCCACTCTGGCTCTCCGCGCATGAACCCCGAATGTGACCCTTGAAAGACCTCCGAATGTGGATGGACCAGTGTCCCTTAATCATGCCCCTTGAATGTGACCCAATGTGATACTTGAATTTTACACCAATGATCCTTAAAAAACATCCAAGTGACCCGAAGTGACCCCTAGATGAAATCTCCAGGGACTCTTTAATGTGACCCCAAATTAAAAATGTGCCCGGCTGGTATAGCTCAGTGGTTGAGCATCAACCGATGAACCAGGAGGGTGGGTAGTTCCTCCTGGGCTGCGGGCTGGATCCCCAGTAGGGGGCATGCAGGAGGCAGCCAATCAATGATTCTCTCTCATCACTGATGTTTCTATCTCTCTGTTCCTCTCCCTTCCTCTCTGACATAATTTAAAATATTATATATAAAAAATATTTAAAATATTATATATATATTAAAAAAAGAAAGAAAGAAACCCGTCCAGCTGATGTGGGTCAGTGGTTGAGCTTCGGGCTTGATCCCCAGTGGGGGGCATGCAGGAGGCAGCTGATCAATGATTCCCTCTCATCATTGATGTTTCTCTCTCTCTTCCTCTCCTTTCCTCTCTAAAAGCAATAAAGATATATATATATATATTTTTTTTTTTAAATGAAACCCAGCATATGTGACCTCTTAATATGGCTTTTGAACATGACTTCAATGTGTGAAGCTAGAGAATGACCCCACCCACCCAGGAGCATGGCTCAGTCCCTCTCACCCCTAAGGTTCCCAGTCTTGGGGCGGATTCCCGAGGACAAGTTGAGGCCATCAAAGGAGTTCTGTAGCATATGCACGGCGGACCTGCAGGAGGATGGGGAGCTGGGGGCCCCAGGTGACTCTGGACTGCTTGAGGCTGGGGCATGGGGCTGTTAGGGGGGCAGAGGAGGAAGGGAGTCCTGCTTGGAGATGGGAGGTCTGGACTCAGATGGCTTCTAGGTTCTGGGGGTCAGTTTGATCAGATTAGGAGCAGGGCAGGGCAGATGAGGGCCAGGGGTCAGAGAGTGGGGGCTGGGCATCACCATATGTCACTCAGCTCCTTCTGGAGGTCATTCCTCCAAAAGCCTTTGCCTCCTGATGGCACCTCCTCTGCCTCCAGCCAGCTGGTTGTCTCACACCCCTGCTGTTTCATCTTGGTCAAGACCTGGGGCTCCCACAGGGGTGGGGAGAGAGAGAAGTGCTGTCGTAATAATGGCTGTGCAAGCCGAAGCCGGTTTGGCTCAATGGAAGAGCGTCAGTCTGCGGACTGAAGGGTCCCGGGTTCAATTCCGGTCAAGGGCATGTACCTTGGTTGCGGGCACATCCCCAATAGAGGTGATGCAAGAGGCAGCTGATCAATGATTCTCTCTCATCGATGTTTCTAACTCTCTATCCCTCTCTCTTCCTCTCTGTAAAAAAAAATCAATAAAATATATATATTTAAAAAAAAATAATGACGGTGCAAGGTGACCATACATGGCACTTATTGTATGCCAGGCTGCCCTCAGTTCATGCAGCTACCCCTTTCAGGTAGGGATGTGTGTGTTTTATCCATGACACAGATGGGGAAAATGAGGCCGGAGAGGCGAAGAAACTCGCCCACAGTCACACAGCAGAAAGCAGCAGAGCTGAGATGTATGTCCAGGCCTTCTGGCTCCAGCCCAATGGTGGAGGCCGGCAGAGACCCCCAAGTCCCCAACCCACGAGGGGCCCCTGTCCTCTCCTCACCTTACGGCACTTCACCTGGTTCTTCTGCATCTTCTGGATGTTCACCAGGTTCTCGGTGATCTCTTCCTCCTGTGCCTCTGTGAGGGGAGGGGGCTCAGGGAGGCCGGCAGCAAAGGACACCACCACCACGCCCCCCCCCCGCAGCCCCCCGGCTCCAGGCACTCACGGAGCTTCTGATAGATGAAGGTCACCTCCTCCCGAACCAGCTCTAGCTCCTCCCACAGGAATTTCTTGCTGAGGGGACAGTGCAGTCTAGACCCACAGCCAGTGCCTGGCCTCCCGGCCTCACAATCTGCCCACCTGCCTCTCCAAACCTCCTCCACCTCCCATGTTCCCATCTGTTCAACCACCATTTCCCCCAGGCTCCACCCCTTCCCAAGTTGCCTACCCACCTTCACCCTCTGACTACCATTGGCCCCCCATCCTGGTCCTCCCCAGTCACCTCCTCCTGACCTGCAGCCTCCCCTTCCCTCAGCTTCCCATTGCTTGTCCTCCATCCCTCTACCTTCCTCACCCCTGACCTCCCGTATTCCCAGCCTCAGCCCGCATCAATCTCTCCATCCTACCTCCTTCCCATCCTTCCTTCAGCTTCCTGTCTCCCCTCCCTGCCTTCTGGCCTCCCAGTCTCCCCACACACAAACACTGAACCTGCCTTCGACCCTGTCATCTGCTCCTCTTGTCCTCTAAGCCTTCCATGGCCCCCCATCACCCTTACGCAAGCCTCTCCCGTTTCCCCCTCTTGGCCTTCCCTCCCTCCCACAGCCTCCCGGCCTCCCCCTCAGCACACCCACCTGTCTCGGATCTCCTGGGCCAGCAGCTGCAGGCAGCGGGTGGTGCGGGTTCTCTGCACCTCCTCACTCTCCCGCAGGGTCTTCTGCAGCCCCTTCAGGCCTTGCGCCAGGGCCCCATACAGCTCCTGCTGTCCCTGATCCGCGTCGCACTTGTTTCCCTCTGTCTGGCGGCCCGTGGGACTCAGGGCTTCTTCAGAAACAGTGGGAGCTGGACTGAGCCCCAATCCCACCAAGCGCAGCTTTGAACCCACGTTTGCCCTAGCCTGGCTGGATCCCGACCCTGAATCCAGGCTCACCCACTTCTCTCACTCTGACCCAGGCCACCTTGACAGCCTCCCGCCTGGCCTTGACCTCAGGCCAGTCCTCACCTTCAAGCTGCTGGATCTTGATTTGCTGCAGGCAGCTCTCTTTCTCCAACATGGTCACTGAGTGGTTTAGAAACTCAAAAGCCTGTGGGGGAAGAGGTCATGCCTGGGAGGCAGGGGGGGAAGGGGGGTATGAGGAAGGGACAGAGGTCGCTGGGCACAGGGCTGGCTGAGGAGGCTAACCTTAGTCTGGGCCTGTAGCTGGTTCTTGACTGACTCCAGTTCGCAGCGCAGGAGCTTCTGGGTGTCAGGAATCATCATGGTGGGCTTACCTGCGAGCAGAAGTGTGGGTCGGCCAAGCTGGGCAGGGTGGGGGCAGGGGCGAGGTCAGGAGCAGGGATCACAGAGCCTGAGGTAGAGGCAGGAGTAGGGGGTCATGATCAGGGACTGGGATGGAGGGCAAGGTCAGGGGCAAGAGGCAGCCGATGCTGGGGCAGGGTTGAGCGGGCAGCAATGGCAGGATTCCACGGAGGCTGGGACAGAGGGTGGAAGCAGGCACCAGCAGGTCTTGCACACCCCGTCTTGTTAGGAGGGAGGGTTCTCACCTTTGGTTTTAGAAGAGCTGGTCTCGGATGGTTTCTAGGAGAGGGGAATATGAGGGCAGTAGAAATTCATCCCTGGGCTGCCTCCTTCCTCCCCCCAACCCAGTGTCTGGACATGAGTTGAGTCTGCTGAGTTCTGGGTGTCTCAGACTCTGAGTGCAGGCATCTCTGTACATGCTCAGAAGTGCACCTATGTGGCTTGTGGCATACATGTGCGGGGCCTCTGGGCTGCCCCTGACAGCATGCACCTGCCAAGCCCCATCTCTGGACTGGGCTCAGAAAAGGGCCCTCCTCTGTAGGGGCAAACGACATTGACAATGGCTGCCGGCAGCACCAACGGCACAGACGCATAACCATGAGTAATCCCACAACAATCACAGCTACATAAACACAGATACAGGTGAGAACTCCAAGGCATCAGACCCAGGGCGCCCATGCACACTCATCTCAGACACAAAACCAGACACAGACACACAGTCACAGCCAGAGACAATGACAGAAAAGATTCCACTGAAACACACAATCCCACGTCCATTCCATCCATTCCCTCATCCAGTAAGACATATTCACTGCAGGCCGGCTGAGCCCTGGGAGGTGTTCTGGGTGCTAAGGACCTCCCTGTCTCCCCAACCCCCTTCTCCCCCCAAGCCCCACAGCAAAAGGCAGTGATACAGCAGGAAGAGGGGGCCGGGTGCAGGTAACCTTAGCGATATTCGAACGCTTCTTCACAAGTTCCTGGTCATCATAGCATTCCTGCGAGTCCGAGTTGGGGAAGTGAGGAGACCCATGCGACTGAAGCCCCGAGTCCCTCCCTGGCTTCCAGTCTATAATTGTCACTGTGTTCTCTGAAGCAGCTGGCCCCGGGGTCTCTGGTTCTGGGGTCCTGGACCAGTGAAACGTATAGTTCAGGTTCTTGTTGTCTGAGGCAGGGCCTGGGGGGGAAAGGGGGGGGTGAATGAGGACATCCTGAGGGCCGACCCGGAGCACGCCAGCCCCTCCCAGCTCCCCAGCTCTGGAGCAGCCCCTCAACGAACCCCAGTACTTGTCACACTTGTTGTTATCAAACGAACACAAGTTGGAGGGCGACGGAGATGAGCAGTAGCAGGGCAGAGAGTAGTCAGAGTCCCGGGGCAGGCCGGCCAGAAGAGGGTCGCTTCGAGTGGGAAGGACAGGACAGGGGGCTGCACTGAGACCAGCCCCCATGTCCCGACACTCCCAGGCCCTCCCTGACACCTCACAGAGGCCTCAGCCCTGAACACAGGGCCTCCAGCTACGGGAGGAACAGGATGAAAGTTGATCCCAGCCCCGGGGGTTGGGATGGGCAGTGAGAAGGAACCAGAAGACCCCACAGGAGAAAGGGAGGTCTCAGAAAAGTCTAAAAGAAAGAAAACAATTCTTTTTTTTTTTTTTTTTAATTTTTTTTTTTTTTATTGATTTTTGTACAGAGAGGAAGGGAGAGAGATAGAGAGTCAGAAACATCGATGAGAGAGAGTCATCGGTCAGCTGCCTCTTGCACACCCCCTACTGGGAATATGCCCGCAACCAAGGTACATGCCCTTGACCGGAATTGAACCCGGGGCCCTTCAGTCCCCAAGCCGACGCTCTATCCATTGAGCCAAACCGGTCCCAGCAAGAAAACAATTCTTGACATTGGGCCCTGTCAGGAAACAGCATGTGCAATCCTAGCCGGTGTGGCTCAACTGGTTGGGCGTTGTCCCCTGCACCAAAAGGCTGCTGGTTAGATTCCCAGTTAGGGCACATGCCCAGGGCTAGATCCCCAGGTGGAGGCATCCAGGCGGCAGCCAACCAACAATTCTCTCTTATTGTTGTTGTTTCTATCTCGCCCTCTCCCTTCCTCTCTGAAATCAATAAAAAAATAGATTTTAAAAATATTTTTAAAAAATCAATCAACTATTCTTTAAAAAAAAGAAAGAGCATGAGCCAAAGCTTGGAGGTGTGGAACCATGTGGTCTGTGATGATAAATTCAGGACGGTTGGAGGCAGAGTCCAAGAGGAAGCAGCAGGAGATTAGCGGGGCAGTTCAAGCAAAGCATTGAAAGCCGAGCAGAGAAGTTTGGACCCGGCTCCCCAGATACCTGGGAGCCACCGTGTGTGTGAACAGGAGAGGCAAAGCCTATCTATTCAATACGTATTATAAGACATGTCTATTCAATTGGGGCCCAGGCTCAGGTTAAGTGGGGCTGGGAACAAGAGAGAAGGCAGCTCTGCCTCATCCCAGGGGGAGTGATCAGGGCTGGCACAGATGGAGTCACATGGGACAGAGCTGTCTGGGAAAACTTCCAGGTGGAGAGGATCTTGCCTTCACCTGGAAGCAAGACAGAAAGGCCGGCCGAAACCGGTTTGGCTCAGTGATAGAGCATCTACTTGCGGACTGAAAGGTCCCGGGTTCGATTCCGGTCAAGGGCATGTACCTTGGTTGCAGGCACATCCCCAGTGGGGGGTGTGCAAGAGGCAGCTGGTCGATGATTCTCTCTCATCGATGTTTCTAACTCTCTATCCCTCTCTCTTCCTCTCTGTAAAAAAAAATCAATAAAATATATTAAAAAAAAAAAAAGACAGAAAGGCCACACTCTAGAGGTTTTTCTGAGTCCTCCAGTGTCCTTCCTCTGCCCAGTCCTAGAAGACTGCTATGCCCCCTTCAAAACCCTATTCAGCATCTACTCTGTAAAAGCTCCCCTAATCTGTTTTTTAAGAAAGATGTCTTTACTGATTTGAGAGAGAGAGGAAGGGTGAGGGAGAGAGAGAAACATCAATGTGAAAGAGAAACATGGATCAGCTGCCTCCTGCGCGACCCCTAGTGAGGATCCAGCCCGCATGCGCTGAAGGGACCATTGACTTTCTAGTGCAACCAACTGAGCCACACTGGCTGGGGTCCTTGATCCTTTTAAATGGATTTTTAGAGACAGAGGAAGGGGAAGGGAGAGAGAGAGAAACACTGATGTTAAAGAGAAACACGGATAGGTTGCCTCCTGCATGATCCCTACTGGGGCTCAACCCTGCCACCCGGGCATGTGGCCTGACAGGGAAACAACCTGCAACCTTTCAGTGCATGGGAGGATGCCCACCCCGGCCGGGGCCCTTGATCCGTTTTTAAGCTCATATTTTCTGAGTACCTCACTGAGTGGGGGGCACCACCATCAACACTCATCTTCACACCCATCTCGTCACATAGAGGTTGTGCTTCTGCCTGAAATGTTCTGGAGTACCTTTTCAAGAGGCACTGGAGACCCTCTGGCTGGATGGTGTGGGTTCAAATCCTAGCCCTGCCCCTTCCTAGCTGTGTGGTATTGAAAGAATTACTGAACCTCCTCATGCCTTGGTGTCCCCAACTATAAAAATGGGATATCACGCCAGGACCGGTTTGGCTCAGTGGTAGAGCGTCGGCCTGCGGACTGAAAGGTCCCGGGTTCGATTCCGGTCAAGGGCATATACCGTGGTTGCGGGCACATCCCCAGTAGGGGGTGTGCAAGAGGCAGCTAATCGATGATTCTCTCTCATCGATGTTTCTAACTCTCTATCCTTCTCTCCTCCTCTCTGTGAAAAATCAATAAAATATATATTTAAAAAAAAAAAATGGGATATCACGCTACCACATAATTGCTGTGATTAAGTAGATTAATCCATGCCAGTGTTTAGCAAACAGCAGCGGGAAACTCAATGTATGCCCTTGAATGTCACGCTGAGAACTTGGGACCTGGGAGTCATAGGAGCCCTGAGAGGATTGGAGGAGAGGGAGAACCCATTTCTGAGTGCCAACTGCAAGTGGAACGCCCTCCCCCTCCCATATCGGTTGTTCCTCCTGAAGTCCCTACAGGGAGAATTCTTGGGGAGAGAGGGGAGGGTCATTAGCCCGGGCCCCGCCCCCCGGGCCTTGACTCCTGCGCCCCACATGCTCCTGACCACTTCCCACTTCCACCTACCACATAGCACCTGCTCATACTCTCCCATCAGGAACCGCGAAGCCAGCCCCCAGCTGTGACGCTGAAATTTGATCCTGCGGGGACACCATCACTTTAAAACGCGCGGAGCCCAAACGCGGAGTCACAGAGAGGGGCGTGGCTGACGCGTTGGCCCCGCCCCCTCCGTCGCAGCCCGCGGCCTCATTGGCGCCTTCCCGCTTCCGCAGATCTTGGGAGCCGCCGCGTAATTGAGTAAAATCCCGGAGAGGGGGCGGGGCTTCAGACAGGTTTCTGCTAAGCGATTAGTCGATAGCTAAGGGGGCGGTACAGAAGGCAGCAGGTTAAGATCGGATTGGCTTCGGGTTCAGCTGGGAGGCGGGACGAGTTCTTGGTCCCACGAGGAGAGGTGGTGAGGATCCCGGGAGTAAAGTACCGGGCCCGGCCCGCTGGCCCCCAAGATCGGCCTCTGGTCTCGGACTCCTGGGTATTGCGGGTTGAAGTCCGGATTCCAATTGGTGGGATCGATGTCTCTGGGATGAGATTTGGGGGTTTCTCAGGATTAGATGGAGCCGGGGTGCTTTAGGGGGGTCTTCATACAGATATCTGGATGTTGTTATGGGAGCTGGATCTTTGCTGTTAGAACTGGGACCCCGACGTGATATTTGAGAGTCACTGAGGTGATCTCAGAAGATCTAGGGCGACGAGCTTGAGCTGGTGGGGCTGAAACTTGGGGGTGTCGGAGGTGGCATGGGTGTTGGGGTCCAGAGAGGCTGAGATCTTGAGGGCTGACATTTAGAGAGATGGGGTCGGGGTGTCGCAGGGCCCAACCCTTATTCCTGGTGACCCCGGCCTTGCGCAGGCTCACAGGGGCTGAAGGCCAAAGGTAAAGCTCTAAGCCACTCGGTACCTCCTTCCCAGGCCCGCAAGATGGAGGAAGACGGGGACCTGGCAAGCCTGACTAAGGTGGTCCATCTCCTGGTCTTGTCCGGGGCCTGGGGCATGCAAATGTGGGTGACCTTCTTCTCAGGTAGGGACCCTCGTACTGGATACCCAGGGCGGGGACAGGAATGAGAGCAGGACCTGGAGTATCCTAACGGATGCCTACACTCCACAGGCTTCCTGCTTTTCCGAGGCCTTCCACGGCATACCTTCGGTCTCGTGCAGAGCAAGCTCTTCCCATTCTACTTTCACATCTCTATGGGCTGTGCCTTCATCAACCTCTGCGTCTTGTTTCCACAACACGCCTGGGCTCAGCTCACATTCTGGGAGACCAGCCAGGTATGCAGACTTGGGCTTCACTACCCTCTGAAGAAGACTCCTTCCCAGTACCCCTCTGAGCTCCTACGGCCCCTCCTTTGTGAGAATTAAACGACAACAAAACTGTGCCTTCTTCCTGGTGGATACAAAGCTTGGACTCTGTACACCTGTGAGCAGTACACCGCCTGCACAGCCATCCCCAGCAGCCCTGTCTGTCCTATTCCCCTGTCTATCTGCTGGCTGCTGCTCCCTCGCCTCCCTCTGGTTGGGCCTGCCGCCAAGCTGGGGTGACTCAGCTGGGCTGGGGCACTGACCCCAGCTCATTGTTTCAAAACTAGCCTGACTGGGAATCTAAAGTCCCCCACCCCCATCCACGCATTTCCTCAGTTAGCAGGCAAGGGACCTTCCCTGCATCTCATATTTCTCTATCCTGCCCTCCCACTGCCCTCATTGTGTTCCTCAGATGTGAGCAGGTAAAGCCTGACAGGGATTTCAAGAATAATCCCATAGACACTGGAGTGTATTATGGGTAACTAGCACTTTAAGGGCTTTTTATTCACTCCCTGTGGGCCCAATGGCTGCTTCTGGAATCTGGGCTGGGGCCACAGAGGAGATGGACCCTGTCGGGGCAGTTATTGTGCGGTTCCAATTTGGGGAAGAGAGGTCCTGCTCTGAGATACTGCCAGTTAGTGGGAAAAGAGGACACAAGGCTGTATTCTAGAAATGTCTAGTCTGACTATCAGAGAAGAGGAGGCTCCAAAGGTTTGGGGGGGGAGGGGGATAAAGGCAGTGCTGATACTGAGCTTTTCCTGCCAGCTTCAGGTTGTTAGAGCTGGAACTCTGGTGTATGGGGGGAAGGACACCCTAATCTGGGTTGTGGAAGGAGGGGGAGGCCCGGCTTTGACCCCCGGCTGTCCCCTAGCCCCCTCTGGACCTTGAGGATGCAGAAGGCCCCTCTGGAGGGCCCCTCCTGCCTTCCAGGTATAGCTCACCTCCCACTGCTTACAACAGCTCTGCCTGATGTTCCTGAGTCTCACACTCGCCACCATCAATGCCCGTTGGCTGGAGCATCGCACCACAGCTGCCATGTGGGCCCTGCAGGCCATGGAGAAGAAGCAGGGCCTGGGTGGGGAGGTCCCAGGCCGCCACCAGGGCCCGGACCTCTACCGCCAGCTGCGGGAGCAGGATCCCAAGTATAGCGCCCTCCGCCAGATCTTCTTCCGCTACCACGGCCTGTCCTCCATTTGCAATCTGGGCTGCCTCCTGAGCAATGGGCTCTGTCTGGCTGGCCTTGCCCTGAATCTCAGGAGCCTGTAGCACCCACTGCTCCTTTGTCTCTGCTGGGGCCCCAAGATCTCAATAAACCCATCTTTGGAAATGGCTGCTGTCCTTTTTCTCCCACTGGGAAGCAGGGGGAAAGGTGGACAAGAATGGAAGCGAGGGCCTCTGTTTCTCCATTCACACTCCCCGTGGTGATTTGTAGTGTTAGCTGTTGCAGCCCCTAAGCTCTTCCTATCACAGTGCCCATGTGTTGAGCACCCACTGTGTGCCAACACATGGGTACTGGAAGTAATCATTCACATACTGGCACCATATATTATTGTAACCATCGCTGGTTCTGATCCCTAGGGGACAAGCATATTTACTCCATTGAATTGGGGATGGCCATGTGTCTTGCTTTGGCCAATGAAATGTAAACAGACCCCAACAGTCATTTCCAAAGAGAAGGGTACACCCCAGTCCGTTTTTCTCAGTGGTGAGGGAGTCAGCCCTTGGACCAAAGGATCCAGGTTCGATTCCTGGTCAGTGGCATGTACCTCGGTCACAGGCTTGATCCCAAGCCCTGGTCAGGGCACGTGCGCAGGAGACAAGCAATATGTCTCATATTGATGTTTCTCTTCCACTCTTTTAAAAAAAAAAAATTTTTTTTTTATTGATTTTTTTACAGAGAAGAAGAGAGAGGGATAGAGAGTTAGAAACATCAATGAGAGAGAAACATCGATCAGCTGCCTCCTGCACACCCCATACTGGGGATATGCCCGCAACCAATGTACAGGCCCTTGACCGGAATCGAACTTAGGACCTTTCAGTCTGTAGATCGTCGCTCTATCCACTGAACCAAACAGGTTTCGGCCCCCTTTCCACTCTTTTAACATCAATGGGAAAATATCCCCAGATGAGGATTAAAAGAGAGAGAGAGAGAGAAGGGTATAATGGTCCTCTCCTTATCCATGAGGGATAATTCTGAGACCTCGTGATTGCCTGAACCATGGATAGTACCAAATCCTGTATGTATTATGATTTTTTTCCTATACACACATACTTTTCAATTAAAGCTCTTTATGTCTTCTCTGGAATATCTGAATTGCCAGCATCATCACTCTTGTGCTTTGGGGGTCATTATTATTATTTTTTAAATTATGGGTTTTTTAAATTTCTTTTTTTTTAGAGAGAGAGAGAAAGGAAAAAGGAGGTAGAAACATTCATGAGGGAGAAACATCAACATGGACTGGCTGCCTCCTGCACACTATCCGCTGGGGATCGAGCCTGCAACCTGGACATGTGCCCTGACTGGGAATGGAACTGGCAACCTCTTGGTGCAGGGGGTGACCCTGAACCACTGAACATCAGCGGCAGGGCTGAGGTTATTAAGTAAAATAAGGGTTACTTGAACACAAGCACTGTGACACCATGACATTTGGTCTAATACCTGAAATGGCTACTAAATGACTCATGGGTGGGGAGTGTCCACAGCGTGGATATGGTGGACACAGTTGATTCACATTCAGGTTGCATGGAACAAGATAGTGCAAGATTTTGTCATGCTATTCAGAATGGTACACAATTTTAAACATAGAAATTGTTTATCCCAGACTTTTCCATTTGATATTTTCAAACAGTGGTTGACCCACAGAAAGGAAGCTTTGGGTAAGGGAGGACTACTGTACAAGCCAGTGCACGATTTGCCACATTCTCCCTTCTCCACAATGACCAGTGTGAGAAGTACACCTTAAATGTTGGGTGCCATTGAAGTTTTGGGGCTGCTTGTTACTGAGCATATGTTACACCTTCCTGACTGATGCATGTCATTTTTGTTCCTTCTCACGGCAGTCCTCAGAGGCATCTGCTGTTTCATGAAGCAGTGGTGCTCAGAGATGTTCAACAAGTGGCTTCAGGTGGAGTTGGTGGAATTTGAACACCAGCAAGCCTAAGCTGCTATCACTGCACATCCTCTCCTGCTGGCATAAAATAAAAAATAAAAAAAAAACCTCTAGGACCTCAGTTAGGGCTGGATGTGCCAAATTTCCATACTGTGTGGCCTCGGTCAAGGAGCTGATCCTTTCTGAGCCTCAGTTTCTTTTTCTTTTTTTAAAAAAAATATATTTTATTGATTTTTTTTTACAGAGAGGAAAGGAGAGGGATAGAGAGTTAGAAACATCGATGAGAGAGAATCATCAACCAGCTGCCTCTGTACACCTCCTACCGGGGATGTGCCCGCAATCCAGGTACATGCCCCTGACCGGAATCGAACCCGGGACTCTTCAGTCCGCAGGCCTACGCTCTATCCTCTGAACCAAACCGGTTTTGGCTGAGCCTCAGTTTCCTTATCCATAAAGTGGAAATGAATCCCAAGGCCCCTTAAGAGTTATTTGGCAAAGGGACCGAGCCCACTCTGGGGTCAGGCGCACTGCAATTACAAACACTAATTCTCAGGCCAGAACCCGCACACGACCCTGGGAGGTGGAGACTCTCGTGTTCAGCCATTTGACTGTTGGGGAAACTGAGGCCCAGGGAGGCTAAGGAACTTCTCCAAAGTCACAGGGGCAGAAAGCGGTGGAGCTGGGCATCGAACCTGGCTCCAGTATCCCGCACGGGCTCAATCGCTCTGCACCCAGTAGGAGTTTTATAAGCAGCGTATAGTCGGGGCGGGTGCAGGGGGAGCTCCGGACCTCTGCACGCGGGGTGCCGCTTCCACCCTCTCCCCACTTTCCGCGAGTCCCGCCCGGGCCCGGCCCCGCCCCCGGGAGCGGCCCTCCCTCCCGCCGGGGCGGAGCCCGGGGATCCGGTGGCTGCGGCGGCGGAGGCGGCGGGATCGGGGTCGCGGTCGCGGTCGCGGTCGGAGCGGCGGCGGCCGAGGGCAGAGCCGCAGCGAGTCCGGAGGCGGAGACTCCGCGGACCACGACCCGCTCGAGGTGACCCCCTCGGAGGGAGCGCCCGCCCCGCCCCTCTGCTCCCATCAGGTCTGGGGGGGACAAGGGGGAGGGGAAGGCCCCCGGGGGGGGGCAAAGGCGGGCCGCGGGGGACGCCTCCCCTCGCCCCCACCCAGCTGGGCTCCTCGGAGATCGTGCCTGGGATGCGGGGGCTCCCGGATCCCCGCTGGGAACCGGAGATGGGACCATATGGTGATGGGGGGGAGGGAGGCTCCAGAGCCACCCTGCACCTGCTGGGCCCCTCCGGATCCGGCGAGGAGGGAAAGGGCCAAGTCCGGGGGCCCTTGCCCAGTGCGGGGCCAGGGAGGATGGGGGGCGGACAGGTGAGCTGGGGCTGGGGCGGGGACGGGGGCCCAGCCTGGCAGCCCTGCCCAGCCTGGGGACAGGCTTCCTGTCTCTGGTCTTCCCCTCAAACTCGTTCTCCCGGAACACGGGGTGGGGCCGAGGGCCGGGCAGAAAGGGGGGCCGGCTGTGTCCTCCTTTCACGTGGAAAAAAGCCCCACGGGCAGAGGAGGAAGAGCTTTGCGGGGAGTATCTCCGCTGGGGTGCCCTCCGTTCGCCCAGGCCTTCTGGAACCTCACTCCCCGTGTGGCCAGATGGCCGGGGAAGCTGAGGGCTGGGGCGGCCCTGAGGGCTGGGGCATGTCCTGGCCCGGGCGAAGCAGCCCGCGGTGGGAACACAATGCCAGGGGGACAGGACCAGGCGTGGTGGCCCCGGCAGCAGGGCTCTTGGTTACCAGGTGGCCGAGGTGGCTTCCTTCTATTTGAGGACCATCATCACCCCAGCCTCCCTGGGCTGGGGCTGGGGCGGGCTGAGTCAGCTCTCTCCAGAACGATAGGGCCCGGCCCCTTTGACAAACAGAAGGTGGCAGTAACCATGGCCGGGCCGGAGCTGGGCTGATCCCCTGGCCGGATCCCTGAAACCTCTGGGCTGAACCTACTGATAATCCCCTCCCCTGGGGATCAGGGAAGGGGTTAAGCTCAGCTTGGATGGGGGGCAGGGTAGGCACCCTGGTGGTGGCTGACACCTGCCAAAGTCAACACCCAGCCTGCAGGGGGGGGGGGGCTCTATCCAGCTGGCAGGCCCCCTCCCCCAGCTCACACCCCGGCCACATTGGCTGTTCACCAGGGGGCAAAGTCCACACCTGCACCTTCGCAGGGTCTGGTTGCTCCGCGGCCAGAGGAGGCTGCCACGCGCCCCCCACTCTGGGCCCTTGCATTTGCCAAACGTCCCCATTTTCTGCGTCCTGCAGAGAGTCGCTTGGCCTCCAAGGGGCAGAACTGGGATTTGAACCCGGGTTACCTGTCTTCTATTTCCCTGCAGGGCTCCAGGCCTCCCCCCGCAGGAGGCTTCCCCCCAGGATGGCGTCCGCTGGAGACCCCGCCACCAGCCCACGCGACGCAGCAGACCAGAACTTCGACTACATGTTCAAGCTCCTGCTCATTGGCAACAGCAGCGTGGGCAAGACGTCCTTCCTGTTCCGCTACGCAGACGACTCCTTCACGCCCGCCTTCGTCAGCACCGTGGGCATCGACTTCAAGGTCAAGACCGTCTACCGCCACGACAAGAGGATCAAGCTGCAGATATGGGTGCGCCCGCCGCTGTGCCCGGCTCTGCGGCTGAGGGGGGCCTGCAGTCCCCTCTGGGACGCCCACGGGGAGGTGCAGGGAGGTGCAGGGCCGTGGGAAGGGGTCCTGAGCGAGAGAGGAGCCCCGAGGCGGGGAGGGCGCATGGAGTAGAGGCGAAGAGAAGGGGAGTATTATCTGTAGCGAATTAATTCCTCAGGATGAGAGGATACCTGCCTGTGAGGTCTGAGGGGGAGTCAGCAGTCACCCAAGGCGGTTAGAAGCCCTGGTGGCTAATGGGAAAGGGGTTTGGGTACCTCTCAGGGGTGAGCCCAGAGGCCCCCACTGAGCCTGCCAGGTGTCAGAGCCACCCTCACCCTCCACCGCACCCCCAACGTGCAGCAGTTGGTAACAGTTGTCATGGTAACGAGCGCCAGGTGTGTGCATCGAGATGGTCCCCTCTAGCCCATGTGGCTCCTGTGTGTGGTCATTACGTTGGTTCTCGGAGATGAGGTCAAGAGGCTTATAAGTCCGTGAGGGGCACTGGCCGCTCAGGCGGGGAGTTCCCCAGACTGGAGGCGGCAGAGGCAGGCCCTGCTCCTGCCATCAGACGGGGGCAGTGAGGGCGGGGCCCTGCGGTGACCCCTCGCCGGCTGACCCCACGGTTTCCGCAGGACACGGCGGGACAGGAACGCTACCGAACCATCACCACGGCCTACTACCGGGGAGCCATGGGCTTCCTGCTCATGTACGACGTCGCCAACCAGGAGTCCTTCACCGCCGTGCAGGACTGGTGAGTGCCTGCTGGCTGCTGGTCCCCTGACCTTGGCCCTCTCCCTTTCCCCCCCAAAATCGCCGGCCTGACAGCCCTCACACCCCACAGGGCCACCCAGATCAAGACCTACTCCTGGGACAACGCGCAGGTCCTCCTCGTGGGGAACAAGTGTGACCTGGAGGATGAGCGTGTGGTGCTTGAGGAGGACGGCCGGAGGCTCGCCGATGACCTCGGTGAGCGCCCAGCCTGGGCGGTGGGCCCTGGCCTTCCCAGAACAAGCCCCTGTCCTCACGCTCAGATCCCGGGTCCAGCCACAGTCTCCAACCCTCTGCTCTTGGAGGGCCTGGCCAGAGAAATGCCCGCCTGTGTGCCACCTTCTCCACTTCATTCCAGGGGGGTCCCCCCATTGACCACCCCCCCTCTCCCTGACTGCTGTCCCCTCCTAGGAACGCAGACTCAGGGGACTGTCTCTGGACAGTCTTTTTTATTTACCCCACAAACATCCTCACCCACGTGGGAAACAGCGCGTATGTCCAGTTACAGAGCTGCTGGTGGCAGGGAAACCTTGGCAGCCTCCCAGGTGTCTCACGGAGGAGGAAGCCACAAAACAGAAAGCATATTCACGTGGCAAAACACGGCGCGGCTCCTGGGAGCTGTGGCTCAGAGGCAAAAGCAAACTGCAGAACAGTGGCCGCTTCCTTTAGTGCCGGCAGCCGTCAGCAAACATTTGCTTAAAGGGCCAGAGAGGAAATGGCTTTGGGCGTAGGGTCTCTCACAGCGATTCACTTCTGCCTGAAAGCAGGCATAGACGATACATAAGTGAGTGAGTGTGACTGCCAGGAAAACGTTATTTACTAAACAGGCCGTGGGCCGGAATTGGCCTGCATTCCGGAGTGGGCCGACGCCTGCATCTATACTGATGAAAGGGTCGTAGGCTAATAAGACCGGACATCTTCCGGACAGCGCCACAGAGGCAGGGGAGCAGTTAGGGGCATCAGGCAGGCAGGCAGGTGAGCCGTTAGGAGCCAGTGGTCCCGGATTTCAAGAGGGGTCCCCTGATTGTGAGAGGGTGCAGGCTGGGCCCTCCATTAGTGTATAAAAAGGATGAGAATAAGAACGTATACTGATGTTTGCCTAAAGGAACTCTGGGAGGATACGGAAGGATCCAGTCACAGAAGAGACCTTTGAGTCTGAGAAAACTGGGTGGCTGGAAACCAGGGTGGGAGGGGGACTGTTTCAGTTTATCTTTTTGGAGCAGGTGATGAATGAATTCTCTTAAGCTCAATGAAAACCTTGTCCTGGAATATTCTAGTATCCTAGGCTCTCCCAGGACGTTCCTTACAGGAGGCAGTGTAACTGCTGTAGGGTAGGGCGAGCTGAGGACCCAGAGTGCAGCTAGAGTCCCAGTCTGCAGCCCACTGCTGTGTGACCGAGGGCACAGAGCGTCCCTCTGTGCTTCCATTTCTCCCCTGGGAGACAGAAGCGAAACCGTGCCTACTTCGTAGGGCTCTCAGCAGGATTAAATAGGCAAACGCTGGCCTCGGTTGAACATTAACTTGTATTATTTCTCAGTCGCTTTGGGATCGTGTGCCGGTGACTCCAGCTCTCTGGGTCTGCCTGTCCCTACGTGTCCCATGGAGATAGTAACAGCCCCACCTCACTGATAACTGAGGACCAAATGAGTTACGACGTGGGAAGCAGTTATAACAGCGTCCGGCACATGAGTAGGTTGCATCTCAGCGCTAGCTGGCATGACCGTGAGCTATTGTCGATGCTTGCATAGAAAACTCTAAGCACTATGGCCCACCAAGTCTGAAACACCTACTATCTGGCCCTTTACAGAAAAAGTCCAAGGACCCCTGGGCTGTCCTGGTCCCCTTCCTCTTTTTTTCTTGCCATCCGTTTGTTGGAGAAACGGGTCTTTGTTCTCTGGGACATCTTCCACTCGAGGTGTGGGGCTCTTTGCCCCCTCGGGGTGTCCTTTACCCGCTCCTCTGGCCCTGGTGCTTTCTGGGAACTCTAGCCTGGTCTCCCTTCCTGGGGAGTCCTGCCGTGGGCTAGGGTCCTTGTGGGTGTCGCCCACACCTTCTTGCAGAGACATCTAGTGCCAGGGCTGAGGGGGGGCTTCCCACTCTGTCATTAACTTTAAAATGCCAGAGGACAAAGCAGAAGATGGAATTTAATCCCAATTTTGTAAAAAAACAAAAAACAAAACAAAAAAAACCCCCAAAACTCCTCCATACACACAACCTACAAACCCAAGCCCAACAATTATGTATTTGTATTTTTTAAAAATATATTTGATTGATTTTGTACAGAGAGGAAGGGAGAGGGATAGAGAGTTAGAAACATCGACGAGAGAGTATCATCGATCAGCTGCCTCTTGTACACCCTCTACTGGGGATACAGCCGGGACCGGTTTGGCTCAGTGGATAGAGCGTCGGCCTGCGGACTGAAAGGTCCCGGGTTCGATTCCGGTCAAGGGTATGTACCTTGGTTGCGGGCACATCCCCAGTAGGGGGTGTGATGATTCTCTCTCATCGATGTTTCTAACTCTCTATCCCTCTCTCTTCCTCTCTGTGAAAAATCAATAAAATATATATTAATAAAATAAAATATATTTAGAGTAGAAAGCTAAATATCAAAATATCAATAGTAATTGTTTCTGGGTGATGAAACGACAAATGGCTTTCATATTTGTCTTGATACTTTTCAGCAGTTCTAGCTTTCTCTAGCAAATATTTATGATGAGAAAAAAATACTTTAAAAAAAAAAAAAAGGATCCAGATTGAGAGAAGCCACACACATTTGAAGGAAAGGCCAGGTTTGCCCAGGAAGACAGTGGGATGCCATTGATGATCACTAGGTTCAGAGGAGAAGGTCTGAGTTCATATCCTACCTCTAGCATTCATTCATTCATTCATTCATCATTCATTCATCCATCCATCCATCTATTCTGTCATTGAGCAAGTGGTTCCCTAATGCCTGCTCTGTGCCAGGCACTGGCTGCAGAGTGGACAAGACAGACAGAAATTCTGCCCTCTTGGAGTGGTGGTGTAGTAGTGGAGATGAATAGGGAGCCTAACTATTTAATTACATTTTTTTAAATTTAAAATATATTTTATTGATTTTTTACAGAGAGGAAGAGAGAGGAATAGAGTTAGAAACATTGATGAGAGAGAAACATTGATCAGCTGTCTCTTGCACACCCCTTACTGGGGATGTGCTTGCAACCAAGGTAAATGCTTTTGACCGGAATCGAACCCGGGACCTTTCGGTCCGTAGGCCGATGCTCTATCCACTGTGCCAAACTGATTTCGGCTTAATTACATTTTTATAGTGCGGCATCACAAGTGCCGGGGCAGAGGCCCATTTACCCTGTGCTGTGTGTAATGTGGCGGGTGTTGGTTTGCATTTCTGGCCCACCTTGGTGGGTGTGGCAGGTGGGGACACAGCGGGGACCTCTCAGGGATAGTTCCCTGCAGGCAGATCCTTAACCAAACTTTCAGGGGTGCGGGAAGGGTCGTCATGTACCCGTGATTTTCAGGCCGGCTGGCTGCTTTTTGTAGCTGAGGGGCCTTAAGCAAAGCATTTGTTCCACCTCCCACCTTTGGGAGGGCAAACAAGTCATGACAGTCACTGAGAATATACTCAGAGCTGCCTCCCAGCCTCCCGCTCCGGAAGGAGCCAGCCAGCCGAGACCCAAGGTGGTGCAGCAGGAATATTTATGATTCTTTCTTTATTACATTAGAATATTTATTTAATGTTAACTGTTGTTTGAGCAAGGCAGCCTGGGTGTTACCGATGTGAATTTAAATAAGCGAATTCCCCTCTCCGTGCCTCAGTTTCCTCATCTATAGAATGGGTTATAATAGGATGAACCTTAGAGCATCATTAAAGATGTTTATTTATGCAAAGCACTTAGAAAAGTGCTTGACACTTAGTAAACATTATATAAGCACATTATTATTATTATTATTAATTTATTTATTTTAAAAATATATTTTTATTGATTTTTTTTACAGGGAAAAAGGGAGAGGATAGAGAGTTAGAACATCGATCAGCCGAAACCGGTTTGGCTCAGTGGATAGAGCATCAGCTTGGGGACTGAAGAGACCCGGGTTCGATTCCGGTCAAGGGCATATACCTTGGTTGCGAGCATATCCCCAGTAGGGGGTGTGCAAGAGGCAACTGATCGATGACTCTCTCTCATCGATGTTTCTAACTCTATCTCTCTCCCTTCCTCTCTGTACAAAAATCAATAAAATATATTTTTAAAAAAAGAAAAGAAACATCAATCAGCTGCCTCCTGCACACCCCCTACTGGGGATGTGCCTGCAACCAAGCTACATGCCCTTGACTGGAATCGAACCTGGGACCCTTCAGTCTGCAGGCCGACGCTCTATCCACTGAGCCAAACTGGTCAGGGCTATTATTATTATTACCATCATCATCATCATTACTATTTTTAGTGCCTTCTATCGGCCAGGAACTACTTACCGCACACTCTCCACAAACACTGGGGAACCGGACAGCGACTGCACACTGGTAGCCCCCAGGCTGACGCCCGTCTTCAGCTTTGCTTTCCTTGGTCGGAAGCACATTTTCCAGAGCATTGCTAGAGTCCATGTAAATGTCCAGTGTTGTGGGCACCCTTGCGGTACCTCCCTGTGCAGTACAATTGCATGTCAGGTAAGTCGAAGCCACCCGTGGGTACCTGTCCCTCTAGGCACCAGAAAATTACTACCTGGACTCCTGCAGCCACTGCCTTGGGACAAAGAGGTTCTTAGGGTAGTTCAGAGCAGGGATTCTGTCACAAGGTTTTTTGTTTGTTTGTTTTTTATTTCAGAGAGGAAGCGAGAGGGAGAGAGAGAGAAGCATCAGTGGTGAGAGAGAATCATTGATTGACTGCCTCCTGCATCCTGCTCCCCTCCCCCTCACCCCACTGGGGACTGAGCCTGCAACTCGAGCATGCACCCCTGATGGGAATTGAACCCGGGAACCTTTCGTCCACAGGCCGACGCTCTATCCACTGAGCCAAACCAGCCAGGACTATCGCAGGTTTTTATTAACATAATTCCCATTTTATAGACATGCACACTGAGGTTCAGAGAGACTAAGGCACTCAGCCAAGGTCCCATAGCTGCAGAACAGACAGACGTGGGCTTGGAACCCAGCTCTGGATGATGCCACGGCCCAGCCCGTGCCTCGTAGAGTCTCACAGGTGTCCCCACTTATGTCCGCCCAGGTTTCGAGTTCTTCGAGGCCAGTGCCAAGGAGAACATCAACGTGAAGCAGGTCTTCGAGCGCCTGGTGGATGTCATCTGTGAGAAGATGAACGAGTCCCTGGACCCCGGCTCCAGCCCCGGCAGCAATGGCAAAGGCCCCACCCTGGGGGATGCCCCACCTCCCCAGCCCAGCAGCTGTAGCTGCTAGAGATGGTACCCCGCCCCCACCCACCCCCTCCTGCCTTGGCAGGCAGTGTGACTGAGGCATGAGCCACAAGGGCTGTTTCCAAGCTCAGGGCGCCCCCTTCGCCCCCCCCCCGTCAGCTATCCGCTGCCCCTCACTGCCCGCACGGCTCGTTTTCTCACCGCAGCCGCCAGCTGCCCACGCAGCTCCCCGTCGCCAGCTCCTGACCTGGGGCCTGCGTTAGAGGAGGGTCTGGGGGTGTTGACCTGCACGCGCTCTCTGCTTTCCAGGCGTCTTCGTGGGAGCGCTGGGCAGCCTGTGGGGCTTCCACTGTGCCTTCTGGGTTCGAGCCATGTTCTGGGTTCGAGTCGTTGTCCACGTCCATTCCGTGCCGGGCATTGGTTGTCTGGAGCTCATGAGCTGGCTGAAGGGGGTTAGCCTTCCTCCTCACGCCCTGCGGGCTCTCAGAGCTCATCCTCAGGAAGCGGAAGGAGGCTCCTTGCTCAGGGTCCCCCCGCTCCCATCCCGAGCCTGCCCATCCCTCTCTGATCTCTGATCTCAAGGCTCCAGGGTGGGGCGGTGGCTCTGGCCCTGGTAGACCCCTCCCTTCTGGCCTGCAGATCCTCTGTCTGTGCAAACAGTATTAAAGCAGCTTCACCCGTTGTGAAGGGATAAGGGGGGACAGAACCCCTCAGGCTTTGGGGACCCCGAAGTGCCTTCTGAGTTTCCCCGGAATTCCACGACCCTGCCACTGTGTTGGATGATCCCTGGTGCCCCTGATCCAGGGTTGAATTCTGGAGTTACGCACCGTGTGAGGCCAGGCAGAGAATCGCCAGCCCCTTCGCCTTCCTGTTCGGGGCTTTTTTTTTTTGCCAGGAGTTCACCTCAGACCCAGGAGCCCCTGCCCTCCCGCCCCAACCTGCCTCCCTGGGCCCACGGGGTGAAGTTTTAAGCAAGGTCTTTCCACACCGCACATCCTGCTAGAGGAGGAAATGGAGCAACGTTCCCGTAGCCCGCCCTCCCGGCGACTTTCTGCCGTACGGACGCGGGCTCCTTCCCCGTGGGCGCCGGGAGGGCCGTGTCCGCTTCCTGAGCCATGCCATCCGGGAGGCCCGGAGACGGGGCCCTTTTTTGCTAATGGAGGAGCCACTCCAAGGGATGTTTGGGGAGTGGGCTGGAGGAGGGAGAGGGTAGGGTCGTGTAACTGCTACTGCCTCTTGCACTTCGTGATGTAGCTCGGGAGTGGCAGGCGGACAGGGGGGCCGGGGTCAGTCTCCCAGGTTGAGGCTTGGGTTCCCAGCTGCCCCCGCTCCTGCTGGGAGGTTATTATGTGCAGTCTGGGGACCTGCCATCTTCACACACACACCCCGATCAGCTCCGTGGCCCCCTGGAACACTGACAGATATCCTCTTCCCTGTCCCCCCGCCCCCCGCTTGACAGACACTGTGAGGACAGGCCAGACCGATAGTCTGTGTTCCCAATTCTCCTGTCCCGGCCCCTGCTGGCCAGGTGACTGCCTGTGGCCTTAAAGGTCTGTGGAACTCGGAAGGCCTGGTTCAAGTCTAACCTTAGCTCTCACCTTTCTGGAAACTCTAGATTGAACCTGTTTCTAGAGGGTCCCATGGACCCCGTATCCGGGTCTGTCTGAAAAGTTTCAAAGCCATGATATCTTGGGACACCAACCAGTTAAATGACTGGCGAAAGGATCACGTTTTGGGAGACACACCAAGTGAGAAGATCTGAGTGCTTGGGGTGGGAATCAGAAATGTTCATTGCTTTGACATAAAAATAAAAATAGTTAAAAGTCTTCTTTTGTTAATATATATATATATATATATATATATATATATATATATATGTTTTATTGATTTTTTTTATAGAGAGGGAAAGGGATAGAGAGCTAGAAACATCAAATGAGAGAGAAACATCGACCAGCTGCCTCCTGCACACCCCCTACCGGGGATGTGCCTGCAACCAAGGTACATGCCCTTGACCGGAATCAAATCTGGGACCTTTCAGTCTGCAGGCTGATGCTCTATCCACTGAGCCAAACTGGTTTTGGCTGTGTAGACAGTTTTTCAACCGTTCAGCTTCAAGTCACAACTGAGGCAGCTGCCTCCGGGTTCTCTCAAGGCTGGGGAGCATGTAGGAGCATAGTATGTATTTTTGTTCCTTCTAAAAATAATGCAAGTTTTTATTTCATGATGTTTGGCGGGGGCGGGGCGGGATTGCTCAAGATAGTCTCCGGGGAACAGATGGATTTGCCTCTAGGTCATGGAGGGGAGGGAGGCTTGTTGAGTTTACAAATAGAGGCCGTGAGAAAACCACCTCCCGGCGGCAGGGAGTCCTGCCCGGGTGCTGACCCTTCTGACCACTTGCTTTTAGCAACTTGTCTTTCCACAGGCCGTCCGGTGGGAAATTGCCATGATTGCTGAGGTTTAGGGGGGTCTGCTTTCTTTTCTTTCTTTTTTTTTTTTTTTTTTCCTGGCTTCTCTTGGGGTCATATTCTTGTGACTTTCTCTCCAACAAAACTTAGAAAAACAAGCAAAGGGTGAAATTTGGTCTCCGTGTGGAAGCGCTGATTCCACCAGCCGGCTTCGTCTCCTCCATAATCCCCAAAAACACTACGGAGGGAGCCCTGGCCTGCGTGTGTCCATCCTGGGCGTGGTTCTCTTGCGCCAGCGATTCTCTGGTGGCCACTGGAAAGACGTTGCACTTTTCTCCACAAGAAAAAAGAATTAAAGCCATGGTGCCCAGACTCAGTTGTTTTTTTTATTTCCATTAGTGAGATGCGATTTCCAGGAAGAGGGCGATGGAATCACAGCCAAGCGTATGGGGATGGCAGAGGGCCCTGTCGGATGGAGCAGCTCCCGTGTGAGGCCCGGGAGGCTCCGGCCTGGGGCTGTCTACCGGGAACTCGGGAACTCGTGGCCACTCCGCTGGCTCTGGAAACTTTCTCTGCCTGGAGGGCAGAGAGGATAATGTCGCTCCAACTAATTCTACGAGGAAGGTCTGTCCTCCACCACAGCAGCCAGAGGGGCGCCTGTGAGCACCCAGTCTGGTCACATCCCTCTCCTCAGGACCCTCCATGGCTCCCACCCGCCTGGGAGTAAATGCCAAAGTCTCCCTGTGGCCTACAGGGCACTGTGTGGCCATATCAGCCACCTCCCTGCTCTCAGCTTCTCCCACTTGCTTTGCTCCGGTCATATTGACTCCCTGGCTGCTATTTGAACACACCAGGCCCCTGCCTCAGGGCCCTCGCACTCGCTGTTCCTCAGCCTGGAACTCTCCTACCTCAGGGACTCACAAAGCTCCCCTCACTCGCGTCCCCTTTCGGGTCTCCCCACACATTTCACCACATTGCTGCTTCCCCCACAGTGTAGTACTTTAGTACTGCAACCCCTCCTTCCCAGAGCCCCTGGAATATAAAAGACTATCTCATTTTCTCATTTCATGTCAACATGTATTTCCTCCAATAGTGTCAGCTAAATGCAGGGATTTAAAAATATTTCACCGCCACACCCAGCTCTGTTCCTGTCTGCTACAATAAAAAAGAAATACTACTTGGTCTTTGTCCCTGGTTCCTAGCACCTCTCTCTCTCTCTCTCTCTCTCTCTCTCTCTCTCTCTCTCTCTCTCTCTCTCTCTCTCTCTCTCTTTCTTTTTCTCTCTCTCTCTTAAAATATTTTATTGATTTTTTTATTATTATTATTATTATTTTTTTTACTGAGAGGAAGGGAGAGGGATAGAGGGTTAGAAACATCTATCAGCAGTCCAAAAGCAGACACTCTATCCACTGAGCCAAACCAATTAGGGCTCTTTAAAAAAAAAAAAAAAAAAAAAAAAAAAAAAAAAAAAATATATATATATATATATATATATATATATATATATATATATATATATATATATATATCTCGATTTCAGAGAGGAAGAGAGAGATAGAAACATCAATGATGAGAGAGGATCATCACACCCCCTAGCAACCCAGGTATATGCTCTTGGCGGGAATCAAACCTGGGACCCTTCAGTCCACTGGCTGACACTCTATCCACTAAGCGGGGCCAGCTGGGGCTAGCACACATCTCTTAAAACCCGTTATTTCCGGAGGGAGGGCTAAGTGTCTTTTGCATGCTGACCAGAAGACTGGGGGAGGGGGTAGGTAGCTTCAGGATGGGAGTTGGCCTCCAGAAAGACCAAGCCATGATTAGCCATGATTGGATGGTTGGCACTGTCAGTCCTGCCCCCTGGCCTCCTGGGAGAAGAGGGGCTGGAGATAGGGTGAATCACCAAGGGCTAATGACTTAATCAATCGTGTCTTTGTAAGGAAGCCGCCATGAAAACCCTAACCTACGGAAGAGCTTCACGTTGGTGAGCACATGGCCGTGTTGGCGGGGGGGGGGGTGGGGTGTGTAGTTTGCCCAGAGAAGGCATGGACATCCCACTCCCTTCCCCATTCCTTGTCCGGTGCTTCTCTTCCCTCTCACGCTCCTGAGCTGTAGCTTTCATTTATATTTTTAAATACATTTTTATTCTGAGTCGTAGCTTTTGTAATAAATGTAGTAACGGGTCAAGTGCTTTCCTGAGTTTGGTGAGTCATTCCGTTATCAAGCCTGAAACGGAAGGAAGGTGGCGGGAAACCCCTGCCCATAACCAACTCAGACAGCGATGCGTCTCGCCGGGGGACACAACGCTTGCCGCTGGCATCTGAGATGGGACCAGACCCAGGGGACTGAGCCCTTAAACCTGTGGCTTCTGATGTGGACTCTGGGCAGTTGGTTTCAGAACGGAATTGAACTGTGGGTCACCCGGCAGATGCCTGCAGGTTTGCTTGATCTGGAAAGTCTCCATATATTTGGTGTCAGAAGTGTGAGTAAAAAACAGTTTGACACACAGCAGGCACTGTACAGATGTTCGTTCGGCGAACGAATGGACTGCAGAGCCTGCGTGAGAGAGGTCCAAAGACTTGCATACGGTACCAGGATTCTCATCCCTGCTCTCTGTGCCTTCTCTCTGTAGCCCACCCCTCACCCCTCTGAACCATGTGAGTTGTGGGGGGCTGTGGGGATGGTGGAAGCTGCTCTTTCCTGGCAACCCTAGTTAACGTCCCCAAACCAGGTCTCTTGGCTACCCGGGTCCCAGTTCATGCCTGAACCAATGACTGAAGCCAGACAGATGAAACATGCTGATTGGCTGGCTTGGGGCTGATTGCCCGCCCCTAGCTTAGAGACACAAATCTGAGAGGTGGGCTGGTTCCAAAGAAAGCTAGGTGTGTTTTACAAAAAGTGGCAGTTGATGGCAGCAAGAGCAAATATGACTGTGCCCATTTTATTATCCTCCCCAAAAGAAAGATGAAAAAAATTACCCTTTGCAATCCCCAATGGAAGGACCCATTCAGTTTGCGATGTTCACTGGGTGAAACCCCTGTTTTATTGGTTCTGAGCAGTGACCATGGCCACCCCTTCATTGGGTAAATGTAGTAAGTCCCCATGCCCAGGCCACAGCCCAATCCAATTAAATCAAAAGATGGGGAGATGGTGTAACCACAGAACCAGCTCTAACTGGCCCTATCCTGTTCTAATGTCAACTGATGGATGTTGGTGCCAATTCAAGAATAGGAATCCCCAATTTGGGGTGTGGAGAAGAAAGAAATTATCCAGTACAAAACACCTCAATGGTGACACAGCACAACTGTGAGGCAGCCCTGGAGCCAGGCCACACTCCCAGGAGGCAGCTCTGCTCCTGGCTGGTCCGCTCTGTGCTGCAGGGACCTGCTCCACTGCCTTCCGGCCTGTTCTGTTCCTTCCAGTCTTGGGTGGAAAGGAAAGTGTGCTCACAGAGACGCAGGAGAGCTGGCTTATATAGACACAAGTCCCCACCCCTGGCCCCTGATTGGTGTGTCCTCATGCAAATGAGGACTCCAAATCCTCGGCAGTTTGATTGGCCCAAAAGGCACTGACCTGATTGGTCAGAATAGAACTGCTCTAGTTGACCTGAGCTTTGCAGCGCCAGTTGGATGGGAAGCCTCAGTCTGGTGGGTTGAAGTAGGGCTCCAGGCACTCCTGTGTCAGGGCTGGCTCAGATGGCAGACAGTGCAAGCAGGCGAGTCAGTGCAGAGGCAGGCTGCTCAGTGCAGGCTTTTCCCTGGAGTGCAATTTGTGTGAGTGGCTCCTGTGTAGAAATGGCTGCTAGGCTCTGTTTTTCTTTTTTAAATATATTTTACTGATTTTTTACAGAGAGGAAGGGAGAGGGATAGAGAGTTAGAAACATCGACGAGAGAATCATTGATCAGCTGCCTCCTGCACACCCTCCACCAGGGATGTTCCCCGAAACCTTGACCGGAATCGAACCCAGGACCTTTCAGTCCGTAGGCTGATACTCTATCCACTGAGCCAAGCTGGATTCGGCTCATTGGTTGATTCTTGTATGTGCCCTGGTTGAACCCATAACCTTGGTGTATTAGGACCACACTCCAACCAGCTAAGCTACCCGGCCAGGATGACACCCCTTCAATCTTGCCCCACGCCCTGGAAGGAGAAGACAGGCTTGAGCCTTGTTTCCTGTCTCTTTGCAGTTGACCTCACAATAAAAGCTTTTTTTTTCCCTCCTCGAAAGCTAGCACCATAGCCCGGCCGCCATGGCTCAGTGGTGAGCCCCCTTGACCTATGAACCAGGAGGTTGCAGTTTGATTCCAGGTCACATGTCGGGGCTGCAGGCCCGACCCCCAGTGTGGAACGTGCAGGAGGCAGCCGATCAGTGATTCTCTCTCTTCATTGATGTTTCTACCTCTCTCCCCCTCTCTGCCTTCCACTCTGAAATCAATAAAAGCATATTTACAAAGGAAAAAAGGAGAAGCTAGTGCCATAGGATTGGCTCCTGTGTCCATCAGGCCTTGCTTGGTAACCCTGGGGTCCAAGCTTGAGTGTTTTGTTAAACTCCCAGGGGGTTCTGGTGTCCAGACAGTGCTGAGGACAAGTGATTCACAGGAAATACAGGGGAGAGGGGAACCAGGTAAAGGCACCACAGAGCAGAAGCAGCAAAACCAGAAGGTGTGGAATTCCCAGCATTCCACACTCCTCCCAAAACAAACCAAAGGTGGGCGGGGTTGGGGAAAAGGAGGAAATCTAGAGCAGCGGGGTCTCCACATGTGCTTCCTGTGCCAGCAGCATTGTCTGGGAACATGTTAGGAAGGCAGATCCCTGGCCCTCAAGATCTCCTGAGTCAGAAGCTCTGGTGGCGGGATTGGGACTTTAGCAAAACATCTAGAGCAGTGGTCGGCGAACTCATTAGTCCACAGAGCCAAATATCAACAGTACGACAATTGCAATTTGAGAGCCGAAAACAGACTTCTGCGCATGGGCCACGAAGTTTCAGTTGCACTGTACGTGCGCGCCCACACGTGGCATGTTGTGGAAGAGCCACACTCAAGGGGCCAAGGAGCCGCAGGTGGCTCTCGAGCCGCAGTTTAGCGACCACTGACCTAGAGGATTGCAATGCATGCTCTAATTTCAGGACTGCTGGGATTCAAATGAAAGGGACGTGGAAGAGATGACACACGTAACATGTGGAGCTTGTTTGGATCCCAATTCAAAGAAACCAAATGCAATGCCGTTTTGAGCCAATTAGAGAAATTCGATGACGGCCTGTGTGGTTTGGTGATGCCAAAGCACGGCTGCTGGTTGTCTTAGTCCATTCAAGCTGCTGTAACAGAATATCAGCCTTGGCGGGTTACAAACAACATTTATTCTCACAGATCCAGAGGCTGGGAAGTTCAAGACCAAGCTGCCAGCAGATTACTGTGTCCTCCATGGTGTGAGTGGGGCGGGAGCTCTTCGGAGTCTCTATTACAGGGCACTAATCCCATTCCTGAGGGCCCCGCACTCATGACCTCATCACCTCCTAATACCATCACCTTGGAGATTAGGTTTCAACATACAAATTTTGGGGAGACACCCATATTCAGTCTGATGTTATAATGGCATTGGGGTTGTGAACACAACTGTATACATTTAACAATTTTTATTTTAATCTTTATTGTTGAGAGTATTACAGATGTCCCCCCTCTTTCCCCCATTGCCTGGTTCCCTCCTCACTGCAGGCCTTCACCATCCTATGCCTGTGTCCATAGGTAACGCATATATGCATTGAATTCTTTGGTTAATCTCCTCTCAGCCCCCCACCCCCCTTCCCTCTGAGATTCACCGGTGTGTTCATGTTTCCATGCTTCTGGTTATATTTTAGTCATCAGCTTATTTTGTCCATTAGATTCCTTATTCATTTATTTTTATTTATAATTTTAAAAAATATTTTATTATTGGTTTCAGAGAGGAAGGTAGAGGGAGAGAGTGATAGAAGCATCAGTGATGAGAGAAAAATCATTGATTGGCTGCCTCCTGCACGCCCCCTATTGGGAATCTAGCTCACAATGCAGGCATGTGCCTTTGACCAGAATCGAACCCGGACTCTTCATTCCACAGGCCAACCCTCTTTCCACCGAGCCAAACCAGCCAGGGCTATTTTGATTTTTAGATTCAATTGTTAGTAGGCATACATTTATTGCCATTTTATTGTTCATATTTTTTATCTCCTCCTCCTCCTCCTCCTCCTCCTTCTCCTCTTTCTCCTTCTCCTCCTCTTCCTCCTTCTCCTCCTCCTCCTTCTTCTAGAAGACGCTTTAACATTTCATGTAATTCTGGTTTGGTGGTGATGAACTCCTTTAGCTTTTCATTATCTGGGAAGTTCTTTATCTGCCCTTCAATTCTAAATGATAGCTTTGCTGGGTAAAGTAATCTTGGTTGTAGGTTCTTATTTTTCATCACTTTGAATATTTCTTGCCACTCCCTTCTGGCCTGCAAAGTTTCTGTTGAGAAATCAGCTGACAGTTGTATGGGTGCTCCCTTGTCTTTAACCTTCGGCATTTTAATTATGTGTCTTAGTTCTGTGCCTCCGTCCCTCCTACTAGTCTCAATGTACTTTCTTTACTTCTCCAGTTGTAGGACTTCTGTTCAGCCAGCTCTCAATGATGATTGTTCTGTATTTTAGTTGTAATTTTAATGTGGTTGTGTGAGGCGGCAAGAACATGTGTTTACCTATGCTGCCAGCTTGGTTCTCCTCAAAAACTTTTTTTTTGGTGTGTGTGTGTGTTTAAGAGAGAAAGCCCTATCTGGTTTGGCTCAATGGATAGAGCTCTGGCCTGAGGACTGAAAGGTCCCAGGTTTGATTCCAGGCAAAGGCATGTACCTTGGTTGCTGGCACATCCACTATGGTCGATGTTTCTCTCTCATTGATGTTTCTGACTATCCCTCTCCCTTTCTCTCTGTAAAAAATCAATAAAATATATTAAAAAATAAAAAATAAAGAGAGAACAAAAGGGGATAATGAAACAAATAATGTCAAACTCTTGGTGATTGCTGAATTTGGGTTAGAAGTACATGGGAGTTTCTTTGGACAAGTTATCTTTTGTGAATATTTTAGAATTTTTTTTTCACATAATAATTTACCAAATAAGACAGTTGCATGTGAAGGCAGGGCCTGTCAGGTATTTAGAACTAAAATCATTGCCAGCTAGTATGAAAAACAAAGTGGAGGGGAGAAAAAAAAGAAAGAAAAATAACAAAAAATAAATAAATAAATAAATAAAGGGGAGGAGAAAGGAGTCGGGATCCCCAATCTTTTATTATCAATCTCCCTTCAAAAGCAGTGAGTGCCACCAAGAAACAAAAAGGAGAGCACATCTCCAGCAGCCAGGTGGGCCCAGGCGCCCTGTCCTCCCCAGGCCTGTCACCCCAGCTTCGCAAACAGCAGCAAGGTGGCAAGAATTCCTGGCAGCTGCAATGGAAGAAACAGACATTGAACCGACTTGAGGGACTTCTGGAACTGGAACCAAATTGGATGCACACCGACGGGGAGCACCCTGTTCCAGGAACAGCGGGGGCAGGGTTCCACATGCGTCCTCAGGCTCCTCGGGGCCAGGGTGGAGATCGTGTGGACCCGTTACCGTAGTGTCAGGGGTGGGTAGAAGGTGGAAGCTTTTGGGAAGCTCAGCTGTCATTCTCTCTGCTTCTCCCAGGTCTCGTCTCTGACCTCCTGGGTCCTGAAAACAACACTTCCCAGAAATCCCTGCCTCCTTCCTTCCTGCTAGATTTGGCCAATAGGAAGCACCAGTGAGAGATGGGAGGATGGGGGAAAGGTTGAAGTATTCCTCACTCCCTCTTCTCTTCTGCGCAGCCTGAAGGCTCCAAGCCTGCCGGCCCCAGCTCCTCGGGACTGGGAGAAGTAACAGCTCCCCAAGTTGCCAGCCCCTGAGTGCCTCAACGCCTCCCCATTTTCCTTCACTCTGCCCACACCTCTGCAGGGGCCTCTGGAAGCTACTTTTCTGATCGCTTTTCTTTTTCAATGACAGTTTACATACAATATTGTTTTGTATTAGTTTCCAGTGCACAACATGGTGGTTAGATAATCATACACTGTACTTTACAAAGTGGACCTCCCAATATTTCGGGGCCCACCTGGCATTGTGTATAGTCCTTACAATATTATTGCCTACTAGTGGCCAGTGCACAAAATTTGTGCACATTAAAAGGGAATTAATTAGAGGAAATATTTTAATATTGCTATTTTCCCTTTCTCTATAATAGAAGTGTCAGAGATTAAAGAAAATTAGTAAAATGCATATGAAAATCTCCCTCCTGTCAGAGTCTGGGGAGTGGCATGAGACCTAGAGTCAAGTCCCCGCCCACCATCCACATGTGCTTCAAAAACACAGGAGACCAGTCCCGGCCAGTCCCACCCCCAGTGGGTGAGATCTAGACCCTGCCGGCCCCACCCCTGTCAAGCCCCTCCAGGTGTGTGTGTGTGGGGGGGGCAGCCTCAGGTCCCCCAACCTGGCAGCAGGGTGGGGGGCACAGCTGAGGTCCCCCATCAAGCCTTAGATGAAACCCCGGCCTGGTGCTGGGGTGGTGGGTGTGGCCTGAGGTCCCCTCGCTCCCACCAGGCGCCATGCAGCCTTAGTCTCTGCTATTTGGTCATGACATTATGGCATCCCAGCGAATTTGCATATTCCTCTATTATATAGATATTCCCTATGCTATACTTTACATCTCCATGACTATCTTGTGGCTACCAATTTCTTCTCTCCTCCTCCTCCTTTTTCTCCTTCTCCTCCTCCTCCTTCTCCTCCTTTTTCTCCTTCTCCTCCTCCTCCTTCTTCTTTATTTTTAAATTAAAATATTATTATTATTATTTTAATATGTTGTTATTGATTTCAGAGAAATGAAAGGAGAGGGAGAGATAGAAACATCGCTGAGAGCCTGACCTGTATCTCTCAGTAGTTGAGTGTCGACCTATGAATTAGGAGGTCATAGTTTGATTCCAGGTCAGGACACATGTGGGCTTGGTCCCCAGTAGGGGGCGTGCAGGAGGCAACTGATCAATGATTCTTCTCTCATCATTGATGCTTCTATCACTCTCTCCCTCTCCCTTCCTCTCTGAAATCAATAAAAATATAGATTTAAAAAAATCTTTTAATTTGTATTAAAAAAAAGAAACACATTTTTTTATTTGTTCACCTATTGATGGCCACTGGGGTCGCATCCATATCTTGGCTATTGTAAATAATGCTGCAATGAACAAAGGGTGCATATATTCTTTCCAATTCGTGTTTTGGATTTCTTCAGATATATGGAGTCACTGGGTCATAAAGCAGTTCTATTTTAAATTTTTCAAAAAAAATCTTTTCATTGATTAATATATAAATATATTTAAATCAATTTAAATCAAATTATATATATATATGTATATATATAATTTATTTTTTACAGAGAGTAAGTGAGAGGCATAAAGAGTTAGAAACATCGATAAGAGAGAAATATCGATCAGCTGCCTCCTGCACCCCCCCCACTGGGGATGTGCCCGCAACCAAGGTACATGCCCTTGACCGGAATGGAGCCTGGGACCCTTCAGTCTGCAGGCCGACGCTCCATCCACTGAGCCAAACAAGCCAGGGCTCATTGATTTTTTTAAAGAGAGAGAAGAAGAAAGAGAGAAAGAGAAACATATATGTGAGAGCAAAACATTGATTGGCTGCCACTTGCATGCTCCCTAGTGGGGATCAAGCCTGAAACCCAGGTGTGACCTGGCCAGGATGGAACCGGACACCTTTCAGTGCACAGGCCGACGCCCAGCCACCTGGGGACGACAGTGAATGTCTTTACTTCTTTACAGTCTGGCTTGGATTAAGAGTAAATTAATTTCAGTAGCCAACAAAAATGTTGTTCCTGCCAAAACCGTTTTGGCTCAATGGATAGAGCGTTGGCCTGTGGACTGAAAGGTCCCGGGTTTGAATCCGGTCAAGGGTGTGTACACTGGTTGCAGGCACATCCCCAGTGGGGGGTGTGCAGGAGGCAACTGATCGATGTTTCTCTCTATCCCTCTCTCTTCCTCTCTGTGAAAAATCAATAAAATATATTAAAAAAACAGCAATAACAAAAAAAAAAGTTTCTATATAGCTATTTTCTCCAACTTTCTTCATGCTATTGTTGTCATACAAATTACATTTTACCGTAAGTCTATCAACACAATTTTATAGTTATTGCCCAGTGCAGTTATCTTTAAATGAGATAGGAGAAGAAAAGTTTTAACAGAAAATGTTTTTCTCTCCCTGGGGCTTATCTGAACTGGGCTCTGAGCAAAGAGCGCCCGCCCCTCGGACAGGCTCAGGGGCGAGCATGGCTCCTGTGCATACGGTTTCCATGGTGAGTGGTGCATGAGAACGCGTCATCTCGCTGCCTCTGCCGCCTGTGATCCCTGCCTTGGGGAAGCCCTCTCTCGGGGGCATACAATAACTTCCCAGAATCACGGGGCATTGCACAAAGCCTCTGAGGCACTCCACCTCAGTGCTTCACAGCAAACACCCCGCCGCCTGTTTTACAAGTGAGGGAGGCTGTCGTCCTAACGCAGTCAGGCCGCTAGTGAGTGAATGGCTAGGACCGGAGCCCGGAGCCCCGGCCCTGCCCACTCAGGCCTTCCACGGAGAAGTGTAGGCCGGACTCGTCAGCGGGGTGAAGAGGCACGTCCCCAGGGTAAGTGCTTCTCACTTCACTCCCCCAGCACCACGTGCCTTCCTCACCCTTTCTCTTCTCTTCTCTCCTTCCTTCCTTCCTTCCTTCCTTCCTTCCTTCCTTCCTTCCTTCCTTCCCTTCCTTCCTTCTTTCCCTTCTTTCCTTCCTTCCTTCCTTCCTTCCTTCCTTCCTTCCTTCCTTCCTTCCTTCCTTCCTTCCTTCCCTTCCTTCCTTCTTTCCCTTCTTTCCTTCCTTCCTTCCTTCCTTCCTTCCTTCCTTCCTTCCTTCCTTCCTTCCTTCCTTCCTTCCCTTCCTTCCTTCTTTCCCTTCTTTCCTTCCTTCCTTCCTTCCTTCCTTCCTTCCTTCCTTCCTTCCTTCCTTCCTTCCTTCCTTCTTCCCTTCCTCCCTTCCTTCCTCCCTTCCTTCCTTCCTTTCCTGATAATCCTCACTTGAGGATATTTCCCGGTGATTTTTAGAGGGAGTGAAAAACTTCCATGTGAGAGAGACACATGATTGGTTGCCTCCTACAGGTGCCCCGACCGGAGCTGGGGACCGAGCCTGCAACCGAGGTACATGCCCTTGAGCAGAGTCGAACCCGGGACCTTTCAGTCTGAGGGCCAGCGCTCCATCCACAGAGCCAAACCAGCTAGGGCCATTGGTTGATTCTTGTATGTGCCCTGAGTGGGAATCGAACCCGCAACCTTGGCGTATCAGGACAGAACTCCAAGCAACTGAGCTACCTGGCCAGGCCCACATTTTCCAATTTAAAAATCATATTTTTCACTTATCCCTGCTGGATAGGAGGTCAGCTCCATGACAGCAGAGGGTTTTGTTCGTTTCATCCTAAATTGTATCCTTGGTGTCTACAATAAAGTTTGTACGCCTAGTAGGTGCTCAATAAAGTTTGTGGAGTAAAAAACTGCCTTTCTGTTATTCTCAGAAGAAAACCGGCCCCTCTCTGTACCCACCTTCCCTGCCTCAGCCTGCCCTCCTGTCCCCCTTCTGGTCCACCCTGCTCCGCCACAGGGCCTCCCTGCTGGTCCTTGGAAAAGCCACGCTATCCCAGCCTCAGGGCCTCTGCACCAACCGTTCCCTCCGCCTCCCCCCATGCACACACACGGCTTTTCCGCTGTCACTGGTCACCTGGCACCTCCTCAGACAGGCCCTCCCTAATCTTTTTTTTATTTTTTATTGATTTTTTACAGAGAGGAAGAGAGAGGGATAGAGAGTTAGAAACATCAATGAGAGAGAATCATCAATCAGCTGCATCCTGCACACACACACACACACACACACATACACACACACACACACGCTGAGGATGTGCCCGCAACCAAGGTACATGCCCTTGACCGGGACCGAACATGGGACTTTTCAGTCTGCAGGCCGACTCTCTATCCACTGAGCCAAACCGGTTTCGGCCCTAATCTTCCTTATTCCAGCCCCTTGTTCTACTGCCTCCCCCACTTGAATGTCAGTGTCACATTGGCTCGGATTTTTTGTCTCTTTTTTTCATCACTGCTGTGTGCTTGGTGCCCCGAACAGTGCTTGGCACACTCAACAAGAGTTCAGTGTGTCCCAGAGGAACTGGCTTACCTGTATCACTGCTGCCCCCAGGGAGCCTGCGCTCAGGTTGATGCTCTGAGTCTTGGCTATTTTCAGGAGCTTGGGAAAACAGCCCTGCAGGTACACACAGCAAAGCAGGCGGGATCTGGTTAGGGGCTCCGAGGCTCCGGGGCCCTGTCCCCCCTACCCCTTTTGGGGCCCTTCAAACTGCCCTCAGACTCAGGAGGGACACAGGGACAAAGCTACAGGACCTCGGCTCCGTCTCACTTGACTGCCCCGCAACATTCCAGCATTGCCCTAGCTTCCTCATTCTTCCCACCCCACCCCCTTCCAGAACACTCCCCAGGATCCATCTGTGCAAGACATTACTAACTGTGGGACGTGGGAGAGGTCACTCCCCCGTCTGTGCCTCAGTTTCCCAACTGGATCCACCTCACAAGACTTTGAGTGGATTGAGAGACAGAATCTACAGGAAGTACATAGCAGTGGCCTGACACAGAGCCAGCATTCGGGGACTACTAGGTGTTTCTGAGTGTTCTGTATATATGTACAGAAGGGCTAACGTGTTTCTAGTGCCTCCTCACTCTTTTCTTTCTTTTTAAAATGTATTTCATTGACCTCCTACAGAGAGGAAGGGAGAGGGACAGAGAGCCAGAAACATCGATGAGAGAGAAACATCCATCAGCTGCCTCCTGCACACCCCCCACTAGGGATGTGCCCGTAACCAAGGTATATGCCGTTGACCAGAATCGAACCCAGGACCCTTTAGTCTGCAGGCCGACGCTCTATTCACTGAGCCAAACCGGCTAGGGCCTCACTCATTTCTTACAACAAACTCCATAAGGTAGATATTTATTCCCCCTCCCCCCAAATACATTTTTATTGATTTCAGAGAGAAAGGGAGAGGGATAGAAACATCAATGATGAGAGAGAATCATTGATCAACTGCCTCCTGCACCGCCCCCTCCCCCCCCCCCCACACACACACTAGGGATGGAGCACGCAACCCGGGCATGTGCCCTGACCAGGAATCGAACCGTGACCTCCTGGTGCATAGGTTGGCGCTCAACCACTGAGTCACGCCAGCCGGCTCTCTGTTTTGTAAGTGAGGAAACTGAGGCTCGGACAGGAGAAGCGACCAGACTCGGTGGGTGAGCAGATGCCGTCCCCATCCAGGCCCCCAGCACCTCTCGGGTTCGGAGCGTGGGCTGCCTTGTGCTCACAGCGGCAGGCAGTTCAGTAGCCCTTCACACAAGGAGTATTTATTAAGTGCCTATTGTATGCGAGGCACTGGGCTCTGGAACCCAGCAATGTGAAAACAGACAAAGTTCTTGCCTCGGTGGGGCGGACATGTGAGTGGGGAAACCAGGTGACAGGTACTGGTTAAGCACCGGTCAGACACTGAAGCAAAGGAAGGAGATGACGTGTCGTGGTGATTTCGGGGGAGACCCTATCATAGAGAAGGGGTCGGGAATAGTCTCCATGGGGCACAGACCAGAAGGAAGTGAGGTAGGAAGACGTTTCGGAGGAGAGAAATCCAGGCAGAAGGAACAGCCTTTGCAAATCCTGCTGCAGCGAGGGGGCTGGTGCGACTGCAGCAGGAGGAGGGAGGGAGGGAGTCGGAGGGGAAGAGCTTGTGCAGGGCCAGTGTGTTCATCTCAGTCCCAGGGTCCGGCTCCCAGCAGGAGCCATTCCAGGTGAAGAATGAATTAAGGGATGATTCTTGTCTCTTCCCTCGGAGGAGACCCGTGTGCATTCACTCATGACTTAAGTCAAGAGGAAGCTGGGTGAGATTTAAAGCCCAGGTCGACCTCTCTCTGGCAGTGGGAAGCGCTCTGTGCCTCAGTTTCCTCATCTGTAAAACGGGAGAAGAGCCTGGAGGGGTACGATGGGGATTGAATTCAAGTGAATGCCCAATTGATGAACAAGAACAGACCCAGAGATAAGGAGCCATGGGTCAGACTGTTGGACCTCAGAGGGAGGGTGGGGATAAAAGGGAGGGAGGTACCAAAGGACTTATGTGCACACATATGAGCCTAACCAGTGGTCAAGCACAATAGGGGGGGGGGCATGAGTGTGGGGAGGAGTGGGGGGTTGAGAACAAATATGGGAGACCTTAATCAATAAAGAAATTAAATAAATAAAAAAATAAATAAAGTGAATGCCCAGCCCTGGCCAGAGTGGCTTAGCTCATTGGGCATCACCCTGGCACCAAAGGGTTGCTGGTTCAACTCCCAGTCAGGGATCATGTTCAGGTTGTGGGCTCAATCCTGGGTAGGGGGCATGCAGAGAGACAGAGAGAGACAGAGAGAGAAACATCAACCTGAGAGAGAAACGCCAATCACCGGGGATCAAACCCGCCACCTGGGAATGTGCCCTGACCGGAAACCGACCCCACCACCTTTTGGTGTATATAGAACGACACCCGGACCGAGTCACACCAGCCAGGGCTGGAGTGCCGTCCTATGGACTTCTTATGGAAGTCCCCAGCCCTCGGGTCCCCGGGGGGGGGGGGGGGGGGCTCGGAGGCGGAGTTACCTCCTGGTGGATGACTCCGGCGGACGCGTTGCGCCCAGTGCAGGCCGCCGTCCCCATGTCCTTGCAGCAGCTCCTGGGGTGGGTGTAGCCCGTCGTCCTCTCGAAGGAGGAGCCGGAGAAATCCGTGTAGTTCTTCACCCCGCAGCACTTCAGCTGCGAGAGGAGAACACACACGTGGACACTTCCTTTCACACATTAAAGTGACAAGAACAACAGGAGTCACAGTCACCATGGCTACTGTGTAGACGGCAGTCCCGCTATCCCAGGGCCCGGCCAGTGCCTCCCTTCCCCCCACTCCCACGTTCTCAGCTGACTTGGGGTAAACGCTGACGTCCAGGCCCCGCAAGACCGGCCTGTCACCTCCAGGCCCTCATCTCTGCCCACGCTCCCTTTACTTTCTCCGCGTTAGCCTCCCCGAATCCTCGATGTTTCTCAAACACACTTAGCGAGTGCCAGCCTCGGGGCCTTTAGACAGGCTGTTCCCTCTTCTTTTCTTTTCTTTTTTTCTTTTTAATATATTTTATTGATTTTTTTACAGAGAGGAAGAGTGAGGAATAGAGAGTTAGAAACATCGATGAGAGAGAATCATCCATCAGCTGCCTCTTGCACACCCCCCATTGGGAACGTGCCCTCAACCAAGGTACATGCCCTTGACCAGAATCGAACCCAGGACCTTTCAGTCCACAGGCCAACGCTCTATCCACGAGGCCAAACCGGTTTCGGCTTTTTTTTTTTCTTTTTTAATTGGACCTGAATGCACTGTTTTTCTTTTTCATTTTTAAAAATTGATCTCAGAGAGGAAGGGAGAAGGAGAGAGAGACAGAAACATCAATGATGAGAGAGAACCATTGATCGGCTGCCTCCTGCACGCCCCCTGCTGGGGATCTGGGCTGCAAACCGGCAGTGTGCCTGAAGGGAAATCAAACCGTGACCTCCTAGTTCATAGGTCGATGCTCAACCACTGAGCCATGCCGGCCAGGCTAAGGCACTAGCTTTTGAGGAGGAAAATAAATAACAATATATTTCAAAAAATAATTGAAAGCAGGTCCTCAAACACCCAAGAAGGCTTTGCACACCTATTTTTATAGCGGTGTTTTTCACAACACCCCGAAGGTGGGAACAACCCGAGTGTCCACCGATGGATGATGGGCCGTCTCCACACAAAAGGAAGGAAATGCTGACCCACGCTACAGCAGGTGTGACTCCACTTTGATGAGTTCCCCAGGGGAGTGCGATGAATAGACAGAAAGTAGATGGTGGGTGCCAGGATTGGGGAGGGGAGAATGGGAAGTGAGTGTTTAATGGGACAGAGTTTCAGTCTGGGAAGATGAGAGAGTTCTGGAGCTGGATGGTGGTGGCGGCTGCACAACAGTGTGAGTGTGCTTAATGCCACTTAAAAATGGTTAGGCTGCGCCAAAACCGGTTTAGCTCAGTAGATAGAGCATCAGCCTGTGGACTGAAAGGTCCCAGGTTTGATTCTGGTCAAGGGCATGTGCCTTGGTTGTGGGCACATCCCCGGTAGGGAGTGTGTCGGAGGCAGCTGATGGATGTTTCTAACTCTTTATCCCTCTCCCCTTCCTCTCTGTAAAACAATCAATAAAATATATATTTTTTAAATGGTTAAGATGGTAAATTTTATATTATGTACTAGAGGCCAGGTGCACAAATTCCTGCATGGATGGGGTCCCTTGGCCTGGCCAGGGCCAGCCAGCAGGGGGGTGGTGGTGAGGGGTGGGGGGAAGGGACTGTGGGAGGTTGGCTGTGGGAGTGCACTGACCACCAGAGGGCAGTCTCTGCGCTGAGCATCTGCCCCCTGGTGGTCAGTGCATGGTTATAGCGACCAGTCATTCAGTCGACCAGTGGTAACAGTCGCTTAGGCTTTTATATACATAGATATTTTACCACAGTGAAAAGAAGATGTGACTCTCACCGTCTCCATGACCAAGTTCCACTCCACGGAAAAGTGGTCTGGCTCATTGTAACCCCTGTAATTCCGCTTCAGGGCCACAAAGTTGTGCTCCAGGGCTGCGTCTTGAACCTCAAAGGTGAAACAGGAAGCCGTGAATACACCACCCGCAAGGTGCCCCGTTTGGTGAGGTTTCTTGGGGACAGAGCCCGGGGGTGGGGGTGGGGGTGGGGGTGGGGGTGGGGGTGGGGGTGGGGGTGGGGGTGGAGGTTTCTCTTCCGCTTCCTTCAGGGTCCCTCCCCCTCAGCCGTGGGTCCGCGCTGGCGGACGGCAAATTCAGGCTCCAGGGCAGCACAGGGCATGCGTGGGTCGCAAGCCAGGCGCATCTGGTCGTATCCATCACAAACCAGTTTGAATCATCTGCTCTTTCCAATCGCCCACACATCGGCCCCACCCCCAATTTGGCTGTAATGCTATTAAAGTCTCAAATATCCTCGTTAGCAACTGAATTTCTCTCTCTCTCTCTCTCTCTCATTTCATTTCCTACTTTTTAAATAAAGGTCCACATTTCAAACATTTCCTCCGAAGAGGTGATGCAGTCACATGGTTCAAAACGCACAAAGCACAGACGGGTGGACCGTGCAGAGTCTCCCTCCCACCTCTCTCTCCCAGCCAACAAGTGCCTCCCACTCCACAGCGACTGTCGCTGCTTCCTGTGTCCCCAGAAGAGGCAGCCCGTGTGTGTCAGAGCCAGCACAGCCTGCGACTTCCCGCCCGGGGCCTCTCCGTCTGCACCCTGCTGGCCGCGGACAAGGGAGGCCACTGCTCTGGGTGCCCTGCCGCGTCCCCGTGGCCTTTGTCATCCCTGTGCTCCTGCGCCGGCTTCCCACGGCCTCGGGCATCCAGGGAGCTGCACGCAAGTGGCCGACGGGGGGGAGGGGGGGTGGTCACTGGGCGGAGAAGCAGCTGTGTGTCCTGCTCCGGGTGCCGGTGCCCCCAGCTGCCCGCAGTGTCGCCTTTTCACAAAGTGCATCCCCGTCCCTGCCTCGCCTCCCTGTCTCACGGGTGCTCCTTGGGCAAGGTGACCAGGTGTCCCGCCTTTGGCGGGACAGCCCTGATTTTTAACGATTTTTCCCGCATCCTGATTGCCGAGACCGGTTTGGCTCAGTGGGTAGAGCGTCGGCCTGCGGACTGAAAGTTCCCAGGTTCGATTCCGGTCAAGGCATGTACCTTGGTTGCGGGCACATCCCCAGTACGGGGTGTGCAAGAGGCAGCTGGTCGATGATTCTCTCTCATCGATGTTTCTAACTCTCTATCCCTCTCTCTTCCCCTCTGTAAAAAATCAATAAAATATATATATCTTTTTAAAAAGTCCTGATTTTTTGAAAGATTCTTTTAAATCTTTTGGACTTTTTTTTTTTTTTAATATGTTTTATTGATTTTTTACAGAGAGAAAGAGAGAAAGATAGAGAGCTAGAAACGTCGATGAGAGAGAAACATCGACTAGCTGCCTCCTGCACACCCCCCTACCGGGGATGTGCCCGCAACCAAGGTACGTGCCCTTGACCAGAATCCAACCTGGGATCCTTCAGTCCGCAGACCGATGCTCTACCACTGAGCCAAACCGGCTTCAGCTCTTTTGGACTTTTTTGAAAAGCCATGGGACAAATCGTTAAAAATCAGGACTGTCCTGCCAAAAGTTGGACATCTGGTCACCTTATCCTTGGGGTTACGTCTCAAATAAATCAGGAGCCTTTAAATTGTCGTCTCCGAGCTGGCCTCTGGGGGGGGGGGGGGGGGAGAGACACACACAGACCAGGACACCCCTGTGTCCTGAAGAGAGTGCCATCTTATTCACGGACGGCCTTCTCCTCCTCCCTTTGTCCACCTGCGCCAGGCTGTCCTGTGAGGGCCGCTGCCCTGCAGGGACGCTCAGGGCGGGGAGTCTCACTCCCCGGAGGCAGGTCCTTCTGCCCACGGACACCCAGACCCGGGTGAGAATGGGATGGTGGGGTCAGGGCATCTGCTTGCCATTTGGATGGGTTTTGCCAAATAGCCCCCCACCCCCCTCCGTTTTCAACATAGTCCGAAGCCCAACAGCCTGAACGGCGTTTCCCGCTGCTCCTGACCGCCCCACCCAGAGCGGGACGGAGGGTCCGATGGCGAGCGGGGCCAGTTTCCTGGGGCCTCCGAGGGGAGGCCTGAGGTTCGGCTTTTCGCGGCGTCTGTGGAGGCCCACTCTCCCCCCGCGGACCGGGCCGCGGCCCACAGCCCGGGGCCTCCGCCTGGGGGAGGTGGATGGGGCTTCAGTTGAATCTGTTTCTTTCTTTCTTTTCTTTTCTTTTCTTTCTTTCTTTCTTTCTTTTTTTTTTTTTTTTTTTAAATGTTTTTAAATTGATTTCAGAGAGGAAGAGAAGGGAGAGAGAGATAGAGACATCAACCCTGAGAGAGAATCATTGATCGGCTGCCTCCTGCACGCCCCCAACTGGGGATCGAGCCCACAACCCAGGCATGTGCCCTTGGCCGGAATGGAGCCCGGGACCCTTCAGCGGGGGCCGAGTCTGTCTTTCCTGATGCCCAGGGGAGAAGCGGCACTTACGATCGGGAGGAAGGCGAGGACCAGCGTGGCGACCGTGATTTCCACAATGAGGACGACGACCATCCACACGAGGCACTGGAAGACACGGAGGAGCGATGGGAGCGGAGTGCGGCGTTCCCGCCCACCCCAGGCCACCGGCTGCCCGGTTTGAAAGACGCACATCCAGCGGGGCAGGGGCCTCTGTTTCTTTCATGCGTCGCTTTCCTGCGTGTCCAGGATGCAGGGTAGACTGAGGAGCCAGCCGGCGGACCCTCATTCATGCCAGCACGTCGCGGGTGCCAGGAAGGCTTAGGTGTCAGGTGCGGTAAAGGCAGGGACCGGGGTGGGGTGAGGGGTGGGGTGGGGGGTGGGGAGGACAGGAGGAAGGGAGAAGCTGCCAGTGTGGGAAGAGGGGTGACAACTGAAGGGGGGGGACAGGGGACAGGTCGGTGGGTGCAGGAAGAAAATATCAGCATTTGCTGCCTAATGTTTCCGATAAATTCACTTGTGGAATTTGATGGAAAACGATGGGAAATTTGGCAGGCGGAGGGGCGGTCTCCAAGTTACCCACCAAGGAGAAGCCGCCTCCCGCCCGTGTCTCAGCTTCCCCATCTGCGCACTATGGAGTGGGACCAGCTGTGGGGGTCTCAGTGGATTCTGTGGAGCTTGAGGCCATCTAGGAGCAAAGTAAGCTCGGCTCCTGGCTTTCCTTTCATGCATTTCCATCTACGCCTCTTATTATTATTATTACTAGAGGCCTGGAAGATTCGTGCAAGGATGGGCCTTCCTTCCCCGGCTGCCGGCACCACCTTTACTCCAGCTGGAACCACCTTTCCGCCTTCCCACACTGCCCCGAGGCCCAGAGCTGCCGGAGCCGTGTGGAATGCCTGCGTGTCACCATCTTTGTTGTATTAATTTGCATACTCACTCCTGATTGGCTGGTGGGTGTTGCAAAGGTATGGTCAATTTGCATCTTTCTCTTTTATTAGTGTAGATTATTATTACTAGTGTGTTTCCCCGAAAATAAGACAACCTCCAAAAATAAGACCTACTTACAGGTTTCCTTCTGAGTGGAATATAAGGCATCCCCCCGAAAAAAAGGCCCCCCTAGGCTAACCATGAGAGATTTGGTCCACTGATTCTGAAAGAAATGGAGTCACAAGAAAGTCACCAGGAAATTCAGGAATTGGATTGTTATGATGATGTTCCAGAAGATGATGACATGATTGTCATTGAATAAATGAGTAAATTCTTGATACTGTAGGATTCAGTTTGTCTGGTTTGTGTTGACAACTACCATATTTCCATACCATATACAAGTAATAAATTTCCTTTATTTTCATTTAACAATAAATGTGTACTGTATTCTTCTTCATGGAAAAATAAGACATCCCCTGAAAATAAGACCTAGCTCATCTTTGGGAGCAAAAATTAATATAAGACACTGTCTTATTTTCGGGGAAACAGGGTACTACTAGAGGCTCATGCAGTGGAGGGGGGGGTCCCTCAGCCTGGCCTGCCCCCTCTCACAGTCCAGGAGCCCTCAGGGGCAGGAGGCGACACAGCGATCAGGGGAAGGTGATGCCCCATCACACCTCTGCTGCTGCCAGTGCCGGCAGTGCAAGCCTCGTCAGGCCCTGGTTACCTGAGCCTCAGGTGGCCCTGGGTGGCTGGGGAGCGGAGGGGACGGGGGGCGGGGGGGACTCCGGAGACAAGCGGGCCCAGCCTCGCCGCACGTCTGCCGCCCTGGCGGACCTGCGGGGACTGGGTGCCGCCATCTTGTGGCTGTGGGCGCTGCCATCTTTGAGGGCAGGCAGTCAATTAACATATTCCCTCCTTATTGGCTGTAGGCACTACCAGCTTTGGGACAGTGTGAGGGTCAATTAACATATTCCTTTTTTATTAGATATGATTATTACTAAAGACCCTTTTGATAATTTAGGCTGAGTCACCCAGCTGGCAATGGCGGGGCTTATCTGGCCCTCACACAGAGAGGCAGGAAAATGCAGTGGATATATCCCCTGGGTCCCCACAGCCCACAGAGATAAATGTGAGTGCAGTGCTTAGCAGGTGTAGGACTCCACATGAGCAGCTCATGTAACAGATTATGGGGGTTAATATTAATATCACCTCTGGGTGACTAAGATAACCAGCCTCAGCAAGTCCCAGTGGCTCTGTCTTCAGAATCTATTCCCAGTCTGCCCTTTCTACCCCCTCCCTCAACTCCACCAGGTCTAGCCTCCACCATGCCCATCCGGCCAAGCACAGTGCCTCTGCTCCCATGTCCCCCACTGTTCCCCCCATGGACACCAGAGGGCGCCCGTGAGCACCTGTGTCTCAAAGTCCTCCTCTGCTCAGACCCTTCTGTGGCTCCCAAATCCATCAAAAAGACGTGACTTTTGTGAATGAGGTCTCAGAGGCTTTGGAGGGACAGAGACTGGTGGCAAAGAAGGTCGGATTTGCAGACAGGTTGAATGTGGGGTTGCGAGAGGGAGGACTCTGATTCCTCCACGTTGAACTATGGCTAAAATAGCGTCCGTGTCACATTAAAGATAACACGAAATACTGTAGGCTCAGGACGTGGCTAGGAAATATTTGCTGAACCTAATTAAGAAAGGAAATTGAGATGATGGACCTTCAGAGAGGAGGAGGGTGGCGGCAGGGTGCCTTAGGGGGTAACTAGAGTTTCCCTGAAACCCCCACATTGAAATAACCAGAGACTGGTAGCAACACAGTGGAGGAAGGAAAACACACACATCAGGGACAGACCAAACATCAGGTGGGATCATCCACTCCAACAAGATTCTCAGGGAAATGGGAATGGGGAGGCTGGGAGCTGGATTTTAAAGAGATGTTTAGCCACGGCTGTGTGTGTGTGTGTGTGTGTGTGTGTGTGTGTGTGTGTGTCTGTGTGTGTGTGGAAATAAAGCATGTAAAATCTGGGACATGCTCTCTGCATGGCCATGCTCAGAACTTTCATACCCCATGTACTTGTTCATGTAGGACGATTCACAGTGTTGTGTTAGTGGGATGGAAAGAGCAGCATACCCAGGCCATACCCAATGGAAACTTGCATAGGCAGAGGAGGACCAGAGGGGCCACTCAGCAAGGGAGACAGGACGAAGCAGATCCCTACCTCACACCACACACACGGCTAACGTCCAGAGGCTTCGGGGGGGGAAATCCTAGGAGAGTGTAATTTATGACCTTGGGTAGGAAAGGAGTTCTAAGGGAGACACATCGTAAAGGAGAAGATGTATGTATTGGCGCCATCGCATGAGACGCCATGAACACTGTAAATGGGCGGGTGAGTGGGGGGATTTGCAGTAGGTACAGTAAAGGATTCGTATGTGCGGGGAGAGTTTTGGGGTGTGCTTGCAGACCCAACTTACAAACAAGAGGATGCCCCTGCTTTCTTTGCTTGTGGCGTACCACCCAGCGAAGCCCAGCAGCACGGTGAGGCAGCCCATGGCCAGACACAGGTAGCCCACGTGGAACAGGTGCGTGGAGAACACGCCGAGGACAGTGGTGAGCACGGCCCCTCTGAACGAGACATAGATGCCCAGGCCGATGAGGATCACGCCAGACATCTTTAGAACATGAATCAGAAACGGGAAGGCAGACTGTTAGTTGTTCTCAAGAGGAACTCTCCTTGGAGAGGGACAGGAGCGTGAAGGCCAATATGATTAGCAAAAACGTTAAAACATTGATCATACCCTGCGTCGGAGAGGATGGGGAGAAACATTCTCACACAGTTCTGCCAGGCAAAAAAAAACAACTTTATTTTATTTTTTGCCAGGGGATTGGGGGGAGGGCACTTGCAATTTATATTTTAAAACCTTAAAGGTAAGCCCAGTAGGTGTGGCTTAGTGGTTGAGCATCCACCTATGAACCAGGAGGTCACAACTCCATTCCCAGTGAGGGCATAATGCCCAGGTTGTGGAGCGTGCAGGAGGCAGCTGATCCATGGTTCTTTCTCATCGTTGATGTTTCTATCTCTCTCTCCCTCTCTGAAATCAATAATAAACATATATTTAAAAACAAACAAAACATAACAAAAACCACCTTAAAGGTTATATGGTAAAAACATTTATGTAGAACTTCCATTTCTAGATATTCAGCTTAAGGAAAAGTCACATATGTGCCTCAGTACCAGGATGTTCCTGAAGGACAAAGCATCAAAAATTACTGAAGCAACCAGTAAGACAGAGCGGATAGGTAAGCCATGGTAAGGCCGTGCCCTGGCACCATACACAGTTACTTTAAATGATGCTGTAGGAGAGGGGGTGGCAATTTTTCCCATCTGAAAAGCCCCAGATATTATGAGCCCCAGACTATAAGTTCGCTTTTATCTAATCCTTACCTGAGGATATATTTGTATAGATTTGTAGAGATAGAGGAAAGGAGGGAGAGAGAAAACATCGATTGGTTGCCTCCTGTATGTGTCTGGCCTGGGGATCAAACCCATAACCTAGGTATATATTCTGACCAGAAATCAAATCTGCAACCTTTGGTTTACCAGGAGGACGCTCCATCCCACTCAGCCAGCCAGCCAGCCAAGGCTGTAAATTCTCTTTGGAAAGAACTCAGCTATGGTGGTGTGCCTCAAAAGCAGCCATATTCAATTTGCAAACAATTTTTTAAATCTCAAATACATTTCATCTATCTATCATCTATTTATCTATCCATCCATCCATCCATCTATCTGTATGGGTGTACTGTGCTGACCCCTATTGTAGGAAAATGTTTATTAGTATAAAAAGATGGTTTCAATGCCTTAGGAAGTTTTTATTTATTTTTAACTTTTATTAACTTCAGAAAGAAAGAGAGAGAGAGAAACACCAATGATGAGAGAGAATCATCTTGCACACCCCCACTAGAAATCAAGCCCACAATCTGGGCATGTGCCCTGACCGGGAATCAAACCATGACCTCTTGGTTTCTAGGTGAATGCTCAACCGCTGAGCCAGCGCCCGGGCTAAGATGATGGTTTTTTATTGAGCAATGTTCCCATCATAGGCACAAGCCCCTTAAGTGCGCGGTTTCCTTTCCTTCCCATCAAAATGCCCCAGGACAGGTAACCAGGAGTGACACTGAACAGCTTTCTCTTTCCTGGCAGCCTGTCCTTAGACTGCTCTCCTCTAAAAACAACCACTTCTTGTCGAAACCAGTTTGGCTCAGTGGGTAGAGTGTCGGCCTGCGGACTGAAAGGTCCCAGGTTCCATTCCTGTCAAGGGCATGTACCGTGGCTGCGGGCACATCCCCAGTGGGGGGTGTGCAAGAGGTAGCTGATCGATGATTCTCTCTCATCGCTGTTTCTAACTCTCTATCCCTCTCCCTCTCTGTAAAAAAAAAAAAAAAAAATCAATAAAATATATTTAAAAATAGTTTTAATAATGCACAAGTCGAGTTATTTTCATAGAAAGAAAACAATGTCTTGAAAAAGTTAAAGGACCAGAAAATGACCTCTCCCTCCTGCCCTCCCAACGCAACTTCGTTTTCTGCAGGACTTGGCTTGGAGCCACGCCGTCCTCCGCTGACACTGGGCTCCCAGATCACACTCGCCTGTGATTTCCACCAGCTCTGGGCCTGGGGAGGCTACCCCTGTCCCCAGCGTGTCCTGCTCCTCGTCAGCCTGCCCTACATTCCTCCTGCTTCCCCAGGGACCGCAGAGCTGGATGCCCACGAATGTGGATCAACTTATTTCTGTCTTTGAGGAAGTGAGCCGCGGAGGAGGGGCCGAGAGGCCCGGGGGCCTGGGCGGTGACATACTTACCGCCAGGAAGCCATTGAGGAGACACAGCAGCTTCTTCAGGGAAGAATAGGGAGTGTGCATCTCAGCCATGCTGGCAGCCTGGGCGCCGGGGACACGAACCCCGCATCTTCCTGCACCTCCCGGCTGCTGTTTCCTGAGCTGGGACAGGCCTGGGGGGCTGGGGCGGGGTCACTAAAGCGGACTTGCTCTCCCCCCACCCCTCTTCTGACTGCCTGGCCATCTGCAGGGGTGGGGTGCAGTCACCAGCCTTTATCACATCACAATCGGAGCAGGTGCCCCAATTGCCTTCCTGCCGGCTCCTCCAAACAGGACGCGTGGGGCGTGGGGAAAAGACTCGGGGTGCCACCTGGGACCCCCGGAGGCCATCGGGTCCTGTGGGGAGAGTGCTCAGCACTGACCTCTTAGGTGGTTGATGCTAGACTTGGGGGGGGGGGGGCGGTGGTGGCATCAAGGGGGAAAGGACCTTCAGTGTCCCCTTCCCGGCTGCATTCCCAACGCCTGTTACCCTAGTGTGCTCCAGGACACCCGTGTGCAATGAAGGCACCAAAAGGCCCTGGCCTGGTTGGCTCAGTGGATAGAGTGTCGGCCTGGGGACCAAAGCGTCCAGGGTTCGATTCCAGTCAAGGGCTTGTACTTGACTGGCTTCTCCTTGGCTCGGGCCTTGGTCAGAGCTCGTGCAGGACGCAACCAATCGATGTGTTTCTCTCACATCGATCTTTCTCTCTGTCTTTCCCTCTCTCGTCCACTTTCCCTAAGAATCAATGGGGGGAAATATCCTTCGGGGGGAGGATTAACCACAACAAAAAGGCACTGTGTCCCAGGAATCTGAGGCAAGCCCTGGGTCCAAAGCCCCTGCCCACACCTCAGCTCATTTGGCCCATCCCTCTCACAGGGCTCAGGGAGGCCACACAGGAAGCAGGGTGGAGGCTGGAACCTGCGGCCCCTCCCCAGGAGCCGGCCCTTCTCCATCTGAGGCTTGTCAGCCAAAGCTGGTGGAGGGACCGGCCTTGAGCCCATGAGTCACTGATCACTGGGACTTTCGAATTCATTGGTTGATTCTTTTTTAAAAAAAAAAATATATTTTTAAATATATTTTATTGATTTTTTTTACAGAGAGGAAGAGAGAGGGATAGAGAGTTAGAAACATCCATGAGAGACAGACTCGATCAGCTGCCTCTTGCATACCCCTCACTGGGGGTGTGCCCGCAACCAAGGTACATGCCCCTGACTGGAATCGAACCCGGGACCTTTCAGTCCGCAGGCCTACGCTCCATCCACTGAGCCAGATTGGTTGATTCTTGCCTGTGTCCTTAGTAGGAATCGCACCTGCAACCTTGGCATATCCCCAGGACCCTCTAACCAACTGAACTACTTGGCCGGGGCCTCAATGGTCTTTTAAAACAGGGAGCCTCAGAGCCGGGGGCTAAGGACACGAAAATAGGGGTACAAAGGCGGGAGAATTCATTACAAACACGGGGTGAAAGGGAGCATGGGGAAACAGAAGGTGCAGAGGAGGGTGGAGAAAAGGGATGCGGAGGATGGGGATGGAAGCGGCGACGCAAAGAAGGCGGGAAAATGAGGGGCGGATGAGGGCGGGTGGGGTGGGAGACAGAGGTTGGGGTGGATGGAGGGGCAGGTTGGGGCGCCTGCCGCTGAAGGGGGGCAGCCAGGATGGGAAAGGGGAGGGAAAGGAGGACCCTGTGCGCTGCGGGAGGTGGACCCTCCGCGGCCCCGCCCCAGCTTCGCTCAAGTCCGCGGCCGGCCCGGTCTCGCGCGCCCTCTGTCGGCCTTCAGTGGATGCGCGGCCCTTCGTGTGTCCGGTCTCCCCGCTAAGATATGTGGGTCCCCCAGAACAGCCGCTCTGCCCGCGAGTGTCATGAAGCTCCAAGAGAGTCCTTTGTGAGAAGATGGAGATGTAATTCCCACCCCCAACACCTCCAACTCAAATCCACTGAATTGATGGGAACAGACAGAATTGTGCAGGCATCCGGCAAATTAGAAATGCAAGCCATTTGGCTAAAGAAGAGAAGCATGCAGAAAACCAGGACAAACTCATCAGTGACAGTTAAAAGGTTCTAGAAACAGTGAAAAGCCTCTTGGAGTGGTGCTACAGAGCCATTAGGACATGGAAAGACTGCGGTAGAAATAACACTTCAATATTTCCTCAATAGCAGGGCTTACGGTGTATTGACATATTCCTGGTTTCTTTCTCCACATGCTAGATCTCCTTCCTTATCATTTAGGAGATGCTTCTCTCTCTCTCTCTCTCTCTCTCTCTCTCTCTCTCTCTCTCTCTCTCTCTCTCTCTCTCTCTTGCAATATATTTTTATTTCAGAAAGGAAGGGAGAGGGAGAGAGAGAGAAACATCAATGATGAGGGAATCGTCCATCGACTGCCTCCTGCATGCCCCTTACCAGGGATAGAACTCTGACCTCCTAGTTCATAGGTCGACGCTCAAACACTGAGCCATGCTGGCCGGACAGGATACGTTTCTTTTTTTTCTTTCTTTTTTTTTTTTTTTTAAATCAATCTTTATTGTTCATATTATTACAAAGGTTCCTCATTTCTTCCCCCCTCCACCAGGTTCCCACCCCACCCTCCGCCCCCTCCCCATCCCCCATTGTCCTCATCCATAGGTGCACAGTTTATGTTCAGTCTCTTCTTCCCTCCCTTTCCTCAATAGTAAATCCCTTTTCAGATGAACAATTTCCAAGAACAATTTCCAAGAAAAGGAAGTCTGTTAAACACACACACACACATACACACACACACACACACACACACACACTATTTTATGTCAATAGCCCTTGTTAGTCCATGAACCATCCTTAAATTCATAGATTTGTCATCAGCATCAACAACAAGGTTCTCACCCTAGCTGGTTTGGCTCAGTGGATGGAGGGTCAGCCTTCGGACTCAGAGGTCCCAGGTTCGGTTCTGGTCAGGGGCCTGTGCCTTGGTTGTGGGCACATCTCCCATGGGGGGGGGTGCAGGAGGCGGCTGATTGGTGTTTCTCTCTCATTGATGTTTCTAGCTCTGTCTCCCTCTCCCTTCCTCTCTGTGAAGAATCAATAAAATATATTAAACACACACACACACACACACACACACACACACACACACAAACAACCACAAAAAAACAACCACAAAAACACAAGGTTCTCAGGAGTTAGGTTTGCCCGGTTGACTGTTCAAGTAAAATTTGCAGCATTGATATGTTTGTGTGTTTAGAGCCACACGACCTGGATCCACCCCTGACAAGAGGCATTTTATGGTTTAAGGTATTTTATAAGCAATCATTAGGGGAGGAGGTGACAAATCGTAATCTACCAGCCAGCAGCAAAGTGAGCTCAGGGCTCATCTGTCCATGTGAGGCTGGTCATGCCCTCACTCCGGGCTTCCCAGCCACAGCCCTCAGCCCTGGCCAGGGAAGCTGTGACACTGTGGGCTGAAATCTTCAATGGGACAGTAGAGGGTCATAGTAACCATCGCTGCCACTTGAAAGAGAAGCAGACGGCATTTCCACCATGAGGGATCTTTTGTTGCGGTTTGGTTGGTTTTCAAATATTCCATTTCTTTCATCTTTTTCACATTCCGACTTTTGTTGTTATTGTTAATCCTCATTGAGGATATTTTTCCCATTGATTTTTAGAGAGAGTAGAAAGGAAAAGGGAGGGAGAGAGAGAGAGATAGGGAGAGAGGGAGAGAAAAACATCAATGTGAGAAAGACACATCAATTGGTTGCCTCCCACACAAACAGGGGTGGAGATCAAACCTGCAACCCAGGAATGTGCCCTTGACCGGGAATCAAACCCAAGGCTTTTCAATCCTCAGGCTGGAGCTCTAACCACTGAGTCACTGGCCAGGGATTCCGACTTATTTTTGAGCCTTTGTACTCTGAGTGCTGAGGCCTTGGGTCGGGGTGGGGAGGGGGCGACAAGAAGGCCTCTATCCTTAGGGATACTCGCTCCTCTCCTCTTTCTCTGCATATAAATCTGGAATTTTTACCCCTTTAGCTCAGCAGAGACTCAAACTTCAGGAAAAGAGGGGAGTAAATTAAGGAACACCAACAGATTTTGGATGATATTCAAAATACTCAGCCACAGTCCTGTCTGGTGTGGCTCAGTGGTAGAGCATTGGCCTCTGCACCAAAGGTTTAGCTCCTGGTCAAGGGCACGTATGTGGGTTGTGGTTCGTTCCCCAGCCCCTATCCAGGCCCATGTGTCCTTCTTGCATTGATATTTCTCTCTTTCTCTCCCCCTCCCTCCTTTCCACTCTCGAAAGAAAGAAAGAAAGAAAGAAAGAAAGAAAGAAAGAAAGAAAGAAAGAAAGAAAGAAAGAAAGGAAGGAAGGAAGAAAGAGAGAAAAAAATATCCTTAGGTGAGGATGAAAAATACCCCAAAACTCAAGGAGACAAAAGCATACAATGGAGCCAAGAAAGTCAGCCCTAGCTGGTTTAGCTCATTGGGATAGAGCATTGGCCTGTGGACTAAAGGGTCCCGGGTTCGATTCCAGCCAAGGGTTGCAGGCTCAATCTCCCATAGTGGAGGGAAAGGGGTCATGCAGGAGGCAGCCAATCAATGATTTTCATCATTGATGTTTCTGTCTCTATCTCTCTCCCCTTCTCTCTGAAATCAATAAAATAAAAAAAGACAGTCTTTTCAGTAAATGTTATTGGGAAAATTGAACAGATACATGCAAAAAAATGAAAGGAGACCACCAACTCACACCATACACAAAAATAAATTCAAAATGGATAAAGGACTTAAATGTAAGTCGTGAAAACATAAAAGTTTTAGAAGAATCCATAGGCAGCAAAATATCAGACATATGTCATAGCAATATCTTTACTGATACAGCTCCTAAGACAATGGAACACTAAGGAGAAAATAAACAAATGGGACTGCATCATAATAAAAAGTTTCTGCACAGCAAAAGAAACCATCAACAAAACAACAAGAAAGCCCACTGCATTGGAGAACATATTTGCCAATGTTATCTCTGATAAAGATTTAATCTCCAAAATTTATAGGGAACTCACACAACTTAATAAAAGGAAGATAAACAAT